AGGCTTAGGCTTAGTAGGCTTAGGTTAAGTAGGCTTAGGCTTAGTAGGCTTAGGCTTAGTAGGCTTAAGCTAAGTAGGATTGGGCTTAATAGACTTAGTCGTAGTAGGCTTAGGCTTACTTGGCTCACGCTTAAGTTTATTCTTTGGTTACTATTTGCTTAGGCTTAGACTTAAGGGATAAGTTCAGCATGCCAAGGCTAGAAAAACCAGGGTAGTGTAAAATACGAAAATAGCAATTGTACCCGTTTTTTTGACAAAACAAGTAAAGTTTCAAGCAAATACGAATATTTTTTCATTTCTCGCCACCCACGTTTCTCTTCGTTTTCATCAAATTCAACCTTCTGGAGCATTCATAATATCTTTAAAGCCCCCCGAAATATCTTTAAGCCAAAAACGACGCGAATATTTCTCCCCTTTTTTCTCACTTGGCCTTAATCTCTTATTATCTTTGGGGTTTTACGCACATGTTGGTCCTCAAACAGTACGAACAAACGTGCTGGATTAGGGGCTTGAATCTTTGACTTTGGGAAGTTTAAGTGGGCTTGGTTGAATTTGTCACTACGAGATTGGAAGTTAAATAAAATTTTTGCTTTTGTTACAGTATGTGATACTTTAAATTTTGGGCAGGGTAGGATATATAAAAATTTTTGGCAGGGTATTATATGTTTCGGATGGGGGGGGGGTGTTTTTTCAAATTTTTTTTTAATTTCGTAATTTCGTACACAATTTTGTTGAGAATTATGTGAGGTGGATTTTTAAGTAAAGGGGGTGTTTTTTGAGGTTTATATGGGTAGGGGTGTTTTGATTTTTGCCGATATGACATTTTTATGCTTTACCTATTAGGACGTGCATAGACTTAGAGTAGGGCAAGGATACCAGGTATAAGGATAGAAATAAAGCTACAGCATGTGTTATTAGTTGGGCTGGGGCTGTGTATAAAACGAAGGACAGAGCTAATGTTGGTGCTATTGTTAGGGCTAGAGATAGAGCTGGAGATAGAGCTAGAGTTAGAGCTAGAGATAGAGCTGGAGTTAGAGCTAGAAACAGAACCAGAGCTAACGCGAGATACAGCTAGCGATAGGGCTGCATAATTTTTATTTTGCAACAAACAACTATAGTTTCTTAATATTTACAACCTGAGAGTTGAGTACGAAACAAAAATAGTATTTTTTGCAAAAATTTTTAGCAATGTATTGTACTCACTACAATAATGTAAATTGAAGAAATGTCAATAGTTATATTATTGTAGTTTTCAAGATGTTTATCTTCTGTCATACACATACAATTTTATTGACAATATGCGACTTTTATTAAGTTTTTTTGTTGTAGTAGTTTGTTTTGTATGACTTGGTCACGAGTAATCGTCTTTTATAGTCTTTATTCCGTTTGTTACAACTTGGGCATTTGTACAGTGTTATTAAGATCGTGATTTTGTAAATGACAAGTGAGACATTGGGGGTACTGTAGTTTTTGAGTACTTGGACTCAAACTGAATCTGTTTTAATTTTAGGCTTAAATTTGAAAATCCAGTGCTTATACTATGCCCATTGGGTTTTTGGATATGATATAAGTAACGTAGGCTAGGCTAGGGTTTAAGCTAGTGACAAAGCTAGGGCTAGGGCTTAGGTTATTTCTAGGGCTAAGGCTAAGATCAGGCCTATAGCCTTGGCTAATAATAGCGCTACGGCCTGGACTAAAGCTTGTGGTAAGACCTTAATTAAGGCCTAGATGAGGACCTGGACTAGGGATAGCGTTTTGGCTAATACCAAGGCTACAACTAGGCCAGCTAGGACTACGTCTTAGGTCTATGGGGCAGGGTAGCTGCGATTAAGAGGTTGGGTAGGAGTAGGCCTAGGATCAGGGTTATTACTAGGGATAGAGCTTGAGCTAGGGCTAGGGCTAAGAACCAAGCGAGTGCTATGGCAATGGCTTGGGCTAGGGCTAGAGAAAAATCTAGAGCTAAATCTAGGGCTATGTTGGAGTGTTAGGGCCTAGTAATAGTACCAGAGCTAGGGCTAGGACAAAAATTAAGCTAGGGCTAAGTATTTTTTTAAAATTATAATTTTAAAAATTTTTTTTTAAAATTTAACTTTTTAAACATTGAAATTGAATATAAATCAAAGTTTATACCCTTATCACTGACCTTCAGTTACAATTAACTACGAAGGGAATGTTGTTGTTGACCACTTAATTACTCGAATTAAGAGTAAGTATTTAGTTGTGGGGGTCGTCAGTTTTCTCTCAAGGCTATATAATTTTTTTTTCGGGAGTGCGTGAGCGGAAAGCGGGTGGTGAAGACGCACCAGCCTTTGGATCTTTTATTTTTCAGGGAAAAGTTCGATGGAAATGAAACCAGTGCTTAATATATTATTAAGGGCCTAATGGGTGGGGGAAAGGGGGGGGGGAGGATGTGCAATTAGGGATGGGAGAAGGGAAATTATATTTTTTCAAATGAAAGTTTTTAAGGTTTGGGTAGTGTCACTCACTACAATAATGTAAAAATGGCTTAGGCTGAGGCTTAGGTTTAGGCTTAGGCTTAGGCTTGGGCTTAGGCTTAGGCTTAGGCTCAGGCTGAGGCTTAGGTTTAGGCTTTGAGGTAGGGTCAGGGTAGTGTAGGGCTGTAGAAAGGCTGGGTAAGGGTACATTAGAAGGAGGTAACGTAGAGCTACGCTAAAGAAAAATAAGAGTAATTTGAGAGTACGGTAGGGTAAGGTAAAATTGATTAAAGCTTTCAGTAGGGCTGTGTAGAGGTAGAGCTGGTGTAGCGTAGGGCGAAGGAAAGGCTGGTTTGAGCTAAGAGTAAGGTTAAGAACCGGTATCGTAGTGTAGGGTAGTGGGGTAGATCCCCTTGGGGAGGTAGGGTAGGGTAGGGTAGAACAAGATCATGGGTAGGGTTATTTTTCTGTCTAGTTGCAAATCCTAATTATCCGTGTGTTTTGACCTCATTCATTGTAAAAACATTGTCGTTAGTATTTATGTCACGTAAAATTAACCGCATTAAAAGTGTCAGCTGTTTTGCAAATTTCGAACTTTTAAAACAGTTTTTACGTAGAATATACTTTAGTAAACAAAGGCTTGGTAAGCTCAATCTACGGTTAAGTTTAGGTCTAGGGTCAAAAGGGCTAGACTTAGACTTAGTCTTACGCTCAGGGTTAGGTTTAGGCTTAGGCTGTGGCTTAGGCTTGTTCTTAGGCTTAGGCTCTGGTTTAGGCTTAGGCTTAGACTTAAGCTTAGGCTTAGGCTGAGGCTTAGTTTTGGGCTTAGGCTTAGACTAGGCTTAGGCTTAAACTTAAACTTAGGCTTAGGCTGAGGCTTAGTTTTGGGCTTAGGCTTAAACTAGGCTTAGGCTTCGGCTTAAATTTAAATTTAAACTTAGGCTTGGGCTGAGGCTTAGTTTTGGTCTGAAACTTAGACTAGGCTTAGGCTTAAACTTAGGCTGAGGTTTAGTTTTGGGCTGAGGCTTAGACTAGGCTTGTGTTGAGGCATAGGCTTAGGCCTAGGCTTGGGTTTTACCTTGTCTCTGACTCAGATTTAGGCTCATTGAGGTCAGAAATTCGCTTAGCAGACTCGGTATACTTAATCTTGTTTATTTAGGCTATTTTACTTTTATTTTTATACGTGTTTACTTTTTATACCCTTACAAAATCGTGTTGATTATTAGCGTGCTTAACATATTTTTTGAAATTTTTAAATTAAAAGTGTTTTAAAATTGTAGAAATTTCAAAACATATTAACTTACACGTACAAAGCGTGTCGTTTCAAACTGACAAACATATTTTTAGGTATAAAAAACATTTTTTCCTCTTACCTTTTGTATTTTTAGGTACAATTGCGATGCGAAGGCGTTTCCACATCTGACCCGCAGGTAAGGAACGCCCAATCTAATTAAGCGTACAAACCGTTTTGTAACGTTTTTTTCCCCCAAATACGACGATATAAAAAGTCATGGAAGAAAGGAAAACAGATTTTCAAACTTATTTTTTATATTTTGAAGGACATTCACATTAACGGAATTGTTTTATTTATTCGAGAGGTAGTTAACATGTTGTTTTAGTGGGTGAGGGTCGTTTCAGGTAGTGCTGGACGTTGTGGTAGGGTAAAAAATGAGTAGGAGTAAAGTGGTTAGAATAAGGGTATGACAATTTTATGTTTTTATTTCTTTGTTGGGTGGTGGGGGGGGGGGGGAGCTGGATTTTGACTTAAAATTTGACGTAGGTTAAAGCTTTGTAGGGCAAATTAAAGGAGAGCTTTGGTTGTGGCTTAAGCTTAGATTTAGGCTTGAGATCAAACTTAGCAACGGCTAGTGTGTAGGGTATAGGCTAATGCTAGGGTTGTGGGCTAGGGCTAAAGCTAGGATTAGACATATAGCAACGGCTATGGTTAAGGCTAGGAATAAGGCGAGGACAAAGCTAGGGGTTAGATTAGGCTTAGGGCTGCGGCCTGGCTTACGTTGAGGCTCGGGGTCCATATTGGGTTTGATTGATGTTAGGCTTATTCTTATGCTAAGTAGGGCTTTGCATAGTTCTGAGTAAGATAATGCAGAGTATTTGAAAGTTTAGTAGAGTATAGTTGAGTAGAGTAGGGTAGGGTAGACATGGGCGCGCCTACCTTTCAGGCCGGCCATCTAATATTTGCTTGGCCTGGCTCTAATTTCTTTATGTAGCAACGGGCCGGGCTTTTTCGGGATTTCGAGGCCCGGCCCGAACTGAATTTTTCTTATTCCCGGCTTGTTATCCATGTCTAAGGTAGGGTAGGGTAGGGTAGGGTAGGGTAGGGTAGGGTAGGGTAGGGTCGGGTAGGGTAGGGTAGGGTAGGGTAGGGTAGGGTAGGGTGGGGTAGGGTAGGGTAGGGTAGGGTAGGGTAGGGTGGAGTAAGGTAGAGTCGGGTAGGGTATAATAGGGTAGGATAGGGTAGGGCATTTATTTTTTAAAATTAATTTTGATTTTTTAGCTAAAATTTTCTTCTTTTTAGCGATTTTTGTTTGAAACTTGGCCGATGTGATGGACTTGTTGCAATTCTTCTGCAATGAAGACCAAGAAGTACGTTTTTTTATTTTATCGCAATAGTTTTGAAAAAAAATATTTTTTTTTTAAATTTAGGTATTTCAATCATCTTCTGCGAATTCAACAAGTCTGCCATTGTTAAACGAATGTGTTCTTCATGGTTCTTTGATCTTCTTGCCCTGTTGGTTCTTTCTCTTCTTCTTGCCATTGATTTGTTTTGACATTACCAAAGATGACAAAAAACAGAAACTGCGATTGGACACGCCAATCAATTATCGACTGGTATGTTGGGATTGATTTTAAATTTTTAGAATTAATATTTTAGGCTTATGTTTGTATTTTTATTCTTAAAATAGAAGTTTTAGGCTAGAATTAAAAATTAGGGTTAGGCTTGAAGGCTTAGGCTTGAGTTTAAAACTTTAGGGTTAAGTATACATTTTATAGGCTTAATTTTGAATGTTTAAGACCTAAGGTTGAACTTTTAGATATAGGTTTGAATATTTAGGCTTAAATATGTATGTTTGTGCTTAAGTTTTAAAGTTTAGGCTTAAGTGTAAAGTTTTAGGCTTACGCTTGAATGTTTAGGCTTAAATATTAATGTTTAGGCTTAAGTATGAAAGGTTAGGTTTTCGTGTTCAAGACTAGGCTTAATTATGAATCTTTAGGCTCGTCTATGAATGTGTATGCTTAAGTTTGAATTTTTAGGCTTACGGTCGAACATTTAGGCTTGAGTTTGAAATTATAGGCGTACGTTATGAAAGGTTAGGCTTGAGACTGATAAGTTAGTCTTAAAGGCAAAATTTAAGTTTAACGTGAGCTTTAGGGTTAGTTTAAGTTCTACGGTTAAGTTAATAACTCTAGGCTTAGCTTTAAAATTTTGGGCTTAAGTTTAAAAAGTTAGGCTTAAGTTAACAAGTTTATGCTTTACTTATTAAAGATCAGGCTTAAGATTGATAACTTAGGCTTAATTTTGAACGTTTAGGCTTAATCTTGAAACCATAGGCTTAAGTTTTGATGTTTTTAGGTAGCTTTATAATTTTAGGCTTAGTTATACAATTTAGGCTTAATTTCGTATTTTTAGTTCTTGTCTGTCATCCTTGATCTCATAATATGGGTAATGTTGTTGAACGCATTTCACGAGACCTACATTCGACCACTGCCATTATCGACCGACGACTGGAAAGAAATCGCACCCTATGCCGCTTTGGCTATCGTATTTACCATATCCATATATGTCAGCTACAGAGTAAAACAGAAGGGGATTCTGACGTCTGGAGTTCTATTTATTTTCTACTTTCTGCTTACAGTATGCGCATTGCCGGAGTTACTGTATATTCTTCAGGAAATTGGTGAAGGGAATAAGGTAAGGTTATTGTAACATATTTTTGATGGAGTATTGTATTAATAATAATAGGTCAGGTTGTGGTACACTGTATGGCATTACTGTAGTACCTTAGGAGTATCGCTGTGATATTATAGGGTATTACTGTATTACTATAAGGCATCATTTAGTCTTGTACAGTATTAAGGTGGTACTGTAGGGTCTACATGTGGTACTGTAGGGTACTATAGTGGTATTATAGGGTACTATGACAGTACACTACAGTGCTATTGTTGTACTGTAGGGTATTCATTTTTTACTGTAGGGTAATAATATGGTACTGTCGGGTATCAATGTGGTACTGTAATGGGATCCACTGTGGGTATGTATGGTACTACTGCGATACAGTACGGTATTATCATGGTACTGTACGATGCTGCTAGGATATTCTAGGGTATTACAATGGTACTGTAGGGTATAACTGTAGGGCTTTAGGGGTATCACTGAGGTACTGTAGAACTGTAAAACTTTACCGTCTAGTTCTACTGCTGAAGTACTCTAAGATGATGCTATGACATTCTGTACTAACGACTGTAAACATTTTTTGTAGAAAAATTAATTTTTAAGTTTACGGTATTATTTTGTCACTTAATATACTTATTTTCAGCTCCTAGTGCATAGTATATTGTTTATCCCATACTTTGTACTCAATTTCTTGATACTTGTTCTAAGTTGTTTTGCTGATATACCAAAACAAAAGTATGATAAGGTAAGTGGGTATACAATTGAAAACTTCAAAATTCAAAAAATTTTTAAATTTTAAAATAAAAAAAATTTTTAGGTTCAGGTTTGGTCTTGGGGTTAATAACGTTTAGGCTTGATGTTGCTAAGCTTATCGTTAAGCTAAGCAGGCCGGGCTAGGCATATAAGGTAGGGTAGGGTAGGGTAGGGTAGGGCGTCGGAGGGTAGGGTAAGATAGGGTAGGTAAAACACCAAGTAAAATAACCTTTGGTTCAATCAAAAAATGGCATTTTCAGAAAAAGGCCTGTCCAGAAGAATACTCATCATTTCTGAACCAGATCAGCTTCCATTGGTTCACCCAAATGACATGGACTGGCTACAAACAAAGCCTCAAAATGGAAAATATGTGGGATTTGAATACGAATGATGAGTCATCAATGCTGCTACAAGAATATGAAGGACATCGACGGAAGGAGGAGATTGGTAAGATTATATTATAGTTATCAGAGTAAGAACTTCTTAGACTAAATTTAATCCATAGTTGCGAAATGTCACAATTTTTTTAAAAAATATTTTTAAAGCGTAATTATATTTCAAAACTTGATTTTTGTTTTGAAAAAGCTTTGAAATTGAAAAATTTTAGATTATAACGAAGTGTCACAAAAATTATCGATTTTTGATAAAATGTCACGAAATGTATTGATTTTCTTAAAAAAACAACAAAACGGTTTTTAAGATGTATGGCATTAGTAATCGTTTAAAAGATAAAAAAATTTTTAGAACGAAGTGTAATAATTGACTTTTGACGAAATGTCACAAATTTTATTGATTTAAGATTAAGAATATTGAAAATTGGTTTTTAAAACAAGGTTTTGTATAGATAATTAAAAAACAGTTTTTTAATTATTGATGAAGTGTCACAAAAATTATTGATTTTTAACGAAATGTCACAAATTTTATTGATTTTTTAAATAGCATGTAACTAGTGTTTTAAAACATTTTCCTTTGAGTTAGTTTTAAAAGAAAGTTTTTTGGTTTTCAAATTGGTACAAAATTGGCTTGATTTTAACGAAATGTCACACAATTTATCGATTTTTCCTTAAAAATTGGTCTTATTGTAAAATACGTCAAACGGAACCTTTACGTCATATAAATAATAATGTGAACTTATTTTCAGCCCATGCCCGCAAGCACTACCACAAACAAGTCCCAAATGGCAAGCAGCAACTACTTGAGAACTATCAAAAACCCCAAGAAGAAGGTGATAAAAAGAAGGAAAAGGCCCAATTTCCGTCGATTTTAATGCCTCTGACCAAATGTTTCAAATTCTCGTTGATTTCTGGAGCACTCCTGAAGTTTATATTCGATTCAGCACAGTTTGTATTCCCACATTTGCTCAAAATGCTCATCAGGTTCATTCAAAACGGCACCGATCCCAAATGGTACGGCATTGGAATTGCTGTCACCATGCTCTTTATTGGAGTCGTACAGTCATTTGTAAGTTTTTGACGGGTTTTTGGTACTGTTTAGTACTATATAGTACTCAAGTTTAATTTTTTTTGTTTATGGTGCTATATAGAATTAAAATTAAAAAACTCTTTTTTTGGCGTTGTATAGTACTATATAGTATTAAAAATTAAAAATTTGTTTTTAGTTTTTTATAGTATTGTGTAGTACTAGAAGTTAAATTATTTTTTAGTTGTTTATGGTGCTATATAGTATTAAAAATGTTAAGAATTGTTTTTTTTTGGTTCTGTACCGCATGGTACTGTATAGTACTGAAAATAAAAAATTTTTGTTTTCTTACCGTTTATGGTGTTATACCGTACTATTATTTACAAAAAAAGTATTTAACTTTGATATGGTACTGCTTGGTACTATATAGTATCAAAGTTTATAAAAGCTTATTTTTGTATTTTTGATACTGAAATAATTCTGAAGTTGTCTTAAAATTGTCTTTAATACAATGAAAAGTGTGTTTTTAATATACCTAGTTCCATTTCAGATCCTTCACCAATACTTTCATATCATGTTTCATACGGGTATGAAGATTCGGTCGATTTTGTCATCAGTTGTGTATAAAAAGGTAATATGTTTTTAAAAATTATTCTAAAAGTCTCATTAACAACTTTAAAAAACTTATAACATGTCAGTTTTTGAATATTTTTCAAATCTAATAAAATTTGTGGCATTTCGTCCGAAAATCAATAATTTTTCTGACATTTCGTCAAGTATGGTCATTTTTGTAAAAATTAAACGCAAATTGAAATGCATAACTTATAATGATTCGAATGTTTTTAATTTTTAAAAATTGATAAATTTTGTAGTATTTTGTAAAAAATCAATAGTTTTTTTGACATTCCGTCAAATTTGGCAAAATTTAAAAAGAAAGTCTAACTTACATTAAATTTTGTAAAAAATGCTATTTTTGTGTTAAAAAATGCTATAAAAATTACCTAAAACATAGAAAACCAATCATATCAGTGGCATTTCGTCTAAACCAATAAAATGTCTGACATTTCGTCTAAAACTCCAATTTTCAGGCAATAAACCTTTCAAGTAAAGCCCGTAAGAACCGTACCGTTGGCTCATTGGTTAATATAATGGCAGCCGACGTGCAACGCTTCCAGGATGTCACTACTTATGTCATGATGCTGTGGTCAGCACCATATCAAATGATTCTTGCTATGTATTTCTTATATCAGGTGTTGGGTTGGAGTGTTATATGTGGAGTTTTAATTATGGCTTCGTTGATTCCAATCAATAGTAACATTGCCAAGGCTATGCAGAAGTATCAGGTAAAGGTCAATAGAATTTGTGGCATTTCGTCAAAAAGATAAATAATTTTATTGGCATTTTGTCAAATATGTCATTTTTTGAAATTGACATTTTAAGTCTTTATTGACTTATATTTACTGAATTTTCAAAAAAACGATAAAATTTGTGACATTTCGTTGAAACAATCAATAATTTTTGTGGCATTTCGTCTAAATTTAGAAATACTTAAAATTTTTATTACCAACGCGATTTTAACTAAAAATTTTATTTTTTTACAAAAAAACGCAACAACTTTTTTTCCAGGCCCAACAAATGGAATGTAAAGACAAACGGCTTCGTATGTTGAACGAGGTAATCAGTGGTATGAAACTGGTCAAGTTGTATGGTTGGGAAGAGGAAGTGAAGCAAAAAATCCTCGACGAACGTGAAAAAGAGATTCGAATTTTGCGGAAATTAGCATATTGGAACGCTGCGACGTCGCTGACCTGGGCTTGTGCACCATTCTTGGTCGCAGTTACCACCTTCAGCGTATATGTGTTTGTAGATCCTGCGAATAACTTACTGACACCCGAGAAGACATTTGTGGCTTTGGCTTTGTTTAACATATTACGGTTCCCTATGGCTGTGTGTACTGTACTTTGTACTCAAGTGGCACAGTTTCGGGTCAGTAACGACCGGTTGAAAGAGTTCTTGGCCGCTGAAGAGGTGGATCGGGCCAAAAGTAGAAGATACGACGTTAGTAAAGGGTTGATAAGTGAAGGTAGGTTGAGGTTTTATTAGTCTTAACTTTAGCTCTAGCCACAACCCTAGTGTTACCACTACTATACCACCGCCCCCAATTAAAAAATCATTTCCAGACCCCGAAAAACCCCGCCACACCACATCAACTACCCAACCAAACGCAGTAACACTAACCAATGCCTCATTCGCCTGGGACCCAGAAGATGCCTATGGTACCGCCCTATCCGACCTCAACCTCACGATCGAGCACGGCAAACTCGTAGCCGTGATTGGTCGAGTCGGATCAGGAAAGACCAGCCTAATCCAAGCCTTGTTGGGTGAAATGTACAAAGTTCACGGTACCTGCGAATTAAATGGCAGAGTCGCTTATGTACCACAGCAATCGTGGATATTAAACATGACTGTGAGGGATAACATACTGTTTGGCAGTATTTATGATGAAACCAAATACTATAAGATCATTGAAGCATGTGCGTTGGAGCAGGATTTGAGGAGTTTGAGTAATGGGGACATGACAGAAATAGGGGAGAAGGTACGTTCAGCCAATAATTTTTGTGACATTTCGTCTAATCTTGTAAACGTAATTTATAAAGGCCCTTTTAAAACTATTAGGGGTTTAAATGGCATAATAACTTAAAAAGTATCACATATATGTTTTTTATTGTCACTGTTTTTAAAATTTTGAAAAAATCAATAATTTTTGTGACATTTCGTCTAATTTTGAAAACCTTATTTAATGATATTTAAAGCTTTATAGAGGTTAATACCAATATAGCAAAATTTTACATTTTTAAAAACCAATAATTTTTGTGACATTTCGTTACACCTTTAAAAAAATCAATAATCTCATCGAATTTTGTCCCTAAATCATTTTTAAAGCCTACATAAATATCAAACCAATTTTAGGGCATAAACCTATCCGGCGGCCAAAAGCAACGTATCAGCTTGGCCAGAGCACTGTACGCCGACGCCGACATCTACCTTCTCGATGACGTACTGTCAGCTGTGGATGCTCATGTCCAGCGTCATTTGTTTGATCATGTTATACTTGATTTGCTGAAGGACAAGACAAGGTTTTTGGTGACGAATTCGTTGACGAACCTGAAGCATTGTGATCAAGTTGTTGTTATGAAAGGTGGTCAGGTGTCGGAGTTTGGTACTTATGAAGGGCTGATTCAGAAGCACGGTGAATTCAGCGAAATCGTGGAGGAATTCTTGATTGAAGAAGCGAAATCAAGAGGAAGATCGATCAGTTTTGGAGAGGATTGTAGGTTACTAATAACGCTACGGTAGCCTAAAAAATTTTTTTTAAACTTTCTTACCGTAACCCATCCTACTGTAACAGTTTTTAATTTTTACAGCCACAGACGTAAAAGAAGTCCTCGAAGAGCTCCAAGACCTGTTACCCAAAGAGAAACTGACTCCAGAATCCATTGAAACCAAACTCAACACAACCTCAAACGAAAAGAAGCTCAGTAGCTCCTCGATACCTACAATAACCATAACAGCACCGACTGCCAATAATACCCCCAAATTCCAAAATCACTTAACCAAACCTCAAAACGGTGCACCACCAGCACCAAAGCGACTAATTGAAGGTGAAAACGTCGAGACTGGCCAGGTCAAACTTCATGTCTACTATACCTACATCAAGTCGATTGGTCTGGCCTGTGTTACAATCTTTTTGGCAGCCTATGTGTTCTCCAGTGCACTTGGTATCTTGTCCAACATGTGGTTGGCACATTGGTCCGATAAGGCCGTGAGAATGAGGAATTCGAACTCAACTCAACCGGATATGGCATCAAACTTGGGGATCTACACCATGTTGGGTCTTGGTCAAGCTTTGGCTGTTTGTATCGCTGCGGTTTGGGTATCTTTGGGCATGGTAAAGGCGTCAAAATTACTGCACAGTAAAATGCTGGATGGTGTTGTCAGCAAACCCATGTGGTTCTTTGATATCACGCCGATGGGGCGGATTCTGAATCGGTTTTCAAAGGTAAACAGACATTTTTCAACCATTTCTCAAAATTTTCAAACCCTTTTTGCCAATTTTAATGCCTAAAACAACATAAAACAATACAAAAAACCTCCACCCACCTTTTTCAGGATCTCGACATGATAGATTCACGTCTCCCAAGCTCCGTCCTCAACTTTACCGGCTCAATAATTCAAGCTTTGGCCATCTTATGCGTCCCAATCATAATAACACCACAAGTAACTCCGTCGATCGTTGCCATCTTGGTCATATATTGCTTTTTGACCGTGTTTTACCTCAGCACGTCTAGACAATTGAAGCGACTCGAAGCTGTGACCAGAAGTCCGATTTATTCACATTTTGCTGTAAGTTTCGCTGAAAATTATATTATCGATGAGATAAATTAATATAAACACGGGGAAATTGAGAAAATAATAATGAAAGGCCGTGAAACGCGAAGGTAGATGTTCTTTTATTATTATGGGTTTAAACTGAATTGAATTAATTAAAAGGAACTTTAATTAATTCTTTACAATCTTACAATCCAGGGCGCAGCTTTCACTGAAACCCATTGAGACCTCGCGCCCATTGAGATCCCGAGCCCATTGAGACCCCAAACGCCCATTGAGACCTTGAAAGGAGGTTCGGCGGAGACTTTAGGGGATTCGGCGGAGGGTCGGCGGAGACTTTAAGAGATTCGGCGGAGACTTTTATGCATCCGGCGGGTATCTACCCAATTTTACCCCTAACCTTTTTAGCCCTACCCAAACTTACCTTTGCCCTTTCTACCATACCCAACTATACCATACCCATCCTTTATAATATACCATAAGATATCCTGTGTTACATACTACACCATACCCATCTTACTAAACATACCATACCAAACTATACCATACTCTACCATATTGTACCTAGTATACCATACCCTACCATGACATCTACCATACCAAACCCTACAATACCCTACCATATTATAACATGCCATATCTTACCATAAAATACCAAACCTTAAATACCATACCATACCATTCTATACCATTCTAAACTGTACCATACCTTACCTTATACAACCTTATACAAAACTACCGTGTACTATCCGTGGGTATGGTAGAATAAGTAAGTAAAACAACATATGTGGTATAACATAGTCTAGTATAGTATGGCATAGTATGATAAAATATGGTACGTTATATTATTCCTGTGTCCTCCGCCGAATCCTCTAAAGTCTCCGCCGACCCTCCGCCGAACCTCCTTTCAAGGTCTCAATGGGCTTTTGGGGTCTCAATGGCTCGGGGTCTCAATGGACCCGGGGTCTCAATGGGCGCGAGGTCTCAATGGGAGGGATTCCGCAGCTTTTCCCGTTATTTTTTTGAAAAATGTTATTTTAGGCGGTTTCTTTTGGGTATAACCGCGACCAAACTTTATCAAAATTTATGTTTTATGTCACAAAATGAAGATAAATTTGTTTTCTTTCCAATCCATTTTGATAGTTACATACAAACACGCGATTTTTATATTTTTAACGAGGTTCAGCAATACCTACATAAAATAAATTATAAACCTTGTTTTTTCTTATTGACGTAACTTTGGTCTTTCTTAATCAATTTTTATGAATTTTAGCTTAAAAGCAAGGTAAATTACTCTGTTTTATAAAAAATGTACAAAGGTTTTGCAATAATAACAGTTTGTTTATATTTTGACTATTTTACACACCAACTTCGATATTTCAAGGTTAATATAATTTTTGCTTGCTTTTCAGGAATCTATTAATGGTTCAGCCTCGATCCGAGCATTTAACTGTGAAGATAGGTTTGTTCGACGATCACAACAACTGGTAGATGAGAATCTGAAGGCTTATTATCCATCAATCGTCGCCAATCGGTAAGTTTTTTGGTTTTTTGTTGCTTTTTAGGTATTAATCGAGAAAACTGGCTGTTAAATACTTGTTAGAAGGAAGATTAGTATCCAAACTTGTTGTCTATTGTATTAGCAAGGGTAGACAAGACCCAATTACATCTTTTGATTGGGATTTAGGCATAAAACGTGTAATTTTAGATGGTTATCCGTGAGATTGGAGCTGATCGGAAATTTGATTGTGTTTTTCTCCGGAATTTTCGCTGTTTTATACAGTGATAATGGAGTTACAGCTGGTTTGATTGGTTTATCAGTGTCATATGCTTTCAATGTGACACAGGTTTTGAATTGGGCCGTTCGAATGTCAAGTGAGCTGGAGACGAATATTGTTTCGGTCGAAAGAGTGACAGAATACGCGGAACAAGCGTCTGAGGAGAGAGATGAAGAAGTGCAATTGGCAGTGGAACCATTGAGTGGTTGGCCAACGAATGGTCAGATCTCATTTGAAATGGCATCGTTCTCGTATCGACCGGACAGTGACGAGATTTTGAAGAATATCAATTTAAAGATCAATGCCAAGGAGAAGATAGCTATTGTTGGACGGACTGGGTCTGGTAAGAGGCTTTTTGGTACTGCTGGTACTATTTTATGTTTTTTTGGCTATTGTTGGTACTTTTCGGACGAAATGTTGCATTTCTAACTTTTTGGTGCAAATGGTACCATTTTTTGATTTTGGTACTACTGGTACTCTTTCAAGGTTTGGTACTAAAATATATTGTTTTAGGTAAAAGCAGCTTTGCTTTAGCTCTGTTCCGTCTACTAGAATCAAAGTCTGGCCGAATAACTATTGATAACGTTGATCTCTCAAAAGTACCATTACCAACTCTTCGCCGACGACTCACAATAGTACCACAAGACCCAGTACTATTTTCCGGCACTCTACGCATGAATCTAGACCCATCGAACCTATTTGACGAAGAATTCTTGTGGGAGGCGTTGGAGTACGCCGGAATGAAGCAGTTCGTCGCATCTCTACCAAATGCACTAGAAACGGAAATCAGCGAAGGTGGTGCCAATATTAGTGTTGGACAAAGGCAGTTGATCTGTTTGGCTAGGGCGTTGTTGAGGAAACCGAAAATATTGATTTTGGACGAGGCATCGGCTTCGGTGGATTTGGAAACTGATCAGATGGTTCATAGGACATTACGGTAAGTAGGAGGGTAGGGGAGGGGGATGCAGATTTCAAAAATTATTAGTTTTAAAGGGGTATCGCTTAAAATTTTGATTTGTAACGAATTGCTACCAAAATAATTGATTTTTGACGAAATGTCACAATTTCATTGATTTTAAAAATAACAATATAAAACCGATTTTTTACCTAGAATTTTTGTAGAGATCACTTTGCCGACTGCACAGTGCTAACAATAGCCCATCGACTGAACTGGCTCAGTGATGTCGATCGAGTACTGGTGATTGACAATGGAATGGTGGCTGAATTCGACACTCCTGATAACTTGTTGAAACGAGACGATTCACTGTTTAAATCCTTAGCCAATGAAGGCGATTTCACGATGAAAAAAGTGTCACAGGCTTCGGTGGATCGGATGACACCACCGAGAGTTGAGGTAAGTACTATATTAAAATTCGGTGCTGTGAGGGTTTGGTACTATAATTTGATGTTGTGAAGGCCTGGTACTATTATTTAGTGTTGTAAAGGCCTGGTGCTGTTATTTGGTACTTTATCGAAAAAAATTAGCCTTTAAAAAGTTTTGTCGTTTTTTAACGTAGGAAGCAATACAAATTGACGACAAGACTTTTTGTCAAGGCCTAACGGCGTCATATTATGATGGGAGAAGCTGTATTATAGTACGAAAACATATCATAGCGTACGGTAGATTCTATAATAGTATCCTTTTCAGCCAAAAACACAAACTACTGTAATATAGTGCTTGATAGCACTATAAACAAAGTTCTTGCGTTTTTTCCAAATTTTCAATTATTTCCATTACAGATAACACCAGCGGAAGCCGAAGAATCGACGGATCCAAATAATGAAGGGGAAGATGCACCGCTTCTCGACAACACCGTGGATTCAGAATCCGTGGAATCTGGATGATTTTTCGGAAATTTTGAAAACTTTTTATTTAAAAATGATCTCAACGGGTATTGAATATTAACTTTTATTTTGTTTTAATAAATTTTTAAGTTATTTCTTACTGTTTTTGCAAAATAAAACAAATCGGTAATTTTTGTGACACTTCGTCAAGAATCCAATAATTTCCGTGACATTTCGTCTAAACCTTTTTTATTACGTTTTATCATGAATATACAGCATTTAAGTCATCTTTGTAACCTTTACAGCATTTTCATTAAAAATCGATGGCTTTTGTGACACTTCGTCGAAAATCCAATAAATCCTGTGGCATTTCATCCACATTCAAAGTTAACCCATTTTATCAAAATACACCCCAAAAGCAGCTCAATCATCTTTATTTTTTCTCAAAAAATACTGTAATTCACCCGCAGAATTACAGTATCCTCCACTACTCTACCGTACTACTTGCCGACGTGCATCCAGAGGATGAGTGCGTTTTGGTAGTCAAAGAGGTTGCTGTAGGGCACGTCCTGAATCTTGTCCATGTGAATAAAGTCGCAGATGATGTCGACCTTGTTCTCGTTGTCGATCGCGTAGCCCCACAGCGGATTCTGATTTCGGCTGAGGCGAAGGCGTTGATAGGATTCTAGTGGCTTCTTGGCATTATCCGTTCGCCAGACCAGCTCGTTTTCTTTGACACTGAAACGAAGTGGTTATAGAGTTGTACTGTGGCTGATAAGGTATGAAAGTTGGAAAAATTACAGTAGAAAGTGCAACAGTATAAAAGTAAAAAGAGACAGTATGACAAGTTACAGTATAAAAATGTAAAAAAGTACAGAATCTCTACAGAATGAAAGTTGAAAAAATTACAGTAGGACGTACTAAAGTACAAAGATTAAAAAAAGTACAGTACGACTGGCTACAGTGTAAAAAAGCAAAAGAAATATCAAAGTTCAAAATTTTTGAGTACAGTACCATAAATACAGTACTTAATTCCCGTACGATACTATGAAATACCGTGCTCAATTTCAGTACAGTACTATAAGATACTGTACTAAAATTGGAGGACAATACTCAAAATTACACTAAGGAACCCTCCCTCCCCTCCCAAACTAAGAATTAAAATTTTTAAGTACAGTGCTCAAAAAGTACAGTACTATAGTTTACAGTACGCTAAACCCTACCTGAATCCAGCACATTTGACAGCGTCATTGATACATCTAAAGAGTGATCGGTCATGAGGTACAAATCGATTGCGAATGTAAAAGTAAGCTGGCTTCTTTGCGTTGTTGGGATACCCTTTCTTAATGATCAGAACGTTCACACATACTCTGGAACGTGCTTGGTTAGTACAAGCTATTGATATACCTCATTATTATAAGCATAGTTGTACAGTAACCGTACCGTACTCTTAAAATTTCCTATCCTACTATAGCCTACCATGGCCTACTTTAAACTACCCTACTCTACCGTACTCTACTCTACCGTACCCTACTCTACCGTACCCTAAACTACCGTACCCTACTCTACCGTACCCCACCCTAAACTACCCCACCCTAAACTACCTTTCCCTACTCTACCGTACCCTGCCCTACCCTACCATGCCCTACCCTAATCTACCTTACCATGCCCTACCCTACCATGCCTTACCTTCTACCCCAATACCAGTTTGTAGTAAAATACTACTGCAACTCACGTATTCTCATCCAACAATCGTTTATCAGTTGGACCGAGTTCTTTCGGGATCTGGTCGTTCGCTGGTGATGGCAGTTGCATTACCTCTTTCTCGCGGAAGGAGCTACCATGTTGTGATGGCAAATTGTAGGTTTCACGCTGAAAATAAAAAAAAATATTTAATTAGTTTTAGCCTGAAACTTAAGGTTTAAGCCTAAATTATTACATTTTAAGCCTATAAAATCATAATTAAGCCTAAAGTGTTTAAAAAACTAATTTTTAAGCCTAAAAAAATATAAACAAAATTAATTAAGCCTAAAACATCAAACTTTAACCTAAAAAATGTTTAAAAATCGTTTTTAGACCTACAAATGACTTTTTTTACGTTATCCTAGGCTAAAAAAGTAATGTTTCGTTTAAAAACAAGCCTGAAACTTAACAAACTAAGCCTAAAACAGCAATTTTTAACCTAAAATAATATAAAAAAAATTCTTTCTCAAGCCTGAAAAAAATCCTTTTCAACGTTATTTTAGGCTTATTGTAATGTTTTGTCCAAACACAAGCCTAAAAAAGCTTATAATAAGCCTAAACTCAATAAAATAAGCCTAAAACCCCCCTTGTTAGTCAAAAATTATATAAAAAACAACCATTTTTAAGCCTAAAACTACAAAATAATTAGCCTTAAGCATAAAGAAATATAACAAAAATCATTTCTAGGCCTACAACTGCGTAAAATAGACCTGAAATCACACTTTTTAGTCTAAAACAACTTACCGCAGTAACCGCATTGTCTTCATTCTCCACCTGGACTGGACTAGTCGTGAATGTGCCGTAGTCCTTTCTCTTATCGACGGTCGGAAATTGGGTTTCGTCTTTTCGCCTCAGCTTGTCTCGAGTCAACTCTTCCGTGGTGGTACCGGGTGACTGGGCGGTACCGGTTGACCGCTCCGATAATAGTCTGACTAGGTTTTTGGTGTAATTAAAATTGGTTTTGGTCGGTTTCATTGACGTAGTGGCCAATTGAATGTAGTCCGGTTCCGCGGTCTTTTCGGATGGTGGGATCTGTAAATGGTACTATTGAAAGAAAAAATGGTACACCTGGGTTAAAAATAGTATTCGCGCATTGAAATAGTACCAGTGAGCCAAAAGTAGTACTAAAAATTAAAAAATAGTACTAAAAATAAGTCAGAGTCGAAAACGTACTATAAAATTAAAAATGGTACTATTAAGTACAAAATGGTACATTTAAGTTAAAAACCGTGCTAAAAATCAAAAATAGTACTATTAAGTCAAAAATGATACTTTTGAATCAAAAATCTTATTATAGAACACAAATAGTATTTTAAGCTAAAATTCGTGCTAATAATTTAAAAATGGTACAACTAAGCCACAAATAGTACTGTTGAGTCAAAAACGGTCCTATTAGGTACAAAATGCTGCTTTTAAGTAGAAACAGTACTAATACTTGAAAAATAGTACCAGTGAGATAAAAATAGTACTAAAAGGTTAAAAACAGTACAATAGAACCAAAAATAGTACTAAAAATAAAAAATAGTACTACTAATTCAACAATAGTACTAGAAAATGAAAAATAGTACGATTGAACCAAAAATAGTACTTTTATGTCAAAAATAGTACTAATATTTCAAAAACAGTACCATAGACCCAAAAATAGTATTAAAACTGAAAAACAGTACTACTTAGTCAAGCATAGTACAAAAAGGCTAAAAATAGCACAACAAAACCAAAAATAGTACTATAGTCCCAGAAATAACACTACAAAAAAATGGTACCAGTACCACAAAAAAAACTCACAGATTCAGGTGAAATGCCCCGTCTTCTGACCCTTCTTCGCTTCTTTTTCTCCTTTTCTTTCTTCTCTTTACTCTTGGCTTTACTCTTCTTTTTCTTCTTGGAGACCTTCGGATGTATCACAACATCAGACAAGTCGTCCATGTCTCGAGCAGTCTTTACAGATGAGGCTTGGGTCGGCACTCGTCGTCCCAGGGCTATGGCACGGTGGGCTAAAACGAAAATTTTTAAAAATTGAAAAAAATTAGTTACCCCGCCCTACCCATGTCTTGGCTTTACCCTACCGTACCCATGACCTTGTTTTACCTTACCCATGCCCTTTTTGTGCCCACCCCGGCTTGCCCATGCCCTAGCTTTACCGAACCCTACCCTTGCCCTTGTTGTGTCCTACCACCTCTTGCCCATGCCCTACCCCGACTTTCCCATGCCCTTGCTCTACCCAAACCTACCCTACTAATGCCTTTTTTACTCTACCGTACCTACTCATGCCCCTGTTGTGCCTTACGCCGTCTTGCCCATGCCCTTGATTTACCCAACCCTACCCTACCCATGCCTTTTTTGACCCTACCGTATCTTACCCTACAGCTACAATAACCCCAACCTACCGTAATCCTGCCCTATCAACCCTACTCTATTCTGCCCTATCAACCCTAACCATACCTACCCTACCCCAACATTTACCCTACTCTCCCCTACAACAACATCAAGCTTCACAACCCTTACCTGAAGCCGGACTACTGTCGTTTTTGGCTTTGGCCGTCCTGACTGAACATGAACGAGGTGGACTATCAGCTTTACTGTCCGATTTAGTCTTGTTACGCTTCGCTTTCCGATGACATTTGCAACGTTTTTGAGGTTCCTTCGACGCTGTCACTACTTTCAGACCAAATTTTTGACTAAAATGATACCAATATAAAAATTTCAAAAAAAATTTTAAATTTAAAAAGTTAAGCCTAATAAACATAATGAAACCTAAAACATGACTAAAACTAAGTTTAAGCCTAAAAACAAAAATTACGCTTTTAGCCTACAACAAGGCTACAAACCTAAAAAAATCCATACAAATCCTACATAGTACCTACAGTACTCATCGTGCTATATATTACCTACAATATTCATCATTTTATATAGTAGCTACAGTACTTATTTTATTACAGGCAGCAATCATAGTGATATATAGTGACTACAGTACTCACTGTGCTATATAGTACCTACAATATTCATCATTTTATATAGTAGCTACAGTACTTATTTTATTACAGGCAGCAATCATAGTGATATATAGTGACTACAGTACTCACTGTGCTATATAGTACCTACATTACTCATCATCGTGCTATGCAGTACCTACATCACTCATCGTTCTATATAGTACCTACAAAACTACACATGTCGTGCTATAACAGTACCTACAATACTCATTGTGCCATAAAGTACCTACCGTCCTTTCGCTTCAGGCGGATCGAAATGAGCTTGGAATTGAACTCCAGTCACTAATCGTTCATCATATCTAAAACAATATCTTTGTCAAAACTCTTGTTACAGTATGACAGGTGAAGTACAGTATGCAAGCTAAACAATAATTGAACGCTAAATTACAGTACCAAAACTAAATTACAGTATGAAAATCTAATTTACAGTACCAAAGCTAAGTTACAGTACGAAAGCTAAATTACAGTACGAAACACTATCTTTTAGGTAACAAAAGCCCACTATAACATAACCATACCCTTCCTCCTCCTTCTCCTTGGTTAAAGCCTTTGATTTTGCTTTGTCTTTGTCACAAGGCATGTTTCGACCAACTCTAATATACGACTACTTTTGACCAAAAATCGACCGTTCCCTAGAAATGAATGAAAGCAATTGAAAATGCCATTTTTAAACATATCTCTGTGACAAAAATGACATTTTTCTACATTTCGTAGTCTAAAAACGACATTTTCTAAAATTGTTACCTAAAAAATACAATTTAGTACCTAAAAATAGCTTAAAACCAATAAAAATCAAAGAAAAATGCCTAAAATACGCGATAAAACAAGAAAAAATGCAGAAAAAACTGAACTTACATCTACTACAACATGCCTTGACGAAATATGATGTCGAAATATCGTATTTCATCGTATTTTACATGATATTTGTCCTGTTCTATCCATTTTCCGACCCATCGATGAAAGAAATGAGCCCTGAACGAGAAGAAATCGCAAGAGAAGGAAGCACAAGCTGCGCCCGACTTGTTATACGATGAAACATGTCCGCGTGTATGAATGTAAGATTTTTTGTCAAAACTGTATTTTTACGCTAAAATACGATCGGTTAGTGTTATTTAAACTAAATTTCAAAAAAAATATTTTTTCAATTTTTTGCAATTTTTTAATTTTTTCGAAATTTTAAAACTTAAACTTTTTTTTTTAATTTTGAAGTTTACTACGGTAATTACGTGTAGTTTAGTTAATATAACAACAAGTGTATATTACCCAAAAAATATTAGGTGCTGAGACAACGTTAAGTAGCCTCTGGAGACAAATTAAAACTCAAAAAGAAACAGACACTTCTTGGTAAAAAAAATAATGATAAACACCATGAAAACGTAAAAAATCATTCATATAAGCACTTTAAGTCTATGTAGTAACACAAAATGTAATATGTTTATGGGCTTTGACCAGCGGCGTCGCTACGGATTTTTAAATTTAGCCTTAGCCTTACGCATATGCTCAAACTTACACTTAGGCTTACGTAAAATTCTGAGTTTTGGATTAGTTGTAATCTTAGGCTTCGACAAACGCTTTGATTTTAGAATAAGTTTAGGTTTTAAAATAAGCCTAAAGTTAAGGTTAGTCTTACAAGGAAAGTACCCTATCTTCCCCGCTCAGAATCAACTCAAAATTTTTATATGAATTCTTTGTACCACCAATAGTACCTATAAAAAATTTTAGATCGCGCTTTTAAGTTTTAAATTTAAATTATTTGGGTTTCCCGCCAATTTGGCAAATTTGGCATTGTGTTTCAAGCTTGTTTTTCGGCTTTCCAGATAAGCTACGCTTACAAATTTAAAACTGTAGGTTCATTTAAAGTTTTTCTACTAGTATATCAAAGAAAAATCATAAAAAATCAAAAAATGACAAAGTTACAAGCTTGAAACACAATGCCAAGTTGGCGGGAAGTTCAAAATGTCATTTTTTAATTTCGATTTTCTCGAGATTTCGTGGAAAGCGCGATTTAATACTTTGCTGAATACCTTATATTCACATGATCTTTCTTTATGAAAAGTTTGAAGTCAATCAGAGCGGGGCAGGTCGGGCACTTTCCTTGTTACTTTTAGATTCCAGTTTTAATTGAGGCTTAACTCATTAACAAAGGGCAAATACGATTTTTATTTTTAAAATAAAGTAACACATTACTTTAAATTTCGAACCGTTTGTTTTTATCCAATTCCATTCAAATTTCAAACAGCAAAAAGCAAAAAGAATTTGAAATTTGGAACACTTTAAACAAATTCAATTATTACCGTAATACCACAAAAAACTAATGCATTTTCTGTTTCGTTTTGATTTTTGGCCCACCCAAATGGGACCGTTCCCAGATCTTTATTGAAATTATTAAAACAAACATTTTCGAGATTCAAGACTTCCGGCCAAAAATTCGGAGAAATTACTTGGCTAGCTTACTTTTCAGGGATGGGCTGGATTTTTTTTGATACGAAGTCGAGAGGGAGGTGGAAGGGGTGGGGGATGATAAGAAGAACACTTTTTTATGTTAAAGATTAGTTTTGTTCCAGCACCGGTATGGTTACTGTACATTTCTATAGCTACGGCAGATATATTAGGTACCGACATAAAGAACCCGCCATATTTTGCCTGTAAGTTTCGGTAAAACGTGGCGGTTCTTTATGTTGGCACCTAATACAGCACGGTGTAGGTTGGAGTAGAACAAATTAGGGTAAGGTAAAGGAACTGTAGTTGAATACTGTAACTTGAGTAATGAGTGCCGTAGTTAGAGTACGGTAGATGATAAGTTCAAAGCACGGTAGGGTAGGGTAGGGTAGGGTAGGGTAGGGTAGGGTAGGGTAGGGTAGGGTAGGGTAAGGTAGGGTAGGGTAGGGTAGGGTAGGGTAGGGTAGGGTAAAGTTGAGTAAACCTACCGTAACCTTCTGCAGAACTATTTTTCGAATTTTGTTTTTTATAAAGTAGTTTAATTAAAATGCTAATTTGTGAAATTTTTGTCATTTCCCTAATAATGATGACAATATTATTGACACTGCGCGGTTTTTGTTTTTAAAATTTTTGACAGTTTAGGTCGTCTAAAATAATAATTGAGGGGGTTTGGCTGTATTGTCTGGGTATATATACTATTTGTCTTTACCGTAAAGTCTATTTGTCTATGTACGGTAGTGCTATATAAACCTAGGGTAAAGCTAGGTTTAACACCACGGCTAGAGCTAGGGCTAGGGCTCTGGGCTAGGGCTCTGGGCTAGGGCTCTGGGCTAGGGCTCTGGGCTAGGGCTCTGGGCTAGGGCTCTGGGCTAGGGCTAGGGCTAAGGCTAAGGCTAAGGCTAAGGCTAAGGCTAAGGCTAAGGCTAAAACTAAGGCTAAGGCTAAGGCTAAGGCTAAGGCTAAATATAATAGTACCAGTATTATTATAAGCTGTATAACATTATAATATAATCAAAATCATTTGGTTTACTATACCAAATAAAACTATAATATTATGCGGTTATTGTATAATGCTTTTTTCGGAGCAGATCGCTAAATATTCGATTCGATTTGAAATTTTATGGCTATAAAATTGGGCCTTGAAACCGAATTCGATTACTAATACCTTTTCGCGGTTTATACTGTAGTAGTTTAATTGCTTTGGTCTTTAATTTTTTTTGGAATTTATAGTAGGGCATGGTACGATAGGAGGCTGGGGTAATACTAAGGCAGGTAATTGGTTTAGGAAAGATAAACATAAGTAGAGTTATGTACGATAGAGTGAGACATACATATACAATATATAAATAGTAAAGTCGAGTTATGTTAGGGTACTGTACTAAGGTAGAATAGAGTAGGAACGGATAGGGTAGAGCACGGCAAAGTAAGGCAGGGTACAATAAGAAAAAAAGGAAATAGGGTAGGGTAGGGCAAGGTAGAGGGTAGGGTAAGGTAGGGTAGGGTAGGGTAGGGTAGGGTAGGGTAAGGTAGGGTAGGGTAGGGTAGGGTAGGGTAGGGTAGGGTAGGGTAGGGTAGGGTAGGGTAGGGTAGGGTAGGGTAGGGTAGGGTAGGGTAGGGTAGGGTAGGGTAGGGTAGGGTAGGGTAGGGTAGGGTAGGGTAGGGTAGAGTAGGGTTGGGTATGTTCCGCTAAACCTAGTGCTGAAATAACATGAATAAACAAATACTGCACAACCTTTTCATAGTAGTGCACAATACACAAATGAACAATATATACATAACAGACGCGTTAAATTACGCAACACACAAAAGTTTTTTATCAGCTTAGACGTATATGTGCAGTTAAAATAAGCCTAAGCTGCACATAAATTGTAAAGTAACGCTTAAGTATGCAGGAAAAACAACGCTTAGGCTTAGTAAAACAACGCTTAACTGTCTTACGTACTGATAACTAGTAAAGTACTTCATTTGTTATTAAGTAGGTACTGGGGTACGGTGACTAATTTAGGTTTATTTTTTCGGGAGGTGGGGGGAAGGGAAGGGGGTGATTTATTTTTTTGGGTTTTTGTTTTATTTTCTTTTAAATTTTTTAAAATTTTTTAAGAATTATTGTTTTATTTTTTTTTCATTATTTGTTTTAATTTTTTTGAATTTTTTAAAAATTCATTTTTTAATTTTAAACAAACACTTTTTAAATTATTTTATTGAATTATTTTTTTATTTTAAATTTTTTTTAAAAATTTTTTTTGATTTTTTTATTTTTTAAATTTTTTTTGAAAATTTTTTTGAATTTTTTTTTGATTTTTTAATTTTTTAATTTTTTAAATTTTTTTTGATTTTTAATTTTTTTTTAGTTTAAAATTTTTAAAAATTATTTATGTTTTTATTTTTTAATTTTCAATATTTTTGTTAAATTCATTATTTTTAAAAATTATTTATTTTTTTTTATTTATGTTTTATTTGATTATATTGTACTGAAGCAGTAAACGTGTAATTACGCATCGGGTTACGCATTATTTTTTAAAAATTTTTATTTTTTATTGCTTTAGTCTAGAATATGGTCGGCGTGGGTCTATCACTATTTTTCGGATATTTTTTGTTACCTAAATTTTTTTTATTATTTTTTAGTAAAAAAATGATTTTTCGCTGGAAAATTTTCACTTTTTTGCCCCAAAAAAATTTTTTTTTGCTCAAAAACTTTCAAAAACCGATAGACCCGTGATGATTGAGTATACACTGCTCCAAGGGCCTTGTATCTCAAACAAAAACGACCGAACGTCCAGACTTTAGCAAGACTTCTGAAGTCGCTGAGCGCGGGAGCGGGTGGTGCGTGTTCCAAAAACAAATTGTGTCTCTGGTCTGCTTATACCTCCAATTCCCATGTCTTGATCTCGGCAAAGGTGTCCTTGGCGCTGCCTTGAGAAAGCAGCTTAATACGCCGTCTGTGCCGGATGAGTAGAACGGGATTGGCAGTGATGGCTTGACCGGATTCGCAATATAGTTTTTGGAACAGTTGCGGCGCGCGGACCAGCCCAAAATGTACCATTTTGGTGCTGGGTTCTCGGTTTGGTCGGCTGTTATGCCGACCAAACCGAGAACTCAGCCCAAAGTGGTACAAAGCAGGGCTGGCTCTTATCTCCTCTGGGACCGGAAGGAAGGTCCCGGAGGAGATGAAGAGAAGAAGATGAGAAGAAGAAGTAAGAGAAGAAGAGCAAGAAGAAGATGAAGAAAGAGAAGAGGAAGAAGAAGAAGAAAGAGAAGAAGAAGGAGAAGAAGACAAAGAAGAAGAAGAAGAAGAAGAAAAAGAAGAAGAAGAAGAAAAAAGAAGAAGAAGAAGAAGAAGAAAAAGAAGAAGTAAGAGAAGAAGAGCAAGAAGAAGATGAAGAAAGAGAAGAGGAAGAAGAAGAAGAAAGAGAAGAAGAAGGAGAAGAAGACAAAGAAGAAAAAGAAGAAGAAGAAAAAGAAGAAGAAGAAGAAAAAGAAGAAGAAGAAGAAGAAGAAAAAGAAGAAGTAAGAGAAGAAGAGCAAGAAGAAGATGAAGAAAGAGAAGAGGAAGAAGAAGAAGAAAGAGAAGAAGAAGGAGAAGAAGACAAAGAAGAAGAAGAAGAAGATGATGAAGAAATAGAAGAGGGAGAAGAAGAAGAGGAAGATGATGAAGAAATAGAAGAGGGAGAAGAAGAAGAAGAAAGAGAAGAAAGAGAAGAAAAGAAGAGAAGAAGAAGAAGACGAAGCACGATGGAGAAGAAGAAGAGTTTGATCCGAGAAGAGGAAGAAGAATCGTCACCCTACCATCGTTTTACAAATGAGATATGAGTGGGGCTGATATAGACAACATAATTTTGTGTGCCATTATAAAATGGCTTGGCGTCGGTAGTCGGCTTGGTCGTGTGACATCACAAAAGCGTTGTGTAATAATTTTTATGCGCTTTGTGAACATTTAAAAATTTGAAATTAATATAAAGAAAGTGTAGACTTAGTTTTAGGCTTAGCTTTAGGCTTAGCTTTAGGCTTAACTTTAGGTTTAGTTTTAGGCTTATCTCAAGCTAAGCTTTAGGAGATTTTTTTTTAATTTTAAATTTAATATAAAGAAAGTTTAAGCTTAACTAAAGTTAAGCCTGGGCTTATTTTCAGTGTTTGCTTTAGGCTTAGTTTTAGGCTTACTTTTAGGCTTAGTTTTAGATTTAGCTTTAGGCTTAGCTTTAGGCTTAGTTTCAGTTTTAGACTTAGTTTTAGGCTTATTTTTAAGCTTATTTTTAGTTTAGGCTTAGCGTTAGGCTTATTTTTAGTTTTTGGCTTAGCGTTAAGCTAATTTTCAGTTTTAGGCTTAGCTTTAGGCTTTTTTAGGTTTATTTTTAGGTTTAAGCTTATCTTTAGGCTTATTTTAGGCTTATTTAGTTTTAGGCTTAGCTTTAGGCTTAGCTTTAGGCTTAGCTTTAGGCTTAGCTTTAGGCTTAGTTTTATGCTTAGCTTTAAACTTAGCTCTAGGTTTAGTTTTAGGCTTATCTTTAAACTTAGCTTTAGGCTTATTTTAAGCTTAGGGTTGTTTTAGGCTTGGTTATAGTGTGAAACATGATTTGTTACTTATACAAAACCTTTGTGATTTAATTAATTTGGCCAGAATTGGAACATTAGTAAGCTTACGGCCTAATTTTTTCCACTAAATCAAAACAAATCCAGTTTTAAATTGAATGCGTCAGGAACGGTTTTTTCATTGTTTTCTTTTGTTTTGAACCTTATAGGCTTGAATAATGAAAAGTATTAAATTTAGGCTTGTAATTTGCCATATGTTTATATTTTTTTTAGTTTTTTTTTGGCTTTCGGTCGGTCGGTTACTTAAAATTTTCTAAAAGGTTAAAGCTCTTGATTTTAACCTTTTATAATGTCTAAAATGGGTATTTTAGGTATTTCTATTCAAAAAATTCAAGTAAATTTATCGATAAATTAATATTTTTTAAAACATGAGAAATAAGTCTTTAAACTTTTATAAGGCCTAAAATGGCAATCTCCACTCAAAAAATGCTGTCAAATTTATCGACCGGTCGAAAAATTAAAATTTAAAAATTTTTTTAAAATTTGGTATTTTTGACATATTTACGTTTTGTACTTAAAGAAATATGCAAATATGCCCAAAATCATCATAGAAACAGATAGAAAAAATTTCTCGGCCTTGATTTGTGAAAGGACAGATCAAACAGTGCCGCAGTTTTTACAAGAAAAACCCGCTGGAAAACCGTTTCCAGGATTTTTGGGAACAAATTTTGCGGGAATTTCTTTGGAATTCAATTTTAAAGTCATTTCGCGGTTTTTAAGAGAAATTCAACGAGGGGTGGTAGAGTGGGTACTGTAGTTTTAAAAATTTTTGGTAACTACGCTTTGACTCTAGCTATAACCTTTAGGCTAAGGCTTAATACTAAACATGGGCTAAGGCTTAGGCTAAGACTTAGGCTTAGGCTGAGGCTGAAGCTGAAGCTGGGGCTGAGGCTTACACTTAGGCGTAGGCTTAGGCTTAGGCTTCGGCTTAGGCTTGGAATTAGGCTTAGGCTTAGGCTTAGGCTTAAGCTTGGGCTTAGTTTTTTTTAAGCTAGATTCAGGCTTACAATTAATCTTAGTTTAATCGTTACGTTAAAAATTTAATATTTTGGGCCGGGTCAGCTTTTCAGGCGCGGCCTATTTTTGATTTTGGTCAGCTCGGTCTGTTGTTTATGTCTAATTAGCTCTTGTCATTGCTTTGCGTTTTTTTATTTGTATTAATGTATTTAATTTCTAAATTTTCAAATTTGCTTTGTGATTTAAATTTGTTGTGAAAGTAATTTTACATTTTTAACAATGTTGTATTTACAGGGACAGTAACTTATCGGTGAATGGATTCAACAACGTCTTCTTCAGCTTCATCTGTGACTGATTGTACGGTGCTGGGACCACAAAGCAGTAGTGTAGATGAAACTTCTGGCTTATCTAAAGGTATGTTTTTCTATTTCACTTATTTTTTTTATGTTTGGGCGTGAAAAATATGTGTTTTTTCAAATTTGTGCGTATATATGGTCTACAATTATGTTATAGTAAATTGATTACAAATATTGTTGTTTATTATAGTAAATTACTTTATAGTATAATGTTATGTGAGAATTGTACTTGAAGCGCAAAATTTGTAAAAAAGTTTTAAAATTGCTTTTGTTTTGGTTTAGGCTTAGCTTTAGGCTTACCTTTAGGCATAGCTTAAGGCTTCGATTTAGGCTTAGCTTTAGGCATAGCTTTAGGCTGAGCTTTAGGCTTAGCTGTAAGCTTAGCTTTAAACTGTTTTAATCTTTTTTTAAGTTTAACTTCAGGCTTCGCTTTAGGCTTAGCTTTAAGCTTAGCATTAGATCTAGCTTAACAAATAATTTTAGGCTTAGTTTCAGAGCCTGCCTTATAGTTATTAGTTTGTTTTTGTAAAATACGTTTGAAATTGCTGCTGGAAAAATACAATTACATTTTTAGGTATATTTCCATCAACGACACTGCCAAGCCTAACTTCACCCAGAAATTTCAATTTACCAGCATTATCTACAGTACCTGCTGCTGCATCGAACACGTTAAGGATTGGGTATCAACAAAAGCTCTCAAGCTTGCTTCATCAACAACATTTGTATTTCGTTAGACTACGAGAAATACAAGCCCAAAATGCTCTAAAACAGTTCTTACCACAGGTCAGGAAACAATACTCACAGAATGACTTGGATGCTGCTTTGCAGGTAAGTACTATGTTTAGAGTTACGTATAGACCTAATACAAACTTACGCGTATGCTTCAGCATAGGTTTGTATTAAGCTTGGATTAGCGCTGAGCCTTAGTTGGAGTTTGTTTTAGGCTTATGATTAATATTAAGCTTAGGGGTTGGCTAAGTTTAGGTTAAAGCTTGGGCTCAGGCTCATTCTAAGATTCAGGCTTAAACTCAGGCTATGGCATAGGCTTAAGCTTAGGCTTAACTTAGATTCAGGATTGGAATTACGATTAGGCTCAAGCTCAAGCTTAAGTTCAATCTCAAACTAAGGCTCAGGCTCAGTCTCAGGCTTAAGTTCAGGCTTAACTTAGATGCAGGATCGGAATCACGATTAGGCTCAGGCTCGGGCTCAAGTTCAATCTCAGGTTCAGGTTCAATTTCAATCTCAATCTCAGGCTCAGGCTTAGGCTTACACTTAAACGCAGGCTTAGGCTTAATTTCAAGCAGTCACAGCTTAACTTTAGACTTTATTTGGCTAAGTTTTTGATTAGGCTTACGTCCAGACTTACGCTTTGCCTTTTTCTTACACCTAAGCCTAATTTTAGGTTTAAGTTTGATTTTTAAATAATATTTTATCTAGCTAAAGCAAGTTAATAACAGACAATAGCTTTTTACCGCCTTAAGGCCTCTGACCAATGTTATTATTTCAATGTTCCTATACATACTATAGCACATTTTCATACAGTAGTGCCCAAAATTAATGAACTCGACTAATTTCGAATACATTTTCTCTTCAAAGTCCCACGAAACACCTGCAGCACTTTAGAGAATCGAAAATTCGACCAGTACATTAATATTTTGTTGTTTTTCACATACCGTACGCGGTTGCATCTAAGGGGGGGGGGAGGCAGGTGTTAATTAAAACCCCAAAAATTTCTTAACCAAACCTTAAGTGCTGTATTTTTAAAGAAAAAAGAAGTTTTTATGGTTTTAAAATAAATTTTTGAAATTTTAAAAAATTTTAAAAAAATTTTTTAATTTGAAATTTTGAAAAAAGGTTAAAATTTCGATTTGCAGGACATCCAAAGCGGCCGAATAGGAACTCGTCGCGCATCAGTGGTCTACGGCATACCTAGATCAACGCTTCGAAACAAGATTTATAAGCTGGACGGGGGCAAACGAAGCTTGGGCAGTGTGGAAGAAAGTGCAAAGTAAGTGGATTCTAGCCCTAGCCTTAGCGAATAGGTTGTTCTAAACAGAATGGCTGATTTTGCCAGACAAATCAAGTTTTAAACCGGCCATTCTTTTTGGAACAACCTAATAGACAAGGGAACTGGCCGGGACGGCCTTGATTCGAATTTAGGTTGGGCGGGTTTGCAAATTAAATACTGGCTCGGCTCGAATAGTTCGGCTCTAGACATGAGAAACGGGCCGGGCTCAATTTTCAAGCCCGGCCTGATCGAAATTTTGCTCAGACCCGGCCCGTTTCTCATGTCTACCCGGCTCGTTATCACGTGAATGAAAATTCGGACCCGGACCGTTCTTAAAATCTAATTCTAGCCTTACTTAGTCTTAACTCTATCTTAGCGTTAACCTATATGTTAACCTTTGACGTAGGTTTTAAAATGACAAAAACTTTCTTTACAAAACATAAAATGGCAAGAACTTTTTTTATAAAACAAAAAATGGCAAGGACTTTCTTTACAAAACAAAAAATGGCAAGAACTTTCTTTACAAAACATAAAATGGCAAGAACTTTCTTTACAAAACAAAAAATGGCAAGCACTTTCTTTACAAAAACAAAAATGGCAAGAACTTTCTTTACAAAACATAAAATGGCAAGAACTTTCTTTACAAAACAAAAAATGGCAAGAACTTTCTTTACAACACAAAAAATAGCAAGAACTTCCTTTACAACACAAAAAATAGCAAGAACTTTGTTTACAAAACATAAAATGGCAAGAACTTTCTTTACAAAACAAAAAATGGCAAGCACTTTCTTTACAAAAACAAAAATGGCAAGAACTTTCCTTACAAAACAAAAAATGGCAAGAACTTTCTTTACAAAACATAAAATGGCAAAAACTTTTTTTACAAAACAAAAAATGGCAAGAACTTTCTTTACAAAACAAAAAATGGCAAGAACTTTCTTTACAAAACAAAAAATGGCAAGAACTTTCTTTACAAAACAAAAAATGGCTTTCTTATTAATACATATTGTTAAGCCGTATTCTTGCAAAACATAGTGAACATCCACTTGAAGTATATGTTGTCAAATCATATTGTAGTCTAGATTATAATATATCATAGAATTATAGTTAAATTGAAGTGTCTTCAGAGTACATTGTTAAAACAATTTCAATTATATTATTGTAGGTATAGGCTTACGAAATTAGGTTTATTTAAAATACAATACGAAAGTGTGGTTTTTGTGACATACAATCGAGTACAATTACCAAGTGGTAGATGCAATATTTTGAAAGTAGACGAGTTTTTACCGTGTTTTCTATTGTTTTACAATTGTAAAGAGTCTGTACCATATAGTAAGGATATAAATATAGAGGAGCTTGAAGGTGAAGAGTCAGTTTTGGGTCGTTTTAAGGAGGCAGATGTTGTTTATGTTAGACATAAAGATATATAGTAGACTCTCAATCTATATCGTAGGGGTTTAGGACAAGTCAATATGGTACAAGAGATGAAGGAGGACCGGATACAATAAGGTACGGGGTGAGAAAGGTTGGGAGAAGGTGTAGACTAACGACTATGATAGGGGCAGTTAGGGTAATGAAGCGGGGTAGAAGACGATAAGATAATAATAATAGAACAGAGTAAGATATATGCTAAAAGAAGTAAAGGTAGAATAAGGTAGAGTAGAATTAGGCAAGGTTGGGGAGGGCATAGCAGGGTAGAGTAAGGTCCGGTTGGGTAGGGCACGGTTAGGCCATTGTTATGTATGGTAGGTAGTGTATTGCAAGGCGGGGTAAAACAAGGGTAGTCTTGTTGGGTACCTGTCGGGGAGGAGCAGGGCACTGCAGATCAGCGTAGGGTAGAATACGGTAGGGTAGATCTGGTTGGATACGGTAGAAAAGTGGGGTAGGGTAGGGTATTAAAACTTAGTACATGGCCTTTATAACTCTATAAGAAGTATATTAAGTACTATATTCATTGTGCACGTTCTAATGTTTGAAAACCTATTATAGTATGTATTTTTTACCTTGTTAGAACTTTTTACTTTGTCCACAAAATACACTTGCCTCCCTCTTTCTATAAAAATTGTTTTGTAACTTTTTCACCTACTTGCTTTCAGCATACTATACATGCTCATACTTAATGAACAGCACATTTTTAACTTTTAAACTCTTTTAACTTGTTTGACTCAACTTGATCGTACTGTTCTGATCAGTACTCAACTTGAAAGTACTGCGCACAGTGGTACTCATAGTGATAGTACTCTTCGTAGTAGTACTGAAGTTGATAGTACTACTCAAAGTACTACTCATACTGATAGTACTACCCATAGTGGTACCCAGAGTGATAGTACTATTTATAGTGGTACTATAAGCGATACTACCAACCTACCATTGCCAAGTACTAACTTTACAACACATACTAATTCAGTACTTGATTCTGAATCTACAGTACCCTCAACGTTCGATAAAGAGATAAAAGTGGCTACAGTGGCTTCAGTAGGCTCTGACTTCACTACAGTTCCTCTAGCTTCTGCTTTACCTACCCTAACGTACTCTCACAGTACCACACCTGACCTACCGTACTCTCACAGTACCACACCTAACCTACCGTACTCTCACAGTAGTTCACCTACCCTACTGCGCCCAAAAGCTAATCAACCTACCATACCCTGCCCGAAAATTAACCTACCCACTCTACCCGACCCTAGAGCTACCCTACCGCTCCTACCAAAACCAATGTCAACATCAACGGAAGCCTTCTCCTTCAACTCCCAGCAACTTCGGCTACCAACCCAGCAACCGCAGCAACTTTTTGGTCAATTTCCGTTGCCACAAACACCCAACACTCCATTGTCTCCACAACAGGTTAACTTTAATATTATTCAAGCCCTACTGTTAAGGCAGATTTATGCCAACAGTGCTGCTTTGAACAAAAATGGTGCAGATGGTACTAGTCCTGTTAGTACAACATCACCAGTAGTACTAAATGAAGTGGTAGATGTTAAACCAAGTCGACCAAAGAGAGGACAGTATCGGTGAGTTTTGGGACTGTAAGAATGAGTGTTTTGTTGTTGTTATTGGTCAAAAATGATCAAAAAAACTTTGGCAGGGGTAATTTTAATTAGAAGGGTAGAAAGTGTGAGGGAGGGGGGTAGTGGGGGAAGGGAAAGGAGTAGGTAAAATAAAAAAAACTTGAGATTCTAAATCTATTTACAATAAAAAATCATGGGTAAGTGTAAGTAGGGTAGGGTATGGTACGATAGAGTAGGGTAGAATAGAGTAGGGGAGGGTAGAGACGGGTAGCATAGGGCTAGTAGGGTAAAATAAGGTGTAAGGTAAGGAGGATAGGCTCAGTTAATGTACGATGAAATATAGTTGCAATAAAAATTTTTAGAATATAAAGAAAAATAAAAAAAATTTCTTACCCCTCCCCCAACTCAAAAAAAAAATTTTTACTTCGCCTGCTTAAAAATGAAAAAAATGATTCAGCTCAACTTAAAAAATATTTTTAATTTCCCTTCTCCCGCCCCTTTTTTTTCACCCCCCCCTCCCCCCCCACCTCCTCTTTTTTTTTACCTCCTCTTGCCCTATTCCTCACCCTCCAAACAAAATTAAATGCCATTTTACATTATACGTTAAAAAACTTTCAGCCGCTACGACAAGAGCGCCCTAGAACAAGCAGTTCAAGCCGTCCGATCAGGTGAAATGTCAGTTCACCGTGCCGGCAGCTTCTTCGGCGTGCCACATTCAACCCTAGAGTACAAAGTTAAAGAACGTGCCAAGAAGTCATCACAGTCATCGTTTGATGACAACAAATCGCCCAGTTTTTCCAACTTTTCACCAAGTTTTAAAATGCCTGAGGCTAGATTGAAGTTGCCTGAGGGTAGATTTAAAATGCCAGAGGGTTATTTGAAATCGCCTGAGGGTGTAGTTAAAGTGCCTGAAGCTAATTTGAATATGATGAGTGATATTCAACTACAAGAGATTCATAACAACTTCAGAAGGATTCTACTCACATTTGCTGCTAATCAAGTAAGAACGATGGAGGAGAGCAAGGAACAGTGATTTTTTCATTTTTTTTTTAATTTTCAATTTTTTTTTGAAATTTGTATGTTTAATGTAATTTTCTTGTCTTTTTATATGACAAAAATTTTATTATTGTAGTCATAGTCAAGCAAAATTAACACATATTAGGTGGCGACATAAAGAATCCGCCATTTTTTACAAGAAGTTACAGGAAAAGTATGGCGGGTTTTTTATGTCGGCACCTAATATTAGTCAGTCTTTTATAATATGAAAAGTGGCGGGCGGGGTAATTTTAGTTTTTTTTAAAGGAAGGATATTTTCAAAAGTGAAAACAATTTTTTACAGCCTAGCAAGGCCGGGCGCCAGAGTAGAAGGGGAGGGGGAAGGGGGACAAAAGGATACCCCACCCCAAAAAAAATTTTGAATTAATGTTTTACGTGGTCCCCTTGTGTATTTTTGAAAAAAAAAATTAGGAGGAACCTTGGCCTTCTGCCCGGCTCTGCACCCTAAGAGAGAGGAAAAAACTTGACCGGACCCACTTTTGAGGCTGGGCCTAGGGATGGGGCTCAAGATTTAGACTGGGCCCCTTTTTATTTTTACTTTAGGCCAGACTTTCTAAGCCGATCCGGGATGGGACTACACATCATCCCTACTGCAGCCTACTCTTTTCTACCCTACTCTACCCCATCCTAACCCATTTTTCTGTACTCTGCTCTATCACACCCTACCCTGTCCTACCCGAATTCTTCGGAAGGCTTTTCTACAGTATCTTCTGTTATAAAAGGCTCCCTCGCCCTTTCTTACCCTCACCTTAAACTTAAATTACCCGACTGGCTTATACCTATCTTAGATGTTGTATATAGTACTTTAATATATACTGTAACATTTTTAGTTTTGAAATATAAATTTTTAAAATACTTACTGTGATTTATATGATGATTACATATTCATTACTATACTCTAATATATATATATACTTATATCATAGCCTACTTCTGCTCTAATACAATGTAACCTACTATAATATAACCCTAATAAACTATGTCATCATTAAATATTCGGAGTACTCCTTAACAAGCATGTAATATTCAAATACCTTTCGAATACTTGATCGTATAGCACCTGTCTTTTTATGATGTTCTCTCGTCATGGTTAATATCTGAAACTTTTGCAGATGTTTAATTTCTTAAACTCGGCTTTGACGTACGTTCCGACATTAAACATTTACATTGTAAAGTGGATTGGTATTGTATTATGGTAGGAAAGAGCAGTTTGTATCTGCATGGTTTACAGGTATATATCAGAGTAAGGGTGGGTAAGTCAAGGTGGAGTAGGGCAGTGTAGGGTAGGGTAAGTAAGGTAGGTAAGGCAGGATAAGGTAGAGTAAAACAGGGTAGAAAGAGTAAAGCTGGGTAACTTAGGGTAGAATAAAGCGTACTGTAACTATGAAATCTCATAAGAAAAAGTAGGTTAAAGCACGCCAAGCTAAAGAAACAAAAGATACAGTAACGCAAATTAGGTCTTTCTGTAAAACAGGGCAAGGCATGACAGCGCAGCCTAAGCTAGATCAGAACGGAGCAACGGCTCAGGCTGGAGATATATTAATAACTGAGGCTTAGGCTAGGGCTCTAGGCTAAGGCTCTGGGCTGTGAGATGTGGGCTCTGGGCTAGGGCTTTGGGCTAGGGCTCTGGGGTAGAGTTCTGAGCTAGGCATCATAGTAGTCAGAATATAAGTGTAAGTACAGTAAATTTATTTATAAAAACACGATCGCATTGTTCGTATTTTACATCCAAGTTCCGGCGAATCGTGAGTAAGTGTAAGAAGGAGTGTACAAGGCGTTCCGGTAGGTACTGCAAGTTAAAAAACTATACTTTTTTAAAATTTTAGCCGTTTTTTGGTTTGTAAAGAAAGTTTTTGCCATTTTTTGTTTTGTAAAGAAAGTTCATGCCATTTTTTGACTTGTAAAGAAAGTTCTTGCCATTTCTTGTTTTGTAAAGAAAGTTTTTGCCATTTTTTGCTTTGTAAAAAAAGTTCTTGCCATTTCTTGTTTTGTAAAGAAAGTTTTTGCCATTTTTTGCTTTGTAAAGAAAGTTCTTGCAATTTTTTTATTTGTAAAGAAAGTTCTTGCCATTTTTTGCTTTGTAAAGAAAGTTCTTGCCATTTCTTGTTTTGTAAAGAAAGTTTTTGCCATTTTTTGCTTTGTAAAGAAAGTTCTTGCAATTTTTTTATTTGTAAAGAAAGTTTTTGCCATTTTTTGCTTTGTAAAGAAAGTTTTTGCCATAATTCTTTTATCTTACCGATAATTCATAGCCGCAAGTAACTTCGCGTTTTTGCCTGGCAGCTTTCCAGTATCACCGATATGAACATGGCAACTGGTCTCACGTACTCCCATGTCATTCTCAATGCGACACGAATAGAAGCCACCGTCTTCCTTCTGGGCATTAAAGATACACAGCTGAAAGTTTAGTAAATTAATCACTTAAAGTTGCTGTATCGTGCTTAAATTGTACTATGCAAAAAAATTAAGAAATTGTAAACGGTCTAGAGTATACAGCGTGCTAAGTACAATATAGAACGTAAATGTGTACATAATGCGGTGCAGTAAGAAACTACAGTACAACATAGACATTAATATACTGAATAAGGCTATAATAATGCTCACCAATGGTAAGACTAACTAAGACTAAATTTTTTTTTGTTAAATTCGTATTTAAATAGGCTTTCCAACGAGATTAGTCTCAATTCATATCTCCGGAATGAGGTGAGACATTTCCCTTGTAAGGCCAAGTCTAAGGCTAAGGTGCAAGCTAAGGCTGTGGCTGAGGCTGAGGCCAAGGCTAAGGCTAAGGCTAAGGCTAAGACTAATGCTAAGGCTAAGGTGAAGGCTGAGGCTGAGGCTGAGGCTGAGGCTGAGGCTGAGGCTAAGGCTAAGGCTAAGGCTAAGGCTAAGGCTAAGGCTAAGGCTAAGGCTAAGGCTAAGGCTAAGGCTAAGGCTAAGGCTAAGGCTAATCCTAAGGCTGAGGCTAAGACTAAGGCTAAGGCTAAGGCTAAGGCTGAGGCTGAGGCTAAGGTTAAGTCTAAGGCTAATTCTAAAGACAAAACAAAGGAGACTTGGCATAGATACATAGTCGTGTAGGATAATTAAAGGCCGAGACTTTGATCAACCAAGAACCAAAGCCAACACCATGGCTATGGCTAAGACTAGGGCTAAAGAAATGCCAAGAAAAACTCCGAAGAAGAAAGAAAGTAAGGTGTGATAAAGCTAAGCCAGTGCCAGCAAACGTAAACAATATAGATAACAAAAGAAAAGAAATACTGTTTAAAAGTCTCCTTACTTCAGTAGAATTGTCACTAGTATGAACAGTACGCCTCATTTCACTGAATATTGGTGATTGGCCTTTGAACCTGAAAAAATATTTAAAATACTATACCCCAATGAAGAATACTAAGCCTACCATGTCACTTCAGGTTGTGGGTAACCACTAAAGTTGACCTTTAGAACAATGGTATCATCGTGATGGTGCCATTGATCCTCTAATCGGTGTGAGAATTCTGGTACTGTATGTTTTCTGGTACCTAAAAGAAAGTAATTATTAATTACTACACCCTACCCTACCCTACCCTACCCTACCCTACCCTACCCTACCCTACATACCCTACCCTACCCTGCCCTACCCTACCCTACCCTACCCTACCCTACCCTACCCTACCCTACCCTACCCTACCCTACCCTACCCTACCCTACCCTACCCTACCCTACCCTACCCTGCCCTACCCTACCCTACACTACCCTACCCTACCCTACCCTACCCTACCCTACACTACCCTACCCTACCTTCTCCTAAATAATTCTGCTTTACCCTTACCAAGTCACGACCTTATCTTACTCAAGCTGAATCCTACTGTAACTTTTTTACTATTCCCCCCGTCCTTTTTTCACCGCCCAATTTAAAAAAAATATTTGCCTCGCCCCTCCCTCCCCCTCCCCCCCCTACGCTACCTTCCACCGTTCCCTAACCTACATTCCCCCGCCCTACTTTGCCTTAGTTAACCCTACCCTATCCTACTTTACTCTACTCTACCTTGATCTAAACTAATGTACCATACTCTACATTACTCCACCGTACTTTACCACCCTACCCTTACTTCTTTTAGCGAATGGTCTGGTAGCCCTAAAGTCCAAGTCGTCGTCTTCTTCATGCAAAATTTGTCGTCTTGAAATGGGCCGATAAGTTTTGCCATGCCTTGTCATGATGTAGTTTTCTGGCACGTAGTCATCGTCGTCTGAAAATGGCATAACTAGTACTCTCCTTACCAAAAAAAATTTTTTTCAAAAAAAACGAGGCTTATCTTACCTCTCAAGACGATTACTCTGGCCATAATGAACTGATAAATCTAAAAGTATTACCTAAAGTGTTACCGAAAAACCTCTAGTATAATCTCTAGTAAGGTTTGTCACAAATCGTAAAAAAGTAAAGCCAAGACAACAAGTTTTCGACCGCAAATCAACACGTTACATATCCAGATCAAAAACAAAAAAGAAGCGTTTTGCACGTCCCGGCACCTCGATTCGGGTTTGGCCATATGGCCTCGTTCTTTCGGCCAGGTGACGACGACCTCTCATCAATTTTAATGATATTTTTGTTTTCTAATCAACATTATATGCACATATGGGTATTGACAGTAGTTGTTATAGGGGAAAGGGTGCATGGGGTGGGGCAATAGGAGTAGAAGTAATAAGGGTATTGACAGTAGAGTGTATTAGGGGTAGAGGTAGAAATATGAGTAGGAAAGAGGTACGGTAGTAAAGTGTACTAAGGATAGAAGTAATAAAAGTAGAGATAATAGGAGTAGGGTGTAATAAAGGTAGGGGTATAAATAGGGGTAGGGAAGAGGTAAGAGTAGGAGTAATAGAGATAAAGGTAGTATGAGTACGGTGTAATAGAGGTACTAGGGGTAGGGTAGAGTAGGGTTGGGGGTAGGGGGTCGGGGGTAGGGGTCGGGTGTAGGGGTAAGGGTAGGGGTAGGGGTAGGTAGGGGTAGGGGTAAGGGTAGGGGTAGGGGTAGGGGTAGGGGTAGGGGTAGGGGTAGGGGTAGGGGTAGGGGTAGGGGTAGGGGTAGGGGTAGGGGTAGGGGTAGGGGTAGGGCTAGGAATGCGTAAGATCTCTATAGAATCAGTAATTTATAATTTATCTCAAAAAATATAGTAACATCTAGTCAATGATATACACCGTGATCTGATTCTTCTAATCTGTATCAACACTGATATAAATAACCTAATCTACATCAACATTGACATGAATGATGGATGGTGCTTTGTCACGGCGCTTTCTCTTCTGTGGTACCATCTCGTTGTTGGTGACATTGGTCAGGTTGGGTCGGTCGAGTTTGCCGGTTTTTATCAGTTCTCGCACTTCGTCCGAGGTTAGGGTTTCGTATTGGAGGAGGGATTGGGCTAGGAGAGTGTGTTCTTTCTGAAAATTTAAAAAGTTTTGTTAAAAATTTCTTAAAAATAAAAAAAAATTTAAATCTGAAATTTCCAGACAGATTCAAACTTTTTTGACTTTTGCCATTTTTAAACCGACATAACTTTGTCATAAATCAAGATATTAATATCAAAACCTTTCGTAAACATTCTTTATTGTATGCTCTTTAAAATATATTGTCCAACTTTTCCAAAATCTGTAAAACAGTCCGGTAAAACTATTTTTATCTACCACCGTGCAAAAACGCCCAAAAGTTCGGAATTTTTCGGCCTTGTCCCATTTTCTACCTTATGTATGCCAACTAACAAGATATCAATACCAAAACGTCAGAAAACATACTGTATTGTATGCTTTTCAAAACTAATTTCTCAGTTTTTAAAAAGTTTGTGAAACAGTCCGATAAAATAATTTTTATCGACCATCCTCTAAACCCCCCCCCAAGATATCTTTATAAAATTTTCAGTATAGATGCTAAATGTTATGTTCTTTAAAACGTATTTTTCAATTTTTCCAACATTTGTGAAACAGTCCGGTAAATTCGCTATGAGTATACCCTATCCAAAAACCCATTAAAATCCATTATTCAGCCAAATCCCTTTAAAAATTAAAAAAAAACCCACCGCCTTATCAGTCAAAATCTTCTTTGCCCTAGTGTAGCTCTCTTTCAGAAGCCTATTGATCTCCTGATCCAGTAGCTCGTTCGTTTGTGGGCTTCGGTCGTTCACATTGACCAGTGCGCCGGTGTTCTCTTCTATCGTGTAGTCTCTGATGCCGACCTTGTCGCTCATTCCGTAGTGTTTGACCATTTGTGTAGCCAGTTCCGTGGCCTTCTTCATGTCATCGGCCGCTCCTGTGGTTACTTTGTCATCGCCAAAGATGAGTTCTTCCGCTACACGGCCGCCCATCATTACGTCAAGTTGGGCTAGCATTTGGGCGCGGGTCACTTGGTACTCGTCTTTGCTGGGGAGGAGGGCGGTCTGAAATTAAAAAAAATTTTTAAATTAAAAAAAAGTTTAAAAAATTCAAAATTTCAAAAACAAACTTTAATTTCAAAAAATTTTAAAATTTCAAAAACACCATTTTAAAACGTCCTCAAACCAAAAAAATTTCAAAAACGCCCCAAAACCACCCTTAATATCTCCCTTACATGACCCATGCTCTGCCCTCTCGGAATGATCGTGACCTTATGAACAGGTACGGCATCTTTCGTGAACAACGCTACTAGAGTATGACCGGCTTCGTGGAATGCAGTGCACTTATTGGTTTCTTCGTCTGGGAACCGTCCTTTTACTCTAGCCGGTCCCATTATGATGCGATCTTTAGCGTCTTCTAGATGTCGCATCGATACTCGATTACAGCCTTCTGTCGCGGCTTTTAGGGCCGCTTGGTTCACCATGTTCTCAATGTCGGCGCCGGTGAAGCCGGTGGTGCCTTTGGCTAGGACATCGACGTTCAGCTTTTCGTGAATGATGCGGCCGAGGTATAGTCTGAAAGAGATAGAGTAAGAGGATAGGTAGTAGGGATAAGCCCTAAAATCATCCTGAGTAATTTCATACCTAAAAATGTCCTTTCGTCCATCCACATCCGGTTTCGCTACCGTGACTCTGACATCAAATCTGCCTGGTCGTAGTAGGGCTTTGTCCAAATCCTCGAGCCGATTCGTTGCGCCTATCACAATAACCCCTTCATTTCGATTGAAACCGTCCATTTCTGAGAGTAACTGAAAAACAAAATTATGGCCCAAACTTCACAACGTTATACAGCGTATTTTACTTAAAGATTTTTTAGTTTTCAAATAAAAAAATGAGTTTTGTTACCTAAAATCATCATTTTCATGCCGTAAACTCCGGTTCTAAGTACAAAATTACCCCAAAAAATCACTTTTATTACCTAAAAACTTCATTTTCAATCAAAAAATTGAATTTTGTTACCTAAAATCCTACTTTTTCCTAAAAAAAAACGCCTAACGTCATGTTTTACCCCAAAAGTTCAATTTTCAAGCTCAAGAAATCATAATTATTACCTAAATCAAAGCACTTACCTGATTGATAGTCTGATTGGCATATGGGTGAATGCTGTTTGAGACACGTTTTGATCCGACTGAGTCGATTTCATCGATGAATATGATGCATGGGGCTCTGGTTTTGGCTCTTTCTAAAAAAATTTAAAATTCAAAAAAAAATTTATCCACACCCAAAAAAAATTTTTTGAAAATTTAACCCGCCCCAAAAAAAAGTTTTTTTTTCTATAAATCCACCCCCTAAGACATAAAAAACATAAAATCAACCCTGAAAACCCAAATTTTTCCAAATTTCCAACCATTTTTTGCCCCAAAAACCTAATTTAACCAAAAATACCCCCCCCTCCAAACCCAAAAAAAATCTGTCCCACCCAAAAATCTCCCTTACCAAACAAATCCCTGACTCTTCTCGCGCCCTGTCCAACCAAAACCTCATCGAACTCGGACCCACTCGTATGAAAGAATGGCACTTGAGCTTCGCCGGCAATGGCCCTAGCCAATAGAGTTTTACCCGTTCCTGGTGGACCAACCATTAGTACTCCTTTTGGCAGGCGACCACCTAGCCGGCTATAACGGTCTGGATCACGTAGGTATGAGACGATTTCCTCCACTTCTGATTTGGCTTCTTCCATCTGGAATTTTTTACTTTTTAGGTAACAAAATTGTATTTTAGGTAACAAAGTGACTTTAAAATGTTAAAAAACAACTTTTTAAATATTAAAATAAAATTTTCGGTCTCAAAGAGACCCTTTTAGGTAACCGAAATCCCTAAAAACCAAAAACAAATTTCCGGACCATTTCACAAAAAATCATAAAAATAAAACCCAATTACTTTCTTAGGTAACAAATGACATTTCAAAGTCAAACAGATACCTTTTCAGCCTCAAAATGACGTTTTAGCTCCCAGAAAATAATTTTAGGTAACAAAGATTAATTTTTTTTAAAATCCGGAACATTTCACAAAAAAATCAAAAACCACCACCCAAAAACCAAATTTAAGAAGACTTACCCCTCTCACATCCTCGAATGTCACCGACACTTCCTCTGGCTTCACTTCCTGCGCGTTCGAGAAGATCAACGAGCCGATCGGTCGTTCTCCTACGCGAACACGAATTACTGAATCAGTTGATTCGTTATGTTATTATCTATGACAGTAAAAGCGACATACATCATTTATATGGCACTTCTGGTCAAAAAGTTCATAGAAGACATGTGTATGTGTTAACACATACTAAATGTTTACAAAGAACTACAATATCAAAGCCAGCTTACCTCCGGAAAGAAAGGCCAACATAATGGCGATCACAACAGCAATGTAGATCCTGGTGATCAAGGAAAACTTTTTGTTTGGAACGGCGTTAACGTTCTGTGCTTGATTTTTGTTTGACATTAAGATGGCTTGAGAAAAGCCTTCCAGGTAGGGCCGTTTGTCCTTGTCTGAGACCTTTGACAGCTCATCTTTGTACAGTTTTAGCTGCTCTTCGGCCGATTTGTCAAGTTTTAGATTCTGGAATTTCATTTTAAGGTAATAAACTAGGTATTAAGGTCATTTTTAGGTAAAACCGAACTTTTAAATTAACTTTTAGGTAATGAAAAGTCTTCGAAAGTAAAAATAAAGTTCAATATAAAAGATCTCATCCACTTTCTCACCATTTGTTACCTAAAAAACAAAAAAAACATTTAAAAAATGAAATTTACCTGATCCTTCCTCAGATTATCGAAAAACTTCCTCAACGGGCCTTTATCATCTTCAAAATCGTCTTTTCTTTGTCCTATACCTTTCGGCCGACCAGCGTTTGTGCGAAATCCACGCGTACCAACAATATCTACAAGATTTTAAACTATTGACCTTCTGGAAAAGTATTGTCGTCAATATATTAGACATTGGATGTAAAAAAACGACAGGACTTTTTGTTGTTCTAAAATTTCTTTCTAAAAATCAAATTTTTTTTTAAAAATTGAAAAATAGGGTCAAAATGAAAGTTAAAAGCAATATCAAAAAGCAATATACCCTTTTACTCAAAATTACCCTTAGTATTTAAAGAACCTACTTATACCACCATCAAACAACACTTGTGTACCTAAAGCACCTTGTACAGCGGCGCCAACTGATAAGATTGTGTTTCTGCGTCGAAAAAATCGACTAGCATCTAAAAATAATCCATTATACCAAATGGTACACTTTTACGTCAACTGGTACCAATTAATACCAAAAACTCAAATTGTAGTACCATGTGTGCCAAAAGACAAATTTTTCAAAACGTCTGTCCAAAAAAAGAAGAAAATGGCCTGGGTATACCTAAAAACCAAAAAAAAACTAATAAAAAACATACCTTTTAAAACCTTTCTGACCTCTTTATTGTTGGCATCAGCAAAAACTGATTTATAAACATCAGCCAGCTTCTTAGCATCAATTTCGACTGAGTTCAATGACTTCTTATTCGAAGAGTGCCTGGAAAATCGAATAGAAGGAAGTTGGGTCGCTAGGAAAGGGGCTGTCACCGGTTGAAACATTCTTACAACTAAAATTGAAGCTTTATATTGCTTTAGGTAAATTATTCTGTAAAAAATGGAAAAAAAGGCAATATATTTTTATAAAATTAGAAAAATGATAAACCGTATTTTACATTTAACAAAGCTATGAAACCCAGAAAGTATTCGATATTCTACGAATTTGAAAATTGAGACATCTATTACATCATTCAAGCCAACACCGATATAAAATACTTCAAGGAGCTCAAAACTTAAATGATATAATCACATAATCATATTAAACTAATTTCCATCTATTCAAAGACATTTACAGTGGTTTTCTATCAAAAATCCCATATTATCCATGTTATCATTAAAAAAGAGCTCAAAACCTCAAAATATAATAAAGATCAAAACAAAAGTGCAAAAAAACCTAACGGTTATGCCGCTGAACAAAAAACACTCAAATATCATCTTTAATCAAGTTTATTTCAACAAAAAACAAGAACAAATTCAACTATGATTAAAATTGCAGCTAATGTGAACAAAATCTGAGCAAAACGCAAATGTTGACCATAAATTGATTCTCCAATCCAAAAAATCAGCTCAGCAAAGCTTCCTCAAGCCAAGAACCAGTCGTAGCCAAGATATCTGCCTCCGTATGCCACTAAACACAAAAGAATATTAATATAAACCTTGGGAACTTACCGGCTTCGACGACAAAAGCGAACATGACCAACTTGTAAACATCGTCACGGACCTTTTGTCTGGATTGATCGTCCATGCTGGCGTGATTGAACTCATCAGGTGGCATATACATGATTTTCGACAAAAATTCGTTGAAATCAACCGAAAAAAAGGTTTATTTCGAAAAAATTCCAGAAAATTTGACGTGAAGCGGAACGTCAAAGAGCTAGTTAGCATTATTTGTTTTCGTGGTGGGACCTTTTTATCATATACATGTTTGTGTTTTTCGACCGAAATTAGTTGAAAATCCTTAAAATACATAAGGTATTAGGCTTAAAATGTACCAAAAACTATTAAAATTTTTTTACTATTTTTTTAAAAATGTTTGTTATCAGCTACTAAACAACGTTACAAAGCTATATTCCGGCGTAATTAACGTCACGTTTCTATTACAACACTTTGGCATCCGAAATTCTATGGAAACAGCTAACAATCACATTAATTTGGAGCTAATGGTGTTTATTTTACCCAAATAATCACGAGAAGAGCCGGAAGGAGTCGGTTTTTAACGATTTAATTACGATTCACGCCGTTATTGTAAACTATTCGCATTAAAAAGTTTAATTTGGTATTCATCATGGTATGTTTGTTGGTATGTTTGTTATTTTACTTTGTTGTCAATGCCTTGGGAAGGTTTTACAGTGGGTATTGGCTTGGGGTCAGGTGGTTTAGTAGATGAAAATTTGATTTTTCTATGTTGTACATTAAAATTTTGATGGTTGTGGTCGTAAAATAGGTAATATCGTAGGCAAAAGCTGTAAATTATGTTTACCAAAGTAACGTAAATTGTAAGCTAGACAATTTTGCATCTTTTAAGTCTAATCTTTTACTCCACTCGTCTCAAGTTTACCATAAAACAGTTATATTAACATGTCAAACCTCAAAACAACTTTTTACAATTAAAGAAAAGCAGTAATACAAAACTATATGTCAGAGTTACGGGTGTTGTTTGTAGTGTTTGACATCTTATTACGTTAGGAGTATAATTTATTGTAAGTGAGGGTTGATTTATATTGTAGTACTTATCTAGGTTAATGTCATGGTGCGCTCGCAACTGGAATTGCTGTTTTGCTGTTTGTAACATGTTGAGAGGGACAGTACTGTTATTTTTGAGGTTTGTATTAGTGGTTTTATGGCTTTTTTGGAAAAAATTTTCGACCGGTCGAAAAATTTTTTTTTTGAAAATTGAAAAATTGATCTGATAGATGTTTAGATATAAGCCTGAGATGTTATTTACACTTTATTCCATGCCCATAGCTATAAAATTAACCAAGTTATGTCCATTTTACTTTGGCATTGCTCGCTTTTCTTTATATTATTTTAAAAAACCACCCCCATTGGCCCCAAAGCCAGCCCAAAACCAAGTTTAAACCAGTATACAAACCATTTGTATGCAATTTCCTGTACAATAAATAATGTAGTGACAAATTGCGAAAGTTTGAAACAGTTTACTGTGATATTACACTAGATTTGACAGGTTTTGATGAATAGAAAACAAATCAGAATCCGTAAAACAAAAGTGTTTTAGTAATTTGAAGTATGTTCGAATTGTTTATGATTATGACTCGGTGGTGTTAAAATAAGAGTTATTGGCAGTGAAGTAAGAAAGTTTGTGTAAAGTAAGAAAAAAGCGTTAAGTAGGTGTAGAAAAAGTTGAAACTTGAGTGTTTTGTGATCTAAAAATGGGGTTTTGGTACTTATCATAAGATGAACAATAGAAAAAGGTACTAGATGATCGATTTTAGTACCAGCAATTTTCATTTTTTTCTTTGATATGGCTTAACAAATCCTAAAAACTCTTTTTCGGGCAAAAACCACTTTTCCCGCCAAAAAATTCAAATATAAATTTTCCCGCCAAAAATTTTCAAATTTTTATTAACAAAAAGTATGCCAAAAACCCTTTTCTACAATGTTATAATCACAAAAATCATTATATTTCACTTTTCTGATCTATATATGCCTTCCAAAAACAAGGTTGACCTTAAAAAGTACACATAGCATAAGTAATGGCACTTCCAGTTACCGTTTCGCGGGAATTTTTATTGTGATTTATTACTCACTTATTTGTATCAAATTAGGTGTTTTTTCAAGGTGATAAAGTACAAAAAAGTTTTGGGATTTTCAGTGTTTTGAAAATTTAACCTATTTTAAAAAAGTCTGGGTAACATATTATATATTATATTATATGTGCTGGTAACATGTTGGGGTATTATAAATAGATAATAAGGTTAAAAATGAATATTTAGGGATTGCTTTGAAAGGTTGAACTATTTAAAATGTTTAACTTCTCTACCCTACCATACTTCACTCAACTTTATCAAGCCGTACCTTACCCTACACTACCCTACCATCCCCTACCTTACCTTGCCATGTCACCTACCGTAACTTTTACACTACACTGCGCTTCTTCTTACTGTATTCTAGCTTTACATTCGTTTTGTGTTTGGCCTACCTCACGGTTTTTAACGATTTAAAAGAGATATTTTTTACCCTCATTTCATTCTACCCTATCTTACCCTTCTTTACTCTCTCCTGTTCTATCTAACTCATTTTACCTTATCCTAGTTTACTTTACCTTACACTACTTTTTGTTACTCTGCCTTACTCTATCCTATTCTACATTGCCGTGCCCTACGCTATCTCTCCCTACTTTTGCCTGTCCTATCTTACTCTACTCTAGACTACCTTACCTTTGCATGGTTTTGCCCTTTCCTTTCTTATATTAAAGTTAGCACACTGTGCAGCCTTATTAAGCCTAAGTAACATCTTCCTAATAAACCGTACAATAAGTACAAAAAGTAAATATACGTTACTACATTAAACAAAGACGTATAGCTTCAAATTGACAAATTACATTGAACTTTTACCTTAACTTCCCGAGAACTAAAGTAAAATCATTTAAAAACTTCGAATTTGACACTTACAATACGATCCGTGAGATGGATGCATCCGTTGTAAACTTTTGATTGTAATTTTTACAGTTTAGGAAAAGACCTTGAAGATGACCAGGGGCGGCGAGTTTCAAGGTAATGTGGAGTTGTAACTGAGTAATGTTAATATATAAAAAGTCACCTTTTGCTAACTGGTACCCTTTTTAGATTCGAGGTCGGAAGCGTCGTTGGATCCGAGTGTTTTGTCGTCCGAGAAGCGGTTTGTGGTCGATAAAATGGCGGTAAGTGTTTTTTTTTGGGTTTTTTGGGGGGGGGGCGAGTGAAGCATGGGGGGAGATAAGAATTTATCTCATTAATTTGTCTTTAGGCTTATAATTAAAAATTTTATTGTTAGGCCTAATTGAGACAAAAAAGTAATTTTTTGTTATTTTGCTCAAATTAGTACCTTTAGGCTTAAATTTTCTTGATTTTTTCTTTTTATGCTTTTTTTATGTTGACATTTAAGGCTTACTTTTGTTTCTAGCTTGGTCTATTTTTATTTTTTTTAGGCTTCTTTATTGATTATAGTTTAGGTAAATAAGGCTGTAGGCTTAAGATAAAGAAAAAATGTCAATTCTAATTATCAATTCTAAGTGTACTAAGCCTAAACTTAAGAAGCTTAAGCTTACTAAGCTTAAACCTACAAACCCAAGCCTACCAAACCTAAGCCTACAAGCCTAAACCTACTACGTCTAAGCCTATGAATAGTATGTATAATCAGCCTAAACATAATATGCATAAATCTGTTAAGCCTACGCTTTTACCTTTGTAAGCTTACTGACACTAAGCCTAACTACAAGTTTGAGGTAAGCTAGGATACAGTACGGTAGGGTAGGTTGGATAGGGCGGCATAGGATAAGGTAGAGTAGGGTAGAGTAGGGTAGGGAAGGGTAGGGTAGGGTAGGGTAGGGTAGGGTAGGGTAGGGTAGGGTAGGGTAGGGTAGGGTAGGGTAGGGAAGGGTAGGGTAGGGTAGATTAGGGTAGGATAGGGTAGGGTAGCTTCCAGAATAACAACCTCTACCACAATATTGTTAGTCATGCAAACAAAAATTAATTTGTGACAAGACTAATGAGAGTTTAGGGTTAATCTCCTACCTAATTACACATTATTATGTAGTAATTTGTTTGCTAAAGTTAAAAACATTGAGTCAATTGAAATTTGATTAAAATTTAATTATTTTGTTATTGGATATTACTGTTTATTAATTAGTAATAGAAGGTTAAGATATTGCGTTTGGTGCCAGGGTGTTGTTAGTAGAGTTACAGAGTTGTTTTTTACTGCATAATGAAGGAAGGCAGGGGTAAGATAGAGCTTGTAAGAAAAGACAATGAGAGATGGTAGAGGAAGGATAAGTGAGATGGGTATGGACATGTATTTGGTATGGGTAATGGTAGGGTAAGCTATTGTAGGTGAAGGGTATGGTTATGGGTATATGCATAGCTATGGGCATGTATTCGGATATGGGTAAGGGTAGGGTAATTTTCAAACTTTTAGGGTAGGGTGGATTATCCTACCGTACTCAGCTTTGCAACAAACTATTTCCAGAATTACTGTAACCTCTACAAATAGCCAGACTAATCTTTAGCTGCCTAGCCAGAAACATATCCCAAGATTAGCTCAATTAAGACATACGTAGACGTGAACAAAACGGCTTTATGACGTAGATGTCATGATACCGTGACATGATTAGTGTCCAGATTTAGCTGTCAGAGTCTTGCAAAAGCTTCGAAACGTTTCTGCAAACTATAACATTCTAGGCTTAAGCTGTTTTTGTAATCAAATTTTAAGCTGGTTTTTCGTGGCTAATACGCAAATGTTTTAAGCTGGCAGACGTAAACATGCTAGCTTGAACGTAGATAAACATTTTTAATGTTGTACTTGTTGATATACGACTAAGCTTCTATTTTTAATCAATTTTGAGGTTTTAGGCTCTTCATGCTTAGGCTAAGACATTAGCGTTGGCTGAGGCCTCAGCTTAGGCTTCAGCTTAGGCTTCAGCTTAGGCTTCAGCTTAGGCTTCAACTTAGGCTTCAGCTTAGGCTTCAGTTTAGGCTTCAGCTTAGGCTTAAACTGAGGCTTTTACACACTTTTAGACATAGGCTTAGCTTTGGGTTCAAACGTAATCCTTGGCTTGCTGTTAAACCTAGACTTACCTTTGTTTACTAGTTCTGTTTTTCAAGCAATTAGGTTTATTGTATGTACGTAACTTAACATTAAGGCTAAAAACCATTTAAAAGTGATATTTTGAATGATTTAAAAATAAACGAACAAAGACTGTTATGATGTCGAAATCCAATGAATATACTGTAGAAACAAAATTTAAGCTAAAGTAAGACATTTATAGAATGACATTTAGCACAGAATACTGGTGTGAAACACTGTGAGTCATCATACTGTTGCAAGGGATTTGTATTATCATTAGAAGATTTAGTGAAACGCGATAAGGGTTAAAGGTTACTGTAGGGCTAGGCTTTTAATAATGAAGTTTATTTGGCTAAGGCTCGGTCAGAGTGAGGCGTGAGTCAGCAGACAGTAGGGTAGGGTACGACATAGTTACAGCTGGCTAAAACCGGGGTATGAGTAATCCGGTAGGGCATGGGTACAGTTAGAGGAAAATAAGGCACGGGTAGGGTAGGGTAGGGTAGGGTAGAGTAGGGTAGGGTAGGGTAGGGTAGGGTAGGGTAGGGTAGGGTAGGGTAGGGTAGGGTAGGGTAGGGTAGGGTAGGGTAGGGTAGGGTAGGGTATGGTATGGTAGAGTACGAGAGTAGGGTAGGGTAGGGTAGTCTGAATTTAGAGTAGTGTATCACAGTTACGGTAATCTAGACGTTGGAAGATTAGACAGTTTTAGAGACCTGATGATATAGTGTTAGTCATGTAACGGTCTGTAACATTTTTAGTCACAATGGTTATTGTACACAAATGGCATTAACCAGGTCTTCTGGATTATCATTTACTATGGTTCTAGAGGGCTATTTTAAGAATTTTTCTCAGGACATATACTGTAACATCAATAACTACAGTATACTGCAAAATGAAGTATACATACGGTGCTTTACAGCGGTACTATTGCAGGCCCTCAAAGCAGTATCAGCAGTACTAATCGGTACAGTAATCCTCGGTGTTGTCATATCTCAATCCTACAGTAATCCACAACAAGATAGTGCTAGTTATGATTCGGCACAACCATTAAGAGCACAAAGAAATGGTTATGAAGCTGGTCCACCTGGAGTCCAACCAGCTTCAGAGTACGAAGCTAAAGGCTCGGAGAACTTTTTGGACGTGCCGAAACGTGAAATGACAGAATCTTTCGCTCAGTTTGAGCCTAGTCATGAGGTTTTAAGTGGTCCTGGAGGTATGTATTGAAAATTTTTGTAATTTTTAGTTTTGTAAAGAAAGTTCTTGCTATTTTTTATATTGTAAAGAAAGTTATTGCTATTTTTTGTTTTGTAAAGAAAGTTCTTGCAATTTTTCGTTTTGGAAAGAAAGTTTTTGCCATTTTTTGTTTTGTAAAAAAAGTTTTTGCGTTTTATTATCAAAAACAAAAAAAAAATCAATTAGAATATTAATTTATAGAACAAAGGACAACTTTTTGAAAATTTGACGAAATATCACAAAAAATATTGGTTTTTTGACGAAGTGCCACAAATTCTATCGGATTTTAAAATAGTGTTTATTATGGTCTTTAAATTGATTTAAAGGTTTTTTGAGCTTTTAAAGAAAGTTTTTGTCATTTTTTGTTTTGTAAAGAAAGTTTTTGCAATTTATTACTTTGTACAAAAATTCTTGCTATTTTGGCTTGTAAACAAAGTTTTTGCTACATTTTTTCAATTTCAGCCAGTTCAAAGTCGGTTCCACAAAAATCGCCACCCCCAACCAGTCAAAATCCATCTACCCCTCCCAAGTCTGCCAGTACATCACCAGACGAAGACTGCACTGTCTCTGACACTGTGATTCTACTCGATTCGACCGGTAGTTTAAGGAATTCGTTTGAAGACGAAAAGAAATATGCGGAAAAACTGGTCGAAGATCACTATGCCAAAAACAAAAACGGTCGATTAGGATTGGTCGTTTACAGTAGTAACAGACGGTTTAAGCTGTATGGTCTGGATGACAATACTGATTTGAGAAGCGTGATTAAGAGTGAGTTTTTGGATTTTATATGCTTTTTTTAGGAAATTTTTTAAATAAAAAAAAATTTTTTTTTTAAATTGTATTTTTTGGAAAGAAAGTTTTTGCGGTTTAAAAAAATTTTATTTTTCGGCGTATTTTAACTTAAAACCTATTTTGTAATTTTTTTTTGAGTTTTATGAGCTTTGTGATATTTTGTCAAAATCCAATAATTTTTGTGGTACTTCGTCAAAAGTTATAAAAGTTGGGTTTTAGACTAAAAATTTAAATGTAAAAAGGATTTTTTTTTAAAGGCAAGAACTTTCGTTACGAACAAAAAAATGGCAAGAACTTTCTTTACAAAACAACAAATGGCAAGAACTTTCTTTACAAAACAAAAAATGGCGAGAACTTTCTTATTTTTAGTCTTTTTTTAAAAAATAATGATATGCTGTTTACCACCCTCTAATCACATGTTACTGTCTTAAAGTACGTCTTATCCTTTGACACTTCCTAATCCCTCCCCCACTTTTAACATTTCACCGTTACAACAACATGTGTATTATGAATGGGCACTAATACCCGGAAATGTGGATTTATACCCAATTATTAAGTACAATTTCAACGAAATTATAATTAAAGGTTGATGAAATTGGTCTCGGCTGCTATTTTTGCATTTTGCAAAATGAAGCTGTAAAAAGTTTTAAAAATAAGGTTGTAAAGAAAGTTCTTGTCATTTTTTGACATGTAAAGAAAATTTTTGCAATTGTTCGATCTGTAAAGAAAGTTCTTGCTATTTTTTGCTTTGTAAAGAAAGTTCTTACCGTTTTTTACTTTGTAAAGAAAGTTCTTGCGTTTTTAATTACCTAAAGTCATTTTTCTGATAAACGTCACAAAACAAACTTGATTATAAGCTAAAATGACAGTTTTTCTCAAATTTTGACAAAAAGTCACAAAAATTATTGATTTTTGACAAAGTGTCACAAACTTTATCGACTATTTAAATTTTAAATTTTTTTCAAATTTTAATGTTTTAGGTGCTCCATTCTTAAATGGAGTCACATTTACTGGTCATGCTCTACAATTGGCTTATAATGAACTTCAAAAGTCAGCATCAAACGTTAATCGAAATTTGGTGGTCATCACTGATGGTCATAGGTAAAAAATAAAATATAAAGAGGCGCAAAAAATATTTTTTTTTGCTTTTAAGTGTAAAATACGACGTTTCTAAACAATTGCGGTTTTTTTAGTTTTGACCACCTTGACGGTTCATTGGCGTCTTTGCGAAGCCTAAACTCGAAGCCTGTCAATATTTATGGAGTTTCTGTTGGAGAAACGTTTTCTCGGTAAGTTGTCTTTAATTTGGCTTACTAAGCGCAAGCCTACTAATTTTAAGTTTACTAAGCTTTAAAATAGTCTAAGCCTAAGCCTACTAAGGCTAAGGCTACTAAGCCTAAGCCTACTAAGACTAGGCCTACTAAGCCTAAGCCTACTAAGCTTAAGCCTACTAAGCCTAAGCCGACTAAGCCTAACTCTACTAAGGCTAAGACTAGTAAGCTCATCAATCTTAAGCTTTTTGAGCTCTAAATATAAAAACCCTAAGCCTACTAGGTTTAAGTTTAAAAAGAATCAGTTCACTAACAATAAGGCTACCAAGCCTAACATTACTTGGCGTAAAACTATATTGTTTTAATTATAATAGAAGTTTTATAAGTATAAAAATTAAAAATTAAATTGTGTATACGGTGTTATAAGTGGTAATAAAGGATTAGAGCTTTTTTTCAAAAAAGAAGTCTAAATTTATACCTAAAACAGTGCAATTTAGTATAATACGTAAACAACTTCTAATTGGATTTTGTTTTGAAATTTTTTTAAAATTTAGTGTTATACTATATTGCACGAAGCATAAAATCTGAAAAAGACTTTTTTTCATAAAGTACTAGAGTGTATTGCACGTACTGTACAGTACTATACTGCACTTACTGTACTGTAATCTTCTTTACTACACTGTACAGTACTATACTGAACGTACTTACTGTACTGTACTGTAATGTACTGTACTGTACTGTACTGTACTATGTACTATATAGCATGAAATTATATTTCAACCTCATACCTAAATTTCAGTCAAGAGCTTCTACAAATAGCCGGAAGCGAGAAGAACTTGTTTATTGGCTCAGACTCGGCTCCTAAACTATCTTCTACGTTGTTCCATTGTGAGCCAAAACCTAAGCCAACTGTCAAGCCTAGTAATGGACAAAATGGCAAAATTGAAAACCTTGAATCGCTGAAAGCAGGCAAAGGACAAGGGGCTGGAAATGGCAATGAAAATAGCCAAAATGGCAACAAAAATGGCTCAAATGGTTCTAAAAACAGCTCAAATGGCCCTAAAAACGGCTCAAATGGTACCAAAAACAACTCAAATGCCAAAAACACTAATACCAGTACTACAACCAATGCCAGTAGCACTGGATGTGTACTAGATGTACTGTTTTTGATTGATGTATCAGGATCAGTGAAGAAAAGTTACGACGAAGGAAAGAGATTCACAGCCGAACTGGTCGATTCTTTGGCCACAAAGTCGACGAACTTGAAACTCGGCTTGGCCAAATTTGGTGCACATGGCACGGGAAAGGTTGTGGCTCATATTCAGTAGGTTTCTTGGTTTGATAGTGGTGCTTTTGGTACTAATAATAGGAATTTTTAAAATTTTTTGGAAAAATTTTAAAATTTTTGGAAAAAAGTACTGTACCTTTTAAGCTAGATGTAGTATGAACTTTGAATTTTGAGCATAACAGCACTAGGGTATGGTACTATTAATGGTACACACCATTCAATTTTACCACTTTTTAAAATTTTTGAAATTTAAAAAATGTGACATCATGTCTAAAAACTTGAAAAATTTTCAAGAATAAGCAAAAAAACTCGTATTTTAGAAGCCGATCAGCCTCAGAATTTAAATCCATACTATCACAAGTACCGAATCAAGGCGCTACAACCTATATTGAAGGGGCAGTTCATGAAGTTTTGGAAGAAGTGAAGAAAAACAGCTCCAAAGACAAGGCTGTTGTTGTCATTGTAACTGATGGTTATATTGCTAAATTCACAAATGGTAAGGCTGTTTTTACTACTAAGGCTGGAATTCTGAGTATGTTAGAGAGGGTATAAAATGAGGTTTATATTTTTTAGAAATTCATGATCTTCAAGCGTTTGGCAAAGTCATAGCGACCGCTCCAAAGGCTGGCATTGCTCTCTATAAGAGCGAACTTAAGGTAAGTTTTTTTGGTTTTTTGGGGAAAAAAGGGTGGATATATTATTAAAAATGATATTTTTTGGATAATGTAAAGTTAGTTTTATCATTTACGTTTCAAAAAATTAAATTTTAAAAAATTTTAAGATATAAAAAAAAATTTTGAAATTTCAAAAAATTGAAAAAATTAAAATAAAATTATGTTAGAAATGACTCACGTAACGAAGCCTATAAAAATAATCCACTTCCAGGCCCTAGCATCAGCTGGACTAGCATTTGAGGACCCCCAAAGTGCGAAACAGGCGCTGCTTAATCTCGCGCAAAAATGTTAATACTCCGGTTTAAGAAGCGTGCTCGTCAGATACGTACGTGTTGGATCTCAACTGCCTCATTCTATGTGATTTTACATTTGTTTTAAAAGTGTAATGCGTTAAAGATTAATAAAGTTTTTTGATTTTTAGTTTTTAGTACCCTAAATTTTCTTACATACCTACACTATCCTACCCTACCCTATCATACCCTAACCTACCCTACCCTACCCTACCCTACCCTACCCTACCCTACCCTACCCTACCCTACCCTACCCTACCCTACCCTACTCTACCTTACCCGCCCTACTGCCCTACTCTACCCTACTCATCTCTCTCCTGCCCTGTCTTGCCCTGCTTTTTTCTGCCTTTCCCTGCTTTACCTTGCCGTGCCCTGCCGTACCCAGGGCCGGGCGCGAGGGGAGGGGGGGGGGTACCGCCCACCCGCAGAAAAACATTTTAAAAAAAGAAGTTGAAACGTGGTCCCCCTGTGGATTTTTCGGACCCCTGCCCCCAAACCAAAAGTCCCCGCCCGGCCCTGGTCGTACCCTAACCTGCCGAGCCTTGTATTGCCCTGCACTGCTTATCCTACTGCACCGTACGCTCTTCTACCCTATCCTGTTCCATGCTTTACTTTGCCTTAATTTGCTTTACCCGACCCTACCCAACCTTATCTTACTGTAGGCTATCATAAGTTACCCTATTTTACTCTACCTTACTATATACTACTAGAACATTCTAGAACACTATCACTACCCTATTCATATCTTTTTACTAATTTCCGTAGCATGGAGTAAATTATATTATACAAGATTAACCTTTAACCATATCCAGTCTGCAAATTTGCATCTCTCCCTTAACTATAAGATACCTTTAATAGTATTACATATTGCAATAAGTATTTAATTACATATAAAAAGCTAGAATTTGCTAATTGTATTGTATTAAAAAATTGTTTTTAAATTTTAATAAGTAACGAAATTAAGACTTACAATAAAGTGGGTATTAATATGTAACGTACCGGATATATCTACTACGCTCTTGAGGTAGACAGTAATTAAGATTACTCGAAATTTATATTTAGTCGCTATTACTTTAATTAGAAATCAATTGTTTTATAATAGACAATTAAAAATGGAAATAATTAAAGTAAATTATGGCAAAGAAATTTTCAAAAGTAAAGTTTTAAATAGGGTTTAGTTAAGAAAGTTAAGATACTGTAGACTAATGTAGAGTAAAATTAGTTGAGAAGTATACATAGAATACTGTAGAGTATTAAACGGTAAGGGAGATGTTCTAAAAAGAGCATGAATAAAGCTAATTTAAAACCACGCTAAAGTACAGAAACGTACGGGGTTATATTACGTAGGGCTAGGCTAGAGCAACGCATAACGAGGGTACGGCTAGGCAAGAGCAAATGAAACAAAAGGTAGACCTACATAGGTTAAAAGAAGCCAGGGCAAGAGTACGGTTAAGACAAGGGAAAGCAAGCATAAGGCTAAGCTAGAGCAATTCATAGCAATAGTGTAGCTAGTTTAAAACAAGGGGCAAGAATAGGACTAGACTAGAGCAAGGCTAGACAAGACCTAGTGCAAGACTAAGAAAGGCTGAAAGGAATAAAAAAAGTTATGAAAGTTTAAAAATTAATTTTTGATTGTTGAGTTGTTAATCCAGTTATGAGCACGTGTCTATAATATTATAATTAATATCTCTCCCACGTTTCATTAATATGAAAATCTTTAATTACAGCCCTATTTTTAGTTTTCACTTAACTTTTTTTTGTTTTCCGAGCTGTTTTTTTTCAAGTTTAGGCTTGGGAGAGAAAAAGGCAAAATGGTTTTAGGCTATGGTTCGGCAAGAGTGAATCAGGGATACGAGGGGGGGGGGAGGGGGGGTAGAGGTGGAGTGTAGGTTATGATTTATATACGTATATTATGTTTTGACCCTCATTAAAAGGACTAGGAACCTGGGCTAAGACTCTGGGCTAGTACTCAGGGCTAGGGCTCAAGGCTACGCTTCTGGGATAAAGCTCTGGGTTAGTACTTAGGGCTAGGGCTCAGGGCTAGGCTTCTGGAATAAAGCTCTGGGCTAGGACTCTAGGCTAGGGCTATGTGCTAGGGCTCTGGGCTAGGGCTCTGGGCTAGGGCTCTGTGCTAGGGCTCTGGGCTAGGGCTCTGGGCTAGGGCTCTGGGCAATGCTCTGGGCAAGGACCCTGAGCTAGGGCTAGTATAGTAAAATACGATCATATATTATATTACTAGACTACATAATATATCCAGTTGTATAAAACTACAATTACTACTACGTATTAAGTATTGTACCATATTTGTAAGATATTATAATAGCTATATATAATTTTATACGATCTTACATTACAAATACAATTCTTTTAAAGACTGTGTAAAGCTATTGAAATGTAATATTTTTACAATTTTACCGCGGTAAACAAGAATTTCTACACAATGTAATAGTATTGTTAAAAAAACTGCATTCCTACTGAATTTTATATACTTTTACAATAGAAAAGGAAGTGGTCTCTAACTGTTAAACCTATAATAATATATTGCTTTTTCAATACGACAGTTCAACCTATAAACCATAGTAGTTTTCAAATAACATGTCGCCACAAAACAATTAAAAATAGCATGATAACAAGATAAGCTATTGAATGACTCACTCAGTGCCTGAAACAATGAAGCTCTAGTATACTGTTTGAAACAACCCTTGTATAATGTATTCTATTAATATTTCTGTTTAAAATTAGTTTTTCATAAATGTTTTGTTTCAGCAGATTAGCAAATGTAACATATTTCATGTTACTTCTCGTACGTAGCCACTTGTACGTTTACAGTGTTGTAAACAAGTTTTTTTTAGGATATGGGCAAAGGCTGATTTTAAGTCTAGGGTACGTCTAGGTTCTATGTATAGATTTTAGGTTTATTTCTAAGGTTAAGGCTTAGTCTCAAGTTCATCTCCGGGCTTAAACTTAGGCTTAGGTTTAAAGTTAGGCTTAGGCTCAGGCTCAGGTCCAGACATCGGCTTAAGTTCACGCTCAAGCTCAGGCTCAGGCAAATGCCAAAGCTAAAGTTAAGGCTACGAATAACAATAAAAATAAGACTAAAGCAAAGGCTAGAGACAAAGCTAGAGCTAGAGCTAGGGCTAGAGCTAGAGCTGAAGCTGAAGCTGAAGCTGGAGCTGGAGCTGGAGCTGGAGCTGGAGCTGGAGCTAGAGCTAGAGCTAGAGCTAGAGCTAGAGCTAGAGCTAGAGCTAGAGCTAGATCTAGAACTAGAGCTAGAGCTAAATGCTAAGGTGAACTCTAAAATTAAGTACAAAGCTAAGTCTAGGAAAAAAGTTAATGGACCCAACAAAAAAAATTTACTTCCGAATTTCAAAAAGTCATTGTAGTACTGACGATTAAAAATAAACAGTGCGTCAAGTAAAAAACTAAATTGTTCGACTACAAAGCACAGAACACGTCGTCTCAACAAGATTTACATACAAGAATAATAGACAAATAGATAAATGACCAAACATTGTAGGTAACACACGTCAATAATTTAGTGATGTTTGCCAAAATTGTTTTAAATGCTGAGGCTATTTGGCATACGTTAAAGTTATAGTTAAGTTTTTTAGACGTTTACAAACTCGTCAATGACGAAGTCATGTACTAATGTTATACTTAATTAAAAAATCGTAAAGATTTCAACAAAGTGTTGCAGCCTTCTGTAAACTCCAATCTTTTCCTTATACATGCAAGCTTATAGTTATAGCCAAATGTTATAGTAGATGTATACTATATATTTAACTTTGTATTACTTGTAAAACTGTATTCATTAAAATATTGTATACCAACATACCCACTTATGTCTATTTACTATGTGTTGCACAATGTATATGTTCAAGTATGTTTACTATGTATAATAATTTGCACACCTGGTTTCCTGTACTATCGTATGTTGACAGAAGCATATCTGGGTCTTCTTTTACTATATTACACTTAATAACGTAATTATTGCAAAGTCTCATTAATGGCAACCATAAGATGTATCTTGTTTATTAAGCTTACTACGAACAGTGCCAATCTTTTCATTACAATATTAACGTTACTTTCTAGAAGTTATAGGCAATGTTATGTAGTCAACGTAGAAACGGTCATCTGACCTACAAAATGCCATCATATTGTAAGGCTTTTGTAGTTGTTCCTATGCTATAGCTTAGCTACATATCATTTTTACAATGTTGTGTTACCATTGGATGTAAGTTCAAATTGCAAAATGACAGAAAAGCTACGCACGTTAAGCGTGTTGGATTGTATTGTTATACCAAGAAAAAGCTAAGGAAAAACTACATTTTGCGGTCACTGATGTATTATAATACATCTTTATGCAACTACGTCAAGCATTTTGAAATTTTAACCGTTCTTAAGCTAAAACTTGAGTTAAAGTTTTTCTAGAAGTTACCTAATTCTACTCCTACTCTAGCCTTAATCTAACTCTACCCAACATCTAAGCCTTACTTTCGCTGTACCACAGCTTAACCGTATCTTCATCTAAATTACTATGCCTTTCCATGACAGCTCTTGTCAACCCTTAGCTAATTTTTCAATTTTATAACGGTATTTTTGACTCCACGTATTTTACAATTGCGTTTTGAAACCTCAAACGCTATTGTTGCAGAAACATGAAACATTTGAAACCCAGATTTGTTTTTAGATGCATTTGACATTAAAAGTCATCAAATTTCAAGAAAAAAACAAATAATTGTATGTCAAAACACACTTCAACATGTTTGATATAAACCTACTAAACATAATTCACTTTTTTAGTATAAACAGACAAACATATTATAATATTCCAAGAAAAGAGGAAATTTTTTAAATCAAATTGGTACCTAGTTAACTAGTCTTTAGTTAATTAGGCAGTTCTATAGTCTTTAGGTAGTCTTAGTCTTTGGGTCAATTTACACAACCCACAATTTGTAATTACACAGTTGAGTCGAATTGTTTATAATTTTTTTAATTACACATTTCAAATTAATATTGTTTACAATAATTTAAAATTTGCATGTGAGGGTGGTAGTGTAATGCAAAGTAGCAATTATAACTCTTGTGTGTAATGGCACCTAAACACCTGTAAAAATCCCTACTTTTTTTCCAATTTATATTGTTCAGGTACTCAAAGGGACGCCAGGGAGTACTAAAAGTACCTTAAAATTGCAAAAAAGTAGTATAATACTATATATAACAGTACCAAAATAATATTTAAATATAATTTATTAAAACAAGAATAAGTTAAGCACAAACTACTATCACAACAACAAGTATGGCAAACGACATGTGGTACAAGATTGTCGCACATTGAAAGCAAAAAATCACAATAGAGTAGTTGTACATCGTTGTGTTACATACAAACGTAAGCATTTTATGCACAACAGCTGATGTACACGTTTGGGCACTTTAATACATAAGAAAACGTAGAAGAGTACAATTTTGATAACACTTTGTTTGGCACTATATGATAGATATAGCTCAAAGACACAATAATTAATAAATTAGGAATAGATAGTGGTATTTCAAACGTTTGTAAAACAATTTTATATTGTTACATTATGTTGGTTGTTATACGGTAAGAATAAAAAACAACAAGGATGTAACAATATTGTTGTTTACAAACACGTCTACAAATCTTTGACTAATTGACCAACCAAGGTCTAAAGGCATGCTTAGAACATAAGTTGTATATGTTAGATAATACCATGACTGTATGTAGTAAACAAAAGGATAAGTTGCTCATTAACGTCGCATCTTCCTCATTACGTTTACAAAAGGTTGGTATGGGTTAAAGGCACCACACAGCTTCCATCGGCATGGGTGGAGTGATCTGCGGTTTTGGGCTGAAACAGGAATGGTTAATACTAATCGACTAGACAATGCAGCTCAAGTTAGGATGTTTACAACCCCGTTAACGACGAAGTCATGTACTAATGTTATACTGAATGGAAAATTTGAGGCTTAAGCAAGTTTTGTCTACTTGGGTTCATAGATAGTTTAACAGTGTTCAAGCTTTGTGACCATTATCATCAAAGTTTAAAACAACGTCAACGACGAAGTCATCTACTAATGTTATACTTAATAGTAAAGACCAACAAAGTGTTTCAGCAGGAACGCGAAAATAGTTTCTTTATCTTCAAACTTGAACAAACTCATCACGTTTAAAACGTCGAAGACGACGAAGCTATGTACTAAGGTTTAACACAAAACTGCTTATGCTCCCAAAATTAAGAAACAAGGTGTTGTAATTAAAACTTACAAAGAACGCCGAGGTTCCGTTTGGCCTTATAAGTGGAAAGCGGAATTAAAAGTTTTAAGTCTTCTGTAGAAACCGTCTCACATCCGCGGCCTTGTCTGCATAGTACTGAAGCACCCACGCTTTCAAAACATATTAGAAACACAAAGATGCATGCGCAAAGCTGTGCCTTAGTTGATACTGAAGTTTTTGCAGATTTTGACGCTTTTTCTGTTGGTAAGCGTGAAGTTTGTGTAGTGGATGTCATGATTAACAAATGTGGCGTTGGATAATTTTAGTCTATTTTAGAAATGGGTTGTCAGTGTTGACGGTAGATAACAACAAGTACTACAACACCTGTTTACGGTAATTTTCAATTTTTAAATAATTGGCACCAGTTGAAAGGAATAAAAACAACGGTAGTTAACCTAAAAATTAAAAATTTTAAAACGTCGATATTAACACAATGTTTTATGTAAAATACGAAATGCTCGTTTAAAACGAAGTGGCCAAGCAAGGTTGTAAGGCAATATTAACAAGACAAAACCCTTACAGTAACCATTCTTCAACTCTTTAGCTACCCAACAAGAAACCCTCAATATCAAAACACCCGCTCCCTATTGTAAGTCAAATTTGGAAAATAAACCAGGACATATATGTACATCTTGTAAATGCAGCAGATCCAGCCCCGTTTGCTCGAGGGCGTGAAAACAAAAGGGGCGGAGTGTGCTTTAAATGGAGATTAGCAACAGAAGGAGTTGAAAAAAATAACTGCTAGCAAACAAGACTAATCCTTTCTAAGTTTTTGTGACTGTTGTAATATGACTTGTGGGTCAGAAAAAAATTTTTAATTATAAAAAATGAAATGGTGTAGTTAAGCATTAAATCCGCATCTTAAACTTTAGAGTTTTTTAGGTAGAAGCAAAGTTTTAAAGGTTATTTGTCACGTAAAGGCTTAGAACCTTACATGAAGATATACACCTTATTCTACAACAGACTCTCTGGAATAAATTTGAACATTTTACGTATTAAATGCCATAGTGTAGTATAATAAAAGGTCAATACAATGGTCTCCCTAAATGGTAAACCATCTGTATAAGCAACGCTCCTTATAGTAAACAAGGCAATTCGCCTTACCAAGTTAGTTTACACTAAAAATCACTCTGTAAAAACAACACCCTTATAGTAAATGCTGGTTTTTTTTGGGTTGCTTATATAGAGTGGTTTGTCAAACTTATTTAGTATAAAACTGAAGGGTCTGGCCCAAACCTGTCCTTATAACCAGGGTATTACTGTACTCAGGTAATTTTTGATATGCGTATTATCAAGAAGGTCAAGAAGCAGTTACTATGTGTTCTCGTCAGGGTTGCACACTACCAAGGTTTTCACTGTACAATAATCATTTTACGATGAATGCCTATATAATGAAAAAACAGATTTCTTATTTTAATGTACTACTACATACCATATACATATGTAGGCGTCACAATCTTACAGTAATTACTAAGTATGAAGACTATAACAAATGAAATATATTAGAAAGCCTACAATATTTGGAACATACGTCTGTATTTACGTGATACCAATTAGCTCACAAATGACTTATGTCATTTTTAATGTCATTTAAGGATAATAAAGTTACGTACCGTGAAGACAATTTAAACGAGAAAAAACAAGGTTAATATAGAATGTTATTAGATTCAGCTCAATGTTAATATTAGGCGGTTTTAGGCACGATTTTGTAGTGTAACACTAAGTTTAAGGTTGGCTAGGGCTGAGGCTGGAGCTGGGGCTGGAGTTGGAGCTGAAGCTAAGGTTGAGGCTAGGACTAGCACTATCGTTGGGGCTAAGGCGTGGGTTGCGACTAGGGCTAATTATAAAATGTTATAAGTTTGCTCTCTTCTCTTGGCCTTTCATACCACTATAATGACTCATATATGTTTTCTTCCCGATACAAACTCAAAAACTCAAATACGAAATACTATGCCTACATATAGTATTAATGATAGTAAATGAGACATCTTGTTTGGAAAACAGCCTAAATAAAAATTTACAAATTCCAAACGGGTATTTTTGATTAATGAATAACACATGCATATTCATCATCTCATACCGTATTCAATGTGCTACAAATGATAATATTTAGTGGCCAGACTATACTTTAATACTAAGATATGTTTTGTATGCTAGGTGTGGTACTGTAAAAAAAGAAATACACAGTACCACACTTGTTTGAAATATTTTTGTACAGTTGGTACTACTTTGTTTTTTGGTTACTAAACGTACTGATAAGAAGTCTTTTAATATTGTCAATACTATTTTTGTTTTTGACTCATTTCAAGTAACGACCCATATCATATAGTCATATCTTTGTCATCTATAACATGAATTCATAAAACTTGCTATGATCTACCATTTTATCGTACGTAGTACAAGATGGGTCATTAATACTTGATAGTTGCTCCAAACTTGTTTTTGTTTTTTGATGACACGTAACGATGCTCAAGGGCAATGTGCTAATTTTTATTGCATTCAATGTTGAATGACGTTGTAATTAGATGTCTGTTAGATTAACACACATTATAACACGGTTAACAATAAAAGCATTTGTCTTGCTTTGCCTAACAAGAAAAGTGTCAAAAGGTGCACCTAACGCCCAGACATGTGATATAGCTCAAAAAAATTCTATGATCATCCTGATTAAGAATCCGTTTTCAAAAGTTGCTAAATTTTTGTCTCGACCGAGTTATGGTCGTTTAAAGTTTGCACTGATTCCCTATTAAATTGCTAAAATTTAAAATTTGGGAACTCTGGTCATAATGTTAACGTTCACTTTTTTGTCTAATTTTCCCTGAACTGGTAAATGGGTTCAAGTTTTTTAAAAAACAATTAATCAACTATATTATAACATAATATTCAATAAAATACAATTTTACTTAAAAAATAACAATTTTACTTGGTTAATAGTACACTTGGTACAGTTTTCAAATGCAAAATAAAATTTCAAAAGAGTTTGCACGCACCCAGATTCGAACCTGCGGCATTTCCGAAGGATAACGCTTTATCCATTCGGCCACTCCGGTTACGTTCACTTTTTCGTTCCTTTCTCTTCATGGCCTTTTCGGGAATTTAATAGGGAATCAGTGCAAACTTTAAACGACCATAACTCGGTCGAGACAAAAATTTAGCAACTTTTGAAAACGGATTCTTAATCAGGATGATCATAGAATTTTTTTGAGCTATATCACATGTCTGGGCGTTAGGTACACCTTTTGACACTTTCCTTGTAAAAGCAATGCCTTGCCTTGCCTTGCCTTGCCTGTTTTCTCTCTGCTCTGGCTTTACTATCGCCCTGCCCAAGCGTTACATTTTCCCTATTGTCTTTGCTCTAGATTTTTCTTGCCCTACGTTACCCTATTCAAATCTGGTTACTGTAATTTTTTCAAAAAAAAACCAAATTTTGAGCTTATTTTTAGAAAACTGACAAATCACTAGAAATTCTTCTAATTTTTCCGACCTAATTTATGTGTATCATCTTGATAGACCATGTATATCATAAATGAAATGACTTTTGGGTCATTAGTAATCTTTGTTTCAAAAACACAAATTTTTAACCTTTTTTGGTAAATTAAAACATTTTTTACCCAAAAGAATTACTTCAAGTCATTACCATGAAAAAATATACTACAGTAATGGGCTAAAACTGATTTATTTAGCAATGTGGTTGGGGTTATATCTATATGTGGTTTATGATGTAGGTCAAAATAGAAAAAAGGTAATTAAGGAATTGGCATGGATAAAGGACTAATTAGGTCAATTTACTAGATTTAGTAGTGGCATACTGTAGGTCTTAGGATGAGCAAAAAAATTAAATTTGTTATGTCTTTTACTATATAAGGAGTCATATATCTCTCTATATACAGCAAGAAGGAAATGTATTATTAGTCGTATTAGTCTCAGCATATTGTAAGAAGCAGAACAACTATCAAAGTGATTCCTATATACATCATACATATATACGTGAATAGAAATAAAGTTCAAAAAGAGTGGTTTTTTACGACTTAACGTATACGGCTTCAGTTATGTTGAGATTATGTTGTCATTTCTCCTATAGAAAATTTGGAAACTTTAAGACTACACGTTGGTTAAACCATATACGTACGTTTTTGCTATATATAGAAGTTCCACATATATATAACAAAGAATACTTATATGCTCCTACCCTACCCTACCCTACCCTACCCTACCCTACCCTACCCTACCCTACTCTACCCTACCCTACTCTACCTTACCCTACCATACCCTACCCTACCCTATCCTACCCTACCCTACTCTACCATACCGTACCCAAAGTTACAGACATCTAAAAAATACGACAGACAAAATAAAAGTAATATATATATATAGCAATACCAAATATTTTTTTATAATATGTATGTATGTATTTAAAAAAAACTATAAACTATCGTACACAAAATTAACGGTAGTTTGTGCAAGAACACCATAAGAGTACAAGTAAACAGTTGTCATTTTCGAAACGACTCATTAGAGTTACATTAGGTATGCTATTCAAATTGATACATGTTGTCTGGTCGTGAATTTGTTATGACACATTAACCATACGAACACTGCAAATGGCATGTTTACAAGGGTGGTAGCCGGAAGTATATGAGTAGTGTTCATGGTAGTACTATAGAAAATAAAACAAGAACACAAAAGTTGGTACTGTTGTAAGTATGATTGTCCTAGCCCAAAGCCCTAGCCCAGAGCCCTAGTTCGGAGCCCTAGCCCAGAACCCTAGCCCAGAGCCCTAGTCCAGAGCCCTACCCCTAGTCCAGATCCCTAGCCCAGAGCCTTAGCCCAGAGCTCTAGGTCAGAGTCCTAGTCCAGAGCCCTAGTCCAAAGCCCCAGTCCACATCTCTATCTAGGAGCCCTAGCTCAGTATCCTAGCTCAGGTCTTTAGTCCAGAGCCCTAGCCCAGAGCCCTAGCCCAGAGTCCTAGTCCAGAGCCCTAGCCCCTATAAACATCATTAATATTATGTTACACTTCAAGCGGAAAAAGTAGGTAATCATATTCAATTTTACTGCCTTTTATAACGTTTCAAACATACATTCTACTATGGTATGGAATGTAAAAACAGTTTAATTTGGCATTTTACACCCGAAAACCTATTATATTATTCTAAACTTTTTGATCCAAAACGTTTGTCCTGAAAAAGATAACATGTCATTTTTTGAATACACAACGAATTTAATAATGTCGTGATATAAACTGTGGTCTTATATGTTAAAGCATAATAAAAAAAACTTAGATATGATTTTAAACCTTAAGTAACAAAATATGCAATATGCTGTCTAAATCAATACCTTACAAAACTAAAATTTAATATATCTTCAATATTTATTTAAATACAATTTACAAGGTGCGCCAAAAGTTCTGTTACAAGACAAAACGTATATACATAATAATAAAAAGTTAAATGATAAGTCTTGAGTCAATTTTAGCCTTAAGAATAGAACACAAGTCGCAGGAAAAAGTAAAGCCTAAGCTTGAGAATAAACCTAAGTAAGACCACTATCACCAAGATAAGATCACTATCATCTCAGACTAATACTATTCCTTTGCTTAAGCCTACGCAAGATTAAGCGTAAGCTTGAACTTCAGTGTGAGCCAAAGCCTAACTTATTTATGTCTAGCCCTCAAGGTGTCCCTAATACTAAGCCTGAGCTTAAACCAAAACCTAAATATATTCCTCAGCCTAAACCTAACATTTTCTGATCAATAATATAAATCAATAAATATTATGTTCCTTCAGATTCATCGTACCCATTGTACACCGTTGGCCTTGGATGTGACTTGACGCTACTGTTGTATCTGTTTGGCTCCTAGAAAAGTCATTTTTAAAAAACTTTTAAAAACAATATTTAAAGCCGTGAAAGAAATACACAAACGTATTTTACAAAATGTACTTACTGAAGCCCTTAGCTGCTCGATAAACTCTACAGCATAATAAGGTGACCACACTTCTGGTAACTTTACTTTTGAAGGCTGAGGGTCTGTAGGGTACTGTAGTTTATCATCCTTCTTTGTTATACTTCCTGTAGTAGTAATATAGTTTTGACTGTCATTACTGACACTTTTAGTAATACCACTTTGTTCAATTTTAGAATCTTTGACGCCAGCTTGGTAACTGCGTTCATGCTCAACATAGTAATCAGTACCAGTTGCCCCACTATCCGAAATAGGTTTATCTTCATGTATTCTAACCCTATGTCGATTAACTTTGTCATCTTGGCCGATTTCTTTCTCTCTACGTTTTATACTCTCCCGTACCATCTCTCTTTCTCTAGCACTCTCTTCACTTTCATACGATATTTTTCGACTTTGTTGTTCAGATACTTCATTACTTCCGAACAACGACATTACTGATGGATTATCAGGTTTTTCTGTTTTTAAAATGTAGTCGTTTGCTGGAAAGAAAGTTTTTGCAAAGGTAGAGTAGGGTAGGATAAGGTTGCGTAGGTTAGGGTAGGGTAGAGTAAGGTAGGGTAGGGTAGGGTAGGGTATAAAAACTTACAGGTTATGTCAAATATACTGTCTTGTAATGGGTCATGAGGCTTGTTTTGCACCGGTAGGTCAAGTGGTGGCCTAAATTTTCATTTTTTCAAAAAGTATTTTAAAAAATTTTAACAAATTTTTAAAACCTACACATTTTGAGCCTCCAAATTAGTGTAGCTATTATGTTTTTGAACATAATCGTTACTAGGCAAGTTTGCCGCATCCGGTGTACTACTGCTTTTACGTACTATTGGTGATCCGCATGTGTTATAGTAGACAAACATGCACAGCCAGGCAAATAGGGCTGCGATTAGGAACCCGGCTATTAGAATTACTGTAATTTTTTAAAATTAATAGTAAAAAATATTTTTTGTATTAAAAAAGTTCATATTTTTAGATTTAGTAAGCCTATACTTACATATTATCCATCGATAGTCAAGTGAAGGTGATTGAACATTACCTAAAACATCATTTTTAAAAACTTTTATTAAATTTTTAAAATATTTTTAAACTTTTTTTACTTTATAGTTTCTAGTTCTATAGGTTATGTTACACTTACTTTCAATACCAACGATAGGCAACCCAGTAATCGCTGATAGATGAGACAATGTTAGTTGTGATATTTCAGCTACCGCTACCTGGAAAGGAAAATTATCTGTTCTATCATAAAAATGAAGAAACTTACTTTACTATTAACAAGTATATCTTTGTACATTAATAAAAGTCTGGTCACTATGTGATCTTGATTCTGTTTGACTTCAAATACCTATAAAATATATTTAGTTAAACCAGTGTTAAGTTTATCTTGAGAACCAGGGTTATGCTTAGATTCAAACATAAGCTTATTTTTAAGCTTAAAAGCAATTTTGAGCCGTAGCCGCAGTTTGATATTGAGCTCAAGCTTCCACCAATGCCTAAGCTTAAATTTTAACCTAAGATTGAATTTAAGCCTGAACCTGAGTCTAAGCCTAGGCTAAAGCTAAACCTATAATTTAAGTCTGAGTTTGAACTTACGTCTTCCAAGCCCATGCTTGAGCCAGAGCCTCATCCTGAGTTTCAGCCTGGGCCTACGCCAGATAGAGCTTATGCATAAACTTGAGCTTAAATCTGAGGCTAGGCTTATATCGTAACCGCAATTTTAACTTTAATTTTAATACCAACTAGAAAGTGAGCTGAAGCATAAACCCAAGTGAGCCTGAACCTGAGATTGAGCCTAAGCCTGGGACTGAGCCTGAGTCTGAGCCTGAGCCTAAGCCTGAGCCTGAGCCTGAGCCTGAGCCTGAGCCTGAGCCTGAGCCTGAGCCTGAGCCTGAGCCTGAGCCTGAGCCTAAGCCTGAGCTTTCGCCTGCGCCTGCGCGTGAGCCTGAGCTTAAGTCTAAGCGTCTAATTGAATCTCAACATCTAAGTTAACTTTAACCTTAAATTGAGCTTTCAAGCCTGAAACTAAATTTAAACTTCAACTCCAACCCTAATATTAACCTTAACCTTAATCTTAACTTCAACCTCAACCTAAGATTTAACCTCAACCTGAGGCTTGCGTTTTAGCTCGGCCATTAACTTTCAAAAAAGAGATAAAATCAAACTTTTACCTGTAAATCACAATCGGATTGCTCATCCACCCCATCCGACTGAAACGCCACATTCGACCGTCGTTGCCCTTCAAGCTTCTGCAGCTGCGACTTCTGGATGGTAAAACAGAATACTTTGGCCAGCTCCGTCGACAACACTTCCAATTCATTTTGTGAGATGTTTTGAACAGCAATAACTGAAAAAAAAGACGAAGGAAGAAGAGTTAGCCGGTTTTATTACATTTTGCTTCCCTTTTTCAAATTTAAATTGGCTTTGAAGAAGGCAAGTTATTCGGTTGAATAATACGTTATGTCGTAAGTTATAACATTAAAATTGCAACACAAAAAAATTAATTCAGTGGCACAAGCTAGGATTAGATTCAGGCTTAGACTTAGGTTAATGCTAAAACGTATGCTTAGAGATTGGCGTTGGATTAACTGTAACCTTAATTTAAACCTGAGCTTAAGCTTGAGATTGTGCTTTAAACTGATTTTGAGTTTTAATCTAAGGGTGAGCCTGATCTTGAGCTTGAGCCTGAGTTTGTGCTTGAGCTTAATCCCTGAGCTTGAGCCTTAACCTAAACTTGAAAATAAAACTTTTTTGTTGCTTAAGCTTGAGCTTAAGCTTAATCATGAGGTTAGGCCTGAGCTTGAGTCTGAGCTTGAACCTGAGCTTGAGCTGAGCCTGAACCTAAGCCTGAGCCTGAGTTTGAGCCTGAGCCTGAGCCTGAGCCTGAACTTGAGCCTGAGCCTGAGTCTGAGTCTGAGTCTGAGCCTGAGCCTGAGCCTGAGCCTGAGCCTGAGCCTGAGCCTGAGTTTGAGCCTGGGCCTGAAGTGAGCCTGCACCTGAACCCGAGTCTGAGTTAAAGGATAAGCCGGAGCCTGACTTTGAGCCAAAGCCTGTGTTAACGATTAGTTGAGTTTGAGCTTGAACTTGAGTTTAAACTTGAACCTAAGACTGAGCCTAAGCCTGAGCCTGAGCCTGAGCCTGAGCCTGAGCCTGAGCCTGAGCCTGAGCCTGAGTTTGAGCCTGGGCCTGAAGTGAGCCTGCACCTGAACCCGAGTCTGAGTTAAAGGATAAGCCGGAGCCTGACTTTGAGCCAAAGCCTGTGTTAACGATTAGTTGAGTTTGAGCTTGAACTTGAGTTTAAACTTGAACCTAAGACTGAGCCTAAGCCTGAGCCTGAGCCTGAGCCTGAGTCTTGAAAATGAGCTTGGATCTGAGTTTGAGGCTTGCACTTAAGCTTGAGTTTGAACTTAAGCTTAAGCCTGAATTTAGGTTTGAGCTTGAGCTTGAGCTTGAGATTTACAACCTTTTAAAGAAAAAACGTAAGAACTTACTGCAATCCACAACATAATCTTTGTATTCGTCCTCAATTTGAGTCGAATTTAAACTCTGTAAGTCTACTAACACGCAATGAACATGTGCTATGTTGTAAACTAGTAAACATAGCTTTAATAATCGTATCCTTAACATTTTAGTGTAGTAATACTTGACACTTTTTACTATAAAACTTCAATAAGTTATTCAAATGGGGCATACATTACTCTATCTTTACTCCAAGAATACCAATTTACAAAAAATAGTATAATTTGTAGTACAATAAAATACGTACTATATAGTACGTACTAAAAGTTAACTTTTACAATTTAAAGTAACTTTGTAAAAAAAGCGTTAATAGGCGCAAATAGTCAAAATTAAGAGCAAAAACAAGAGCCAGAGGGGTTATTTATAGCCAAAACGTTTCCAACAAACACATCGTACGTTGCTATGGCGCTATGTAATGGTTTGGACTTTTGAGAAATGTGGTTACGACATTTTCATATAATATTCATTTTTCAAACATTTTTTGACTTTTTTGATTTTTTCGACCAGTCGACATGTTTTTAAGGCATTTCTAGACTGTAAACAAAGTTCTTGCAATTTTTTGGTTTGTAAAGAAAGTTCTTGCCATTTCTTGTTTTGTAAAGAAAGTTCTTGCTATTTTTTGCTTTGTAAAGATAGTTCTTGTCATTTTTTGTTTTGTAAAGAAAGTTCTTGCCATTTTTTGTTTTGTAAAGAAAGTTCTTGCCATTTTTTGTTTTGTAAAGAAAGTTCTTGCCATTTTTTGTTTTGTAAAGAAAGTTCTTGCCATTTTTTGCTTTGTAAAGAAAGTTCTTGCCATTTCTTGTTTTGTAAAGAAAGTTCTTGCCATTTCTTGTTTTGTAAAGAAAGTTCTTGCCATTTTTTGTTTTGTAAAGAAAGTTCTTACCATTTTTTGCTTTGTAAAGAAAGTTCTTGCCATTTCTTGTTTTGTAAAGAAAGTTCTTGCTATTTTTTGCTTTGTAAAGATAGTTCTTGTCATTTTTTGTTTTGTAAAGAAAGTTCTTGCCATTTCTTGTTTTGTAAAGAAAGTTCTTGCCATTTTTTGTTTTGTAAAGAAAGTTCTTGCCATTTTTGTTTTGTAAAGAAAGTTCTTGCCATTTTTTGCTTTGTAAAGGAGGTTCTTGCCATTTTTTAATTTGTAAAGAAAGTTTTTGCTATTTTCTGTTTTGTAAATAAAGTTCTTGCCATTTCTTGTTTTGTAAACAAAGTTTTTGCTTTTTCAACTCAAATGTTTATTAATCAATATACAAAATGTACAATGTATTATATACAATTTTTCAATTTAAAAAAGACCGTAAACTCGTTATTCATAAGATAAATCTATTGTCACATTAAATTTGTCACTGGAAACATAATATAGTTTCGACCGTATTTTAGAAAGATATTAGTAGTTAAAATAACCAGACGCTTTAAAAATTAAAAAAAAATAAAAAAAAACAACCAAATTTTGACTATCAGAGTTCAGTATATTATTGTAGAAAGCAGTGATAAAGGTTAAAAGAGAAGAAAAAGAGACCTATGTACAGTGGTATGTTGTAGTAGATTTGGTATTTAAATGCCAGACTTGGAAGTGGTTCTTGCTCTTTTTGGTGCTACTATTTTGGTCTAAAAAACGTTATATACAACTGTTATATTCATTTTGAATACGTTTTAAAAAATCGATATTTTTAGTGACATTTCGCGACAATTTGGCTAAATTGCCATTTCGTCACAACTTTTTTCGACTGTTGTAAAATCGAAACTTTAGTTTTTTGTAAATACCCATTTTCGACATTTTGAGTACTATTTAATAATATACGTAAAAATCAATAACTTTTGTGACATTTCGTCTTTTTTTATCGTCAAAACTTACGAAAACATGAAATTCGTCATCATCCTCAACTTTCAACGTGTCGAAGAACAAATTCGAAGCCCGCAGCTCATCTGGCGGCCGCGTAGGATACTGCGGAGTAACATGTAGTACTTTAAGTAAATTCATGGGTATATCAGTAGCCTTTGAAATGGCTGCCAAAAACTGTGATACTGTAATGTGTAGCTTGTGTTTCACCGTATATCGACGATTAGTTTCAGGGCATCTCAACTTTGTGGTCACTGTGTCTTTGGGGGTAAAGTCGACAAAGACCAGTTGCTCCACATTACCGTGTAGAGCGACCAGCCGGTTGTAGATTTTTGGTTTGACATCGTGAGTTTGGTAGAAGCGAATGAAGGATCGCTCACAGCCTTCACGGTAGTGGGGCGTGATTTCTGAGCCGTTTAGAAGCTGGAAATTGATTTTTAAGAGATTTTAAGCCAAACTTTCACCAAAAAAATTGATAAAGTCAAGTAAGGTAGGGTAAAACTTGATAAGCTTACCTTTAAATTCGGAATCCTTGGAATGAGTAAATTATTTTTAAGATCGCAATTGAATTCGTCCAAGAATGGTACATCTGTCACCCTCAGATCTTCTAGTACTGGAAAGTCGGCCAAGGCTTCGAAACTCTCCCAGCCATACAAAGGACAAGCCTTGAGGCAAAGGATTTTCAACTTTTGCAGCCTGTCGTCGACTGGTTGAATTTGAATAATTTGGTTATTGCTCAAGTCCAAAAATTGTAAATTTTCAAATTTCGAAGCGAATTTCAAAACTTTTTCCCATGAGCTAACTTGACAATGTTGTAGTGTTAGGTCTCTTAGGGGGTGGGCCGATGAAGAGTTGTTCTCTTTTTCACTTTCTAAGTTGCACGATGATACTGAAGGGTTGATGTGATGCTCGATTGGTACTAGACAATGTTGGAGCACTTTTAGACGAGGAAAAGCTTTTAGAATCGTGCTATAAAAGTTTTTTGCTTATACTGTGCTTTAACTTCATGTCCTAAGCTATCCTCTCATACCCTGTCTTCCCGGAGTAGCTTATCTTACGCTACCCTCTCCTACTCTGTTCTCCCAAAGTAGCTTTTCCTACGATACCCTAGTCTATTAGAGGCCGACATAAGGAAAACGCCATTTTTTACCAGAAATTACATAATAAAATTCCTTAAATTTTCTTGTGGCGAGTTCTTTATGTCGGCACCTAATATCTTGTTTTAAACGTACTTTAAAGCCTCTTCGCTAAGTACCACACCATTCAGCTCCAATCGTTCCAAATCATGTTGAAAATCATTGAACTTTGTGCCAATTTCACTGTTCAACGGATTAAAACTTAGACTTAAACTATTCAATTTTGGCAATACCCGCAATAGACCAACAACTTCCGACCAGTCAGCCAACTGGTTATGACTTAAATCCAAATCCCGTGCATTTTTCAATGTTTGAGCTACCATATTCATGTCACCTAGTTCTGATACGTCATGATGTGACAGAATTATGGTACGTAGTTTCTTTACACAGGCTCCTTTTGGCGGTGAGGAAGATAGCTGGAGAATAAAAATTTTAGCAAAAACTTTGTTTACAAAGCCAAAAATGCCAGAAAATCGTGTTTTTAAAAGAATTTGTAATCATTTTAAAAATCCAATAAAATTTTTGACACTTCGTCAAAAATCGATACATTTTGTGACATTTCGTCAAAGTTTTAAAAACTGTCTCATTTCATCTTGTAAAGACATACCAACTTAAAAAAAAAGAAGTGGTAAAAACTATCTTTAAAAAACGGAAAATGGCAAGAACTTTTTTTACAAAACATAAAATGGCAAGAACTTTCTTTACAAAACAAAAAATGACAATAACTTTCTTTACAAACAAAAAATGGCAAAAACTTCCTTCACAAAACAAAAAATGGCAAGAACTTTCTTTAAATTACCAAAAAAATAATTTAGACTTAAAATTATACCTAAATTTTTAAAAACTCACAAACATAATACCAGGTTCAATATCATCTGGAGGTGATGTGTATTTCATTTCCAGATCTTCTAATGCACTTTCCACTGATTGTGACAGTTCTGACTGTGTTGTCTTTGCCGGAATCGGCATGGGATTACTGGCAGTCGCCATACCTCGTAAATTTTAAGCCAAAAGCGGAGCAGCGAAAGCAATTTTTATGGCACTGAAGCGAGTTACCGGTTGATTTGTACCTGAAAATAAAAAATTTTTTAAATTTCACGCTTTTTTAATTTTTTTTTATGTAAAACGCGAATAGTTTTAAGCAAGCGAAGAAAATGCCTACCCTACACTACCGTACCCTACCTTGCCTTAGTTTAACCCAAAACATACGCCCTGCTCTAACCTTTCCATAACCATATCTTATCCCTCCATATAGCCTTACTTTAACCCTACCCTACACTTCCACACCCTACTCTACTCAAACCTACTACTCTAGCCCAAAGCATATGCCTTGTCGTAGCCTTTCCTCGACGCAACCCCAATTTAACCCTACCTTAGATCTGTCATAACCATGCCATCAGGGCCGGGCGGGGACTTTTGGTCTGGGGGCAGAGGTCCAAAAAATCCACAGGGGGGACCACGTTCAACTTTTTTTCGAAAATTTTTTTTTGGGAGGGGGGGGCCCCCCCCCCCCTCGCGCCCGGCCCTGCATGCCATAGCCCAAACTCATCCTATCCTAAAAATGCCATCCCCTGCTTATAATAATATTTGCAAAAGTAAATAAAACAAAACATAAATAGCCCCCCCCGAACATTTTATTTCCTCTCCTTTTTTATTTTTCACGTTTAACTTCGATTAATGGGTGTCTGACGAGCGAAGAAAAACAAGACGGATTAGAGTGTTTTATAAAACACGAGTCGAAAAAACACTTGCTCCTTTAATTTATAAGTTGTACAAGTTGATTTGAGGGTCTTACTTCGAATTTCAAACAAATTTAAAAAAAAATTTTTCTTCAAGCAAAAATAAGCCGAAAATTGAGTTCATAAACTAGTTTATGCCTAAAAATTAAGTTGTTTTAAAAATAAGTCTAAATTCTTATTTTGTAGATCCCTTTAAGCCTAAGAACCAAATTATTCAAAAATAAGCCTGAACTTCGCTTTTGTTTGTATTTCTAAGCCTAAAAATTAATTTGCCGTAAAAATAAGCCTAACTTTCAATTTTTAACGTCTTTCTAAGCCTAAAACTCAATTTTTGGGAAAATAAGCCTAAGCTCCAAGTTTATGAGTATTTCTAAGCCTAAAAATTAATTTGCCGTAAAAATAAGCCTAAACCTTTATTATTTTGAAATCTTTAAGCCTAAAAATCGACTTTGTCAAAAATAAGCCTAAAATTTAATCCCAAAAATTAAAATTTCAAAAATTTCAGTCCACTCCATTTTTAACCCCCATTACCGATTTTTATCTTTCTTATCATATTTTACGTTTCTATTCCAAACCCTCCAGCTGTTAAACTGGGTGTTAATAGCAATCTTCTTGGAGAAACGTCAAAAACCCGTCAAAAGCAATAAAAAGCAAAAGGAAAGACAACAAAAAACAGTTTTAGTAGGCTATTGAAAAGTGCATTATAATATAATTCATCGCATTATACAGTAAATTTGGTTTGAACAAAAGAAAATTGATTTTTTATAGTCAAAAGCCCTAGCTCAGAGCCCTAGCCCAGAGCCCTAGCACAGAGCCCTAGCCCAAAGCCCTAGCACAGAGCCCTAGCCCAAAGCCCTAGCTCAGAGCCCTAGCCCAGAGCCCTAGCACAGAGCCCTAGCCCAAAGCCCTAGCCCAGAACCCTAGCCCAGAGCCCTAGCCCAGAGGCCTAGTCTCAGGTTCTAGCTCACAGCCCTAGCCCGGAGCCTTAGCTCAGAGCCCTAGCCCAGGTCCCTAGGTTAAAGCGCTAGCCCAGAGCCCTAGCCCAGAACCGTACACTGCAATAATAACATTTTATCCAGCCCTACCTACCGTAACACTAAAATCCTCAATTTTTATATGTCTCTTACCGTACCATGGAACAATTTTTAAGATACTTTAGAATGCCATACCCAACTCCTCTTTTTTTTACTCTTTTCTTCTATAACCTATCACACTGATCGCACCCGCCCCTCTCCCACATAAATTTTCTTCTACCATCTACCATAACCACCCCTCCTCCATATAACACATTTTTTAAATGTAAAACATGTTCTTTTTCACAATTTCAAAAGCATAACAATAAAACCGTCAAACATTATTTTATTATTTTACATGCCCTTTCACTTTTTAATACCAAACCCTACCCCCTCCCCTCTTTCTTTTTTATGTTTTAATTTTGACTTTTGTCACTCGAAACAAATTTGTCAGCTGATCGGGCGCAATTCTCTTTTTTATTGTAAGAAAAAGCACTTTCAAGCGAAAGAATTACTGAAATGGCAGGAGAAAAGGAAAAGATCCCTTTGTTTACATTGTTTGTAATAACAGAAAACGCTTTGTTTTTTGTTTGTTAGACTTAAAAATGAAGGGTTATAAGCCTAAAAGAGTGTTCTAGGTTGCTGTGAGCAGGGCCAGGCAGGGACTTTTGGTCTGGATGGAGGGGGTCGAAAAAATCCACAGGGGGGACCAAGTTCAAGTTTTTTTCGAAAAATTTTTTGGAAAGGAGGGGGGAGGGAGTTAAGCCTAAAGATTTAAGAATTAGTCCAATAATCAAAACATAAGCCTAAATTTTACTTTTTATGAAAAAAACCCTTAATTTTTATAATTAAGCCTAAAAATTTTATTCGCCTAACTGCTAAAAATAAACCTCGAGGCATAAAAATAAGCGAAAAAGCTAAAGAAACAGCTTGACAGTTCAAAAAAACAAGTCTAAAAATTCAAAAAGTAACCTAAAAATTAAAATTTATAAACTAAGCCTAAAAAACTAAAATAAGCTTAAAGACAAAAAATAAGCCTAAAAACCAAAAATAAGCCTAACAACAAAAAAAACAAGCCTAAACACTCAAAAATAAGCCCCAAAGTTCAAAAACCAAATTAAGTCAATTTTATTCAAATCTCCTCCCGAACGTTCCACATCACGCTACCAGCGTTCCGGCATTTCCACAAAAACTTGACTCAAAAGCCGTTCTTTTGGTTAGAGAGGAAACAAGTTGGAATACATTTCTTTCATTGTTCTTTGTCCTCAATAAACAAAAATCATGCGGGGCTACAAAGACCATTCGAACTAGGTTGGGCAGGGTAATTCAAGAAACATTTTATTAGGTTGGGTTAGAGGGGGGGGGGGGGGGGGGGAGAGAGAGTCGATAATTTGCTTTTTTGTGACATTTTAAAATCATCACACATAGTGTAATTTTTTAAAAATATTGTTCAAACTTAGCTAAAAAAAGAAGTTTTTTGATATTTTAGGCTTAAAATAAGCCTAAAAATTTTTTTTTCAAATTTGGAAATTTTGTCAAAAAATACAATTCAATTGTGAAAAACAGCCCAAAACTAAATTTTTTGTTAAAAATTTTTCCTCAAAAATCCATTTTTAGCCATTTTAGGCTTAAAATAAGCCTAAAACGTTTTTTTCAACTTATGACTAATTTTTTAAAATCACCCTGCCCAAACTCCATAATTAAAAATTTTTCCAATTTTTATCCCCCACCTCTCCCTCGCATGACTATTAAAAGCTCAACACAAACTTTAATCGTAAAAAAGTATATTACACTCTCCATTAAATCACGAGCTCCCTCGACCGCTTATGCGTCTCGGGACTTTTCGTCGTTCCATGAGACCAGGATGCAAAAAAAACAGAAAAATAAATAAATATTTTTTTCTTTTCCTCTTTTTTCGGCCGTTTCTATAGAAAACACGCTATTTTTAGGGTTTCTTTGACTTTGCCTGGCCGCTCTCCTCTTTCCTTGCGCTCTTTTTGCCTTTTTCTAGGTTTTTGTATGACTTTCTCTGGCCGCTCCCCTCAATTACAGCGTTCTTTTACGGCCTCTCTTTGTTTTTCGCCCGCTTCTCACTTTCTCTACCCGCTCTCTTTCATTTCCCCGCTCTCTCGTTTTCCCCCTTTCCTTTCGGGCTGTTCCTCTAACTTTCTCTGCCCGCACTCCACTTTTTTTGCGCATTCTTCACTCCCTCCTCGTTTTCCCGCCCGCTTTTCTCTTCCTCTGCCGCTCTCTTTCATTTTCACACTCTCGTACTTTCGCTAACCGTTCTCTTCGTTTCGCACGCTCTTTCGCTCTCGAAAAAGGGTTGAAAGTGCAATAAAAAGAGGAGATTTGTTAAAGTGAGTGATGACTGTAATGACATGCACTTTTTTCGACCATACATGCATATATCATGGGTTCTTGAGATAAAAGTTTGCCTTGGGGCAATTTTATTGGAAAATTTGTTTTTTAGGAGAATTTTAAAGTTAAAAACGTAAAAATAAAAATTTAAGTTAAAGTTTAAGAACTAGTAAACAAAATGTTTTGATACCAAAAATCTCAAAAACATGTTGACAAAGTCAACACATCTTTGTATTGTGAGCTCAGACAATCCCATTCAAACATATGGTACAACAACAACAAATAGTAAAAAATACTAAAAAGATCTTTTGAATCTGAATTCGAATAAAAATACTGGGAAAAAGCAAACAAAGTCGCGCATTTTGTTTTTTGGTAGCTTTAAGAAATAAGTTTTAAAATGTTTAGACAACCCTACTCTACCCTATCTTGCTCTACCTTACCCTACCTCACTCTACCTTTCTCTACTTTAGCCTACCTTACCCTATCTTTCCAAAAATTTGAAAAACTATGTCACGAAGGCGCAAGAAACATGATAAAGATCAATATCCGCCGCTTCTAACATGGATTTATCGCCGCTTCAACAAAATTTTATGTTTTTACAGAGTAAAAAACATAAATTTAGGTATTTAAAAAGCGAAAAACTAGTCCGATTTCCTTAAAGAAACGACATAAAGAAGAGCACGTGGAAGGGCGAAAAATGGAAAAACGAAAAACCTGGGGAAAATGCCAATAATTTGAAATCTTTGCGTTTTACAAACGTGTTTTATCCAAAAATGTCATAATTCAAAAAATTCGAATTTTCAAAATTTCAAAAATCCATTTTATTAGCCATACTTACCTTCTTAAGCCTATACCTACCTCAAACACGTGAAGAAAATAACCAAACTTAAAATTACAGCACAGTGTCTGATTATTACTACCCATAAGAGCCCTTATCCACCCAAAAAACATGTTATATATAGAAATGTTTGTCCGTTTTAATATGCTTGCACTAATAAGAGCGAGAATATATATCCATTTTTTATCCGCCTCACAACTGCAAAAACTATTTTCATTACGAAAATGGAATTCTATACATTTTTAGGCCGTTGGACGCGTAAAAACATGTTTTGCCCAAATTTTAGGTTTTAAAAATGGTATTAAAACTTTGAAAAAGTTAATATTTTAGCCTGTTAAGGCATAATATTATAACTCTTTGGCATAATTAGACTCAAAAAATAATAAAAAGTACTTAAATTCGATGAAAAATGACACAAAATAAGATAAAATATTATATTTAAGAAGTTTTGAGTGTTTGTAAGTAGCTAAAAATACAATTTTTAATCAAAAAGTACCATAAAAAGCATCAAAAAATGTGTCGACCACGGCAGGATTCGAACCTACAATCTTCGGTTCCGTAGACCGACGCGTTATCCATTGCGCCACGCGGCCACGTTGCAAAGGCTCTTTTCTTTTCTACTTGAAACGATCGTGAGGGGTGTAAATAGCAATAAAAATCAAAATTCGTTGGAAATGGCGTAAAAAATCTACCGGTTGATAGTTTTTAGACTATTTTACAAACCTTGACTTATTTTACTTTTAAAAATAGTTGAAAAAAAATAAAAAATGACAAATTGATTAAAAATTGATCTACTACAATATATAATAACAAAAAAAATTTTTTTGAATTCAAATTAAATTCAACCGCCAAAAAGTAGTGTAAATACGAGTGAAATCGCGGAATCCGACGAAAAAACTGCATCGAAATGCGTGAGGAGTCGAGACTTTAAAAGGTAAGGAGTCGGATTTCCGCTTGGATGCGCTTCGGCCGTTGGTCAAAAAAAATTTAGGCGAGGGCAAATTTGCGAATGTCCACAATGTTTCCGGAAAAACAAAAAACGTGCGGAAAATATAATTTGGTTTGTGCGAAATTTTTAAACAAACGCTTAAAAGAGGTTTCCTGAGGGGAATTTAATTAAATTTGCATAAATTTTGACACTTTTTTAAAAATTTTTAGTTAAAAAACTAAAAAAAGTTACAAAAATTACTTTTAAGTTTATAAAACCAAAAACTAGGCCATATTAAAATAATTGAAAAAATTTTGTCGTTTTTTAACAACGATTTTAAAATCAAAAAGCGCCAAGACTTTTCGGACATACAAAAATGTTTTTTCTGTAAAATACGACGGGAGACCTTAATTTTCTAAAAACCAACAAAAATTAGAAATGGCCGCTAAAAAAATTTTAAAAGTTGAAAAGTCATTGGGCCGAGAATTATTTGTCCAAATGTTTTTCCGTTTTGGCCGTAAAATTTGAAAACGTTTTTTACGACCGGAAAGAATTGTTTTTTACGGTCAATGTGTTAACTGCCGGCCAAAAGGAATTATAGATCAGTAAACAGGCTTTAGTTTTAAAAGGTCATTATTTAAAAAGTTTTAAAAAATGATTTTGAGTAGAAAAATGACATTTTTTTTTACAAAAAGATCATAAACTAGCAAAAACTTCCTTCACAAAACAAAAAATGGCAAGAACTTTCTTTACAAAATGAAAAATGACAAGAACTTTTTTTATAAAACGAAAAATAGCAATAACTTTTCTTCCAAAACAAAAAATGACAAGAACTTTCATTGCAAAACGAAAAACAGCCAAACTTTAATAGAACAAAAATTTTACCGCATTTGCCACCGCCGCATGTTGGCTTAATTTATGCTAAAACCTTGAAGCAGCAGTAAAGAAGGGCAATGTGTGAAGAATGACCGGTCGACCCGCACTCAAAAACGGTTGTAAATCGAAGCGGCTCTCACGTTTTATGGATTCGAAAGAATGTCAATGAAAGGCAAGTAAAACGTGGTGGGCTTAAAAAATTTTTTTTATCAACGTTAGTTTTGTCTAAATCATACTCTAGTTTTACCACAAGCATACACTAGCTTTACTCTATCTTTACATTGCCTTAGCCTCAAAAATGTTTTCTAAAGCTTAAAAATGTTTTTAAAAAAGAGAAATGATCATTTTAAAACACGGTCACAAATATAAAATTACCAAGAAATTTGCCAGTTTTGAATTACCATGCGGGGTGTCCTTAATGTTCAAGAGTGGACAATAACAGCGCCGGAAGCAAATTGGGCCAAACAAACAAATTTCCAAGGACCAACACATTTGCGATATACTATGTAAATTTTTCGAAAAATTTTGTTTGGACAGGAAAACAGTAGGATAAGGGTAGGGCAAGGGTAGGGCAAGAGTAGAGTAAGGTAGGACTACTGTAACGCAAGAGTAGGGCAAGGGTATGGTAAAAGTAGGGCAAGGGTATGGCAAAGGTAGAGCAAGAGTATGGCAAGAGTAGAGAAAGGGTATGGCAAGGGTAAAGCAAGGGTAGGGCAAGAGTAGAGTGAGATAGAACTACTGTAAGGCAAAGGTGAAGCAAGGGCGTGGCAAGAGCAGAGCAAGGGTTATGGCAAGGGTAGAGAAAGGGTATGGCAAAAGTAGAGCAAGATAAGGATAAGAGTAGAGTAAGACAGAACTGGTGTAAAACAAGGGTGAGGCAAGGGCATGGCAAAACTAAGACTATTGTAAAATACGATTTTTATTAAGAATTTCTCAACACTTAAAAAACACAAAACAATCTTCTATTAAAACTTTTGTTATTAATTACTATCACATATTTACAAATACATCAATATATCAAACTTCACAACGTAAATCTTCATGTTAATATTAGGTGTTCAGCTTTGTAGCGTATCCATCGACATTCCTTTGTTTGTATTCTTGCTAATACTTCTTGGATTCGTAGTTTCGGCCGAAATTTCATTGACATTCTTACAACCACTCGCAAGACAAATAAACCTGTATGTGATACGACGATATGTTGGTACACACAGTACAACGGACAATGAATTCAAAAATGGCGTTAGATGGACACTGACAATACAAATGACACCCAAGTTTTTCGATTTGAAGTTGATAATGGGTGCGAATGCAAAGAAAAAGCTGGGTATACCAAGTAATACGATGGGGTAGAAGGCTTGCAGCAGAATGATTCGTGTCATTTGACGTTGAGCACGGCGGGTCGAAGATGTCATATGGACTTCAAATCGTTTTAGATGAGCTTTGGTTTTACGGTAGAATATAACAATAAGGATGTAGCTTACTGATACCATCAACATACAACTACCAAAATGAGGTATAATCCATAGGTTGGCTCCCTGAAACATTTTAATTTACAAAGGTTGTATAGGATACAGTATAAAAAGATATGATAAGGGTAGGGTAGGGTAGGATAGGGTAGGGTAGGATAGGGTAGGGTAGGATAGGGTAGGGTAGGGTAGGGTAGGGTAGGGTAGGGTAGGGTAGGGTAGGGTAGGGTAGGGTAGGGTAGGGTAGGGTAGGGTAGGGTAGGGTAGGGTAAGCCGAAAACACCTTACCTTATCACCAGCAATGTAAATCAACTCTTTTCCTTCAACACCTTCATCCAACAACATTTTGTCATATCTGGCGTTTGGCGATTGAAATGTATACGGAAATGCGCTACAATGACAAAAAAGATACAAAGAACAGTAAAAAATAATTGTAGCAATTGACGAGTACTTGCAGCCTTTCGATGATACAACTTTGTATCTATAGTAGAATTGAATTGGAAGTACAAAAACCGACATGTAAATGAAAAAGGTTTGAATCATCATACAGAAATAAACGTCGAATGGTCTTCTGGTTAGTACTGGAGATTCCCATAGAATCAGTAGGACATCTGATGCAAATACAACGTTCTGAAACAAAATTTTATTTTAAATATAAGTTTGAAGTTCATGCGTATTTTACAAGCACTAAACATAATAAAATATTTGAAAAAAAATTTTTTTTTTCAAAAAAAAGCGTAAAATAAACATTCACGTAAAACCTTACCGGTACAGTAAAAACCGTAACAACACAGTAACACAAGTCCACAACAGCGTTAGTGACAAGCATTTTTCGATAAACTTGCACATCACGATTCTTTGTGCAATATACCGCCAAGTATATAACGTACAATGATGATAATACGCCTAGCACCGCGTTTGCCAACTCAAAAAATAAGTGGGCTTTCATCTGAAAATTATCTTATAATTGGTGTAAAATACGGGCTCTCAAAAAATTTGAAAATACTTTATAAAATTAAATATTAAAACCCTAAAATTGAAAAAACACGTCAAAATATATTTTATATAAAAGAACAAAAACCATTACCAACCCATACCCAAAATGTAAAAAAGTTGAAAAAAGAACAAATCCAAATTATATTACAAGTAAGGACTTATGTTTTTATGCCATTTTTTCTAATTACAGATTCGTGTAATGTAATGTTTTATACAACTTTTCGTATAAAGAACATTGAAATGTATAAAAAGCTATAACGCAACATGAGTATAAGTACATCACATAATTTAAAAAGTGTCGTCAAGTACTCATTATAATACTTGTAGGTACTGTAATGACATAATCTAGTCTATTAGTTATGAAAAGTTAAAGATTAATCTACCCGACCCTACCGTTCTCTGCCGTCTTGCGGTGTAGCGTACCGTAAGTTACCCTACTGTACTACATATACTTTACCCTACCCTACCCTACCCTACATTACCTTGCCCTACCTTATTGTTCCCTGCCGTCCTGCGGCCTTCCGTAACTTACTGTTCGCTACTCTACACTTCCCTACCGTTGCTGCCACCCCGTACTGCACCGTAATGTTTGCTACCCTACCCTACCGTCTCACACGGTACAGTGATTTATTGTGCCCTACTCTAAATTACTTTACATTACCCTTACCCAACATTTCCAACCCAAGTGGGTTGATACTTTGAACCCCCCCCTAACTAAAAATTAAGCCAAATAGAGCAGGATTAAAAGGACAATCCATTCAGTAACAAAAAATGTCAATGCAAACATAAGCCAACGTAGAAGTAAAAATGCAACATTTTTTTAAACGCACAGTGGTTTTTATGCAAAAATAAACAAAAACAACTTTAATTAACGTTACCAAACAACAAATAAAAAGCTTTTAAAATTTCGAACGAACTGATTTTAGGCACAATTCAATTTTTGTGGTCTTGGCAGTTGTAATATATATTTTCATGCCTTCTCACAACATTTATGTTATCTTTAGCAAACTGAGCTACTATCTGCAACATTTTACACGCCAAACTGCCTTTTTTGATGTCTTAAGCCTAAACCATATGTTTTGGCACCCCTCCGATAACCTCCAAATTAAAAAAATGCTTGTAATTTTAGAGAGGATTAAGCTAATGTTGCCAAAATTGAACCCAAATGGACCGACTTATTTAACGGTTTTCTGGGTTTTTAAACAAATTGGCTCGAGGGTTGAATTTCGGTTTAAATTCAAACGGATAGTAAACTTATAAATATGACAAGAAAGTCTACTTAACTACTAAAAAACTTAAAAACAAATTTAACTAGTATTATGAAGCGGGTACCCTTAGGTCAAAAATAATAGCCAAGCAAGGTAACGGGCTCAAGAACACGCTTTTCTCCATTTACTGTCCGTCCGGGTGCCAAATATATCAAACTTTGTAAGATACATGCCACGAATATGTGATAGATGACATAATACAGTTTTGCCTATAAAGCATTATAAAAGAGTGCCCACTTATTACTGTGCTTTTATACTACCACATGTTACTGTTTCTCGATACAGACAAAAACATTATAATTGGCTATTGCTGTCACATGTCATCTAATATAAGTAACATCTCTAAGCTTATCTTACTGTAACACTATATTAATGAAAGCCCTAGTGAATTGTCTGGCTAGTACACAAAGTTTAACTGTTTAATTTGAGTAAAAACAAAAAGATAGTCAACTATTTGCAAATATGTAACATAGATCATCGCCAAAACGCCTAAAGCTATATTTTTGGCATGATACGTCTTGTAAAATTTTTTTGAAATTTGAAACATTTTGTGATTAAAAGTTTCAAGAATCTTCGGAAGATACTATTGAAAAGCGTACTGGGAGATCGATATAAAAAACGTATGGTAAATAGGATGTCTTTACAAATGTTACATTTTCGAACATTGAAAATGGCATATACGTGTGACATTCAATAAAAGTTTAACTTAAAAACTAAATTCTAAAATGTATTAATATTAAATTCTGATAAAACAAAAAATTCTATGCACATATAACTTATAAAACTATATTTACCATCTAAAATATTTACTTTGTTTTGAGACACTTTGCACGTTTTTAGCATTTACCAAATTGTGTTTTATGTACAATAGATGTATTTTTAAGATCTTTGAATAAAAAATAAAATATTTTCTTAAATTTCACAAGTTGTGTGTGTTAATATGATATCGCAACAATGTATTTCTAGAAGAACTTTACTTTTACTACTATTTGTAGTCTATTAGCTTCTTCAAAACATCTTACACATTATGGTAAAATAAGCGTGAATAGAGAAGCAAAAGCATAAAACAAAGAAGGGTAGTGAAAGTTATAGTATGATGTTCATTATCAAAAAAATTTTTTGAAAATTCAAAGTGCTAGGCACAGAAGAAAGTGAAAGAACTTTTTTTACCTCCGCTAGAATTACATCGCCAGTTTGTTCTACTCACATACAAGCCTTATCGTGGATTTACTTCTAACCTATTGTATTTCTATCCTAGCCCTGCTTCAGCCATATCTTAGCCATTCCTAATCACACACTATTAAGAATGGTCACACACTATCCCTGCCATTGTCATACCTTAACCAGTCTTAACTACACTCTAGCCATACTCTTGCTACACCTTAGCCATTTCTAACTACATACTAACCCTACCATAGCCGCATCAGATACATCCTTAACAACGCTCTAGATCTAACCTTGACACACATCACAAAATATAGGCCACTAAATTTTACAGCAACCTTAAAGCTTACTAGTATAAACTAATATCCGTTTTAAAACAACCCACGTTTCATAAATACCATGTCACCTTATAACCCTTTAAACACTTGATCAGCTAAGTTAAAAAGTAAGGTTTCTGAAATGTTACAATTTAAGTATCCTGTTCGTAGAAAAATAACAAGGAAAACGTTAACCACTTACATTTATTTATCTCTACTTCAAAACAATTTTTAAACACTTTCAATTTTAAACTCATATTTGGCACGCATCGTACAATATACCAAAAATTTTAGCGTTTTCTAAGCTTACAAACAGAGTAAATTATGCCCAAAACTTTTAGGTCTTACATAGTAATGTGGGAGTTTACACTAAGCTTGGCAATTATTAAATATTACACATTATCCGTTATTTGGAATTACACTAAAATCAAACAGTTTACATTCGGTTCGGAAATGGTTTTTACTTACGAACGTGCCGTGTCGTGCTCGAACTGATGTAGAATTAATTACAGGACAAAATTGAAAATTTATTTTTAAATTTGATCATTGAGCAAAATGTCATGTTATTTGAATATCGCAATGGTATTGTTCAATTTTTTAAAGATAAAATGCTAAATGCTACAGTAAGATTTTAAGTTGGGCATGTTAAAATTTTATTACTTATGTTTTAAATGTTATTATGAAAACATAAGCTAAACTGGACACTCTACCCTGTCCTCTACTATCCGACCCTACTCTACCCTACCATACAGTACCCTACTTTGCCCTACCTCACACTATCTATTACTGCAAAAAAATGACGTAGTATCCGAAAGTTACAGCAAAGTAGCATAAACTCCAACGAACCCCAATTTAGTCTTAATATTAAATTCTAAAACAATTAATGTGATTCTCACAACATCAGCTAAAGAAACGTCTTTGCTAAAATTTTTTTTGCTAGAAATATTTTAAATTATAGGCTATTTTAAATTAATAAGGCTTTTACAGACCACACTTGCGCCAACTTTAACTGACGTACAAAAACATTTTAAAAATTCTTAAAATTAGTGCTATAACCTTACTTTCTAATATACCTTAACCCTACCATACCTTACCTTACCGTTTCCTTACCCCAACTGGAAGTTAACCTACAAGCATACACTACTTATATTACTTCGAAGCCTAGTAATTTCGCATAGTCAGACAGATATGAACAATTACCCTAAAGATCTAGTATAAAATTATAAAACTTAGCACGTCAAGAAGACACAAGCATGGCTAGTCGCGTCCAACCGACTATTAATTCCCAACTTGCATATCTAATTAGGTAATTACTTGTTACGTTTCAAAATAGTGTTGCGATTTTAAAATTAGATGTGTTGTGTTACAACTTTTTTTACATATTTTGCTCGTAACTTGTAATTATTCACAAAATATAGTACAAAGGGCATTCTTAAGTAATGTACATTTTGGGTTGTAGTGTGAAAACTATTATTTGTTTTTGACATGACGTGTGGCTGATTTTACAGTATGTATGTAGGGTAGGGTAGGGTAGGGTAGGGTAGGGTAGGGTAGGGTAGGGTAGGGTAGGGTAGGAAATGGCAGAGCAAGACAAAACAGGACAAAACAGAGAAAGGAAAGATAAAGTACTTCAACTTTTTATTCACATGTTATGGTCGATTAACCTCTTACCTAAACACGAATCTTTTCACCTGAACCCTTCACATAACATGGTCACTTAATCTTTACACAAGCTGTTTTGTATGCCTCTTCAGAAGTAATCTTACGCCGTTTTTTTTTCGTTGGAATCCGCCTGTGTTTTTACTTTCGTTACGCTCTGGATTTACCTTTGTGACTACAAAAACGTTTTGCTTCTTTTCGCTTTTTTATTTTTATAGATTTCTGTAAGACATCGATGAAAACAGGGGTTTGGAGTTTTAGTTTTTAAAAGTTTTTTTATTTTAGTAGTTTTTAAAAGACGACCTTTTTGCTTTTAGTAGTTTTTAAAAAACGATCTCGGTTTTGTAAAGAAAGTTCTTGCCATTTATGGTATTGTAGAAAGAGTTCTTGCTATTTTCTGCCTTGTAAAGAAAGTTTATGCTATTTTTTGTTTTGTAAAGAAAGTTTTTGCTATTTTTTGTTTTGTAAAGAAAGTTCTTGCTATTTTTTGTTTTGTAAAGAAAGTTCTTGCTATTTTTTGTTTTGTAAAGAAAGTTCTTGCTATTTTTTGTTTTGTAAAGAAAGTTTTTGCTATTTTTTGTTTTGTAAAGAAAGTTCTTGCCTTTTTTTGTTTGTAAAGAAAGTTATTGCCATTTCTCGCCTTGTAAAGAAAGTTCTTGCATTTTTTATTTTTGTAAGGAAAGAAATTGCCATTTTTTTAGTAAAGAAAGTACTTGCCATTTCAAATTGAAACTTCCCAAATCCTCCCCATCTCCCCTCCCTTCCCAAAATTTGTCAAACATTTTGAAACTCAACATCCTGCCCCACTAATGATGAGCTACTTGTTATCCAAACACCCTCCATTCCTTCGACTCATTAATCATTTTCCAACGACAAAAAAAAGTGAATTGGATATCCGACGGCTTCGACGGATTTTTCTTTTGTTGACGCTCTCAATTCTTATCGTTAACTACTGCTTGCAGAAGTGATTTTAATTTTTATTGTTGGATTTGTTTTCATTGCTACTAGTTTACGTTTTTGTAACATTTTACAGTTTTTGAAATTTCTTTGCGGTGATATGAAATTTAAACTGTTACTGCCCCAGATGGCGTATTTTAAACATAAATTCAATTTTCTAGGCTTGAGGATCGATTTTTCGTGCGATCAGTGCAAATATTTGCTACAATTTTAAACTTTTAACAAAAGGTTAATAAACTGTAACTGTAAAACTGTAAGCCGAAATTTATAATTATCAGTGATAAAGCTCAAGATCAAATTAAGCCTAAAATAGATAGAAGGGTTTATAGTCTCAGTTTTACAACCGGTTTAACGTAAACTTTTTATATAATATGTGCTATTTGTCGTTTGAACAGTTTTCTCAGTAGGGTGCCATGCAAAAACAAGCCAACTAAGGTAATAGAACGTTGTTTCACAGCGTTGTTTTTCTCACACTAAACAATTAATTTCATTTTACATTACTGTATTTAAAGCCGGACGAAAAGTCTACCCTTGAGTTTGGATTACCCTTCTCTGGGTCTTTCGTGGTCTGATACTACCTTTACTTTTATCTTAATCTAGTTTTATTTTACCCAGATTATCATATATTCTAACCCAATCATTAGAAAAACGTTTTTAATATTTTTTTTAAAAAAAGATGTTAAGAAGCTTTAACATCAGTTACAAATTAAAAAACCACAAAATCGCCGAAAAGTTTCATTTCTAACGACTTCGAATTATTACCCAATTGCCTTATCTTCTCTACTTGACGTAACAACTCAGTGAAGCATGAAGAAGATCAAGTTGACTTTCAGCGGTTTTTTGTTCGGCGTGAAGATTTCTTTTAACGAGCGCCGTTCGCCGTGATCAGGTTTGCCTCTTCGCTCTTTTGCGAGGGAAGGGGGGGGGGGATGTCTTGTTCGCATGAAATTTTGTTGTTTCGACATTGTGATTCTTGAGATAATGCAGATAAAATTTGTGTTTTGACTGTGATCTCGGCAATCCGTGTTTTTTGTCGATTAATTTTCACTTTTATTATTTTTGTGAATTTATTTTTCTTTTAAACGTCGTTTACTTTGCGTGTTGTTCAGTGTTTAATATAAACATTGCATTTACTAATTTTAAATTTTTAAGCGTTATATAATGATATTACGGATAGCGATAGCCTTATCAATAATTTGTTTATTATACACAAATGCTCAACGATCGTTTGCGGCTACAAAATTCGAATTGAGTCCAGAATTACCGTGGGAAGACCCAGTAGAAGTGCAAGAAGCCAACGATGAAAAACCGGTAAAAATTCAAAAACAACCTAAAAAGCATCGTGAGATTTCTCAAGTAAAAGCTGTGCCAACAGTCTCAGTAGCTACTCCAGCTCCAGTACAAGAGCCAGCTCCTTTAGCGGCGGCCGAGGCTCAACATGTAGCTAGTCCGTCAGCTCCAGCTGCTCCACAACCGGCTGCACCTATTGTACCACCAGGTTTCACTTATCCAGCTTTAACACCTTATGGTCAACAAGGCTTTGGCCAAGCTGCAGGTCAGCAAGCTGGCTTTATTCAGCCAGGCTTTGTTCAGCCGGCTCAGCCAGCTTTTAGCCAACCACCTCAACCAGCTTTCGGCCAATCACCTCAACAAGCTTTCGGACAACCACCTCAACCAGCTTTTGCACAACCAACCCAACCAGCTTTTGGACAGCCAGCTCAACCTGCGTTTGTTCAACCGGCTCAGCCAGTCGCTCCAGCTTTTGCTCAACCCGCGTTTACGCAGCCGCAAATTCAAGCAGCTGGTGTCGCACAAGCTGCTACTGGCCCAGCTAACTTTCCTTCGCCACAACAACCAAGACAAATCAGTTCAGTTCCTGACAGTGTTCAGTTGGTCAGAGCTCAAACAACGCGCGAACGGGTTGAGTTATGGTTCCGCGACGATTACCCTGATAACAGTAGGTTATTATATTTATATTTGCAAATTTAAATTATCTAGGAAAGCGGTATTAAACGGAGACGCACTGCACCCGAACGCAAAAGAAAAAATAAAAGACAAAAATGTGACATTTCGTTTTCATAAGGAATATTGGTTCTGCAAAATTTATTTTAGGCAATTAAACTTATTATTTCTCTATTTTAGGTAACAAAAGGTTTAAATTAGGTTAATAAAGCATATATTTTGTAAAACATTATATCTTTTTTAAGTATATTCACTTCTTTCAGAAATATTAACCTTATGTGAATTTAGGTAACAAAAAAATGTTTTCAGTGCAGAAATATGTCTTTAGCCATTGAAATGTTGCAAAATTCTGTTTTTCATCATTTAATCTACTCCTGAAAAGTGAAAAGAACAATATAAAATACATACCAAAGGTTGATTACACTTTTTCTATAACAGGCAACAAGTAACAAAGCATTTTATGGTTAAAATTTAAGAATTAACTCTTTTAACCCAAAAATAATTTGATCAATGTTGCCATAAGATCAAGTTGTAGCTATTTATTAAACAATATAGGACAAATAAGTCTCAAAATCAAGCTTGCAAGCGAAAAAACCGACCGAAAAAATAAAAAAGAAATGAAAACGAAATGAAACAAATTATCGGAAAACCATTCGATAACGAATCACTAAAAAGACATTGTTTGCGGTTTCGGGTGCAGTGAGACGGTCATTACATTTGAATTCTTAACAATTTTTTATTTTTGAGTACATTGTAGCAACATTTTTTAAATGAGGTTTTTTAGTCTGCAAACGTGATGCTCGTGATTTGGCTGAGCAATTCAAACAAAAATTCCCGGCTAATTTGTGGAAAAATGGTAAAGAACAAGTTTTGACCGACCTATTAACGGCCAGACTGGGAGATTGTATACAAAAGCAGGATTCAGACCACTGGACTAAGGTTAATGGACTCATTCATAAACTGAATGTTCCCCTTAGGTAAATTAACTTTTAAAATTTTTAGGCTAATATTAAAAATTTTTGATGTCAATTCTTTGTGTTAGTTTAAAAAGGTAAAAAGTGTGGTTAATTTAGTAAAACTTTTAAAAAAATCATATTCTTGCAGCGAAGAAGAAGAATGCAGAAGTGGATTAATTCAAGAACAAATCAGCTGCAGCAACGTGTTATCCTACACTTGCCAGTTTATTCAAAAACCATACATTTTCCGATTAGTTCCAGCAAGAATTATTATTCAAGAAGCCAGAATAGCTGAAGATGGTGCCGAAAAATGCAGGAAAATTGTACGAAAAGTCAAAAAAGAGCTACAATAGACTAATTTATATATTGTTGTTGTAAATAAAACTATTTAATTATAAAAAATTTTGATAAACGTAACATATATATTATCGATATTTATTAGCTTTATAATAAAAGACGCAAAAACAACGCGTAAAAAACATGCGCAACACGCATCTTTTCAAGCTTTTTTATAACTTGCAGTTGTGATATCCGCGTCGAAATGGCAGCATCGACCAAAGTTTTGTACGAAGTAGAGCGAATTCTCGCTCATGTAGTTGAAAATGGTGAAACACTGTACCATATCAAGTGGAAAAACTGCAAAAAAAGCGAGTCAACGTGGGAACCGGAAGAGTCCTTAAAAGTAAGTCGTAGTATCATTTTTTTGTATTTTAACAAGTAAATTAAATTTTGTAAATTATTTTTATTTAAAAACACTGTAACGCAAGTCCTGTTTTAAATTTACTATCATTATATTTTTTTAGCGATGCGGAGGTCTGCTGACCAAATACAAAGCATCGGTGGCAAGGACGAAATGCCGCAAACGACTCCAAAAAACCGCTAAGGTTAGCAAGAAAGACCAAAACGCCAAACAAAGTATTGCATCACGGTGCAATAAGGTTTTGGAAGATATGGAAAAAGTGCATGTCGCCGTTTTAACAATGCTCGGAGAGTCTCAATTAGTCGTAAAAAATGAGAACAAAGAAAATATTGACATTAAAATCGAAAGTCTAACTACACAATCTGAAGCAACACCCACTCTTAGCCAACATCTTAAAAAGTCAGAGGAATATATGAAAGAAAAAGAGTACGGTTCAAAATAGATTGAAAGCTACAAATATAAGTTGGATTAAGAAAGTAAATTGAGATGATATATAGTATTATTCGTTAAAATTAGAAAGTTAATAAATTTTTATAAATTCGAAACAGAATTCTTTTTTTTCGCCTTTATCAACTTACTTTCGTAATAAGTTTTATATAAATTTTTAAAATTGTAGTAGGATTTCACGCCATTTTGTACGTGATGGCACAAACTATTGTAAAAGATACTATAACTTATTTTATAAATATACGTACAATTCAATGTAAAATTTTAATGCTACAAAACATGTAGTACAATTTCAGTTTTACTTAATTTGACACTTAAAACTTGAGTGAGGTTGTTACAATGTCACATGAAAGGCATCACTTTTAATTTTTAAGCATAGGGTTTTAGTGTCGTTTGCTCGTATTTGTTACTACGTGCAACAATAATGTATTAAAACTCAAACCATACTATAACTCGTAGGTTAATTTATGTATTGTTCATTCTATATTCCTGAGATTGCTATGGAAAGTTGGCTTTGGTACTTTGAAGCAGTCCTTTACGTTTTCGGTACTTTGTTGCCATTATACGTAATCTTCACCGTCGTATCTTATACTAAAAACAAAGATGTAATGGTTTATCGAAACTTATTGTTGGTGCATAGTACAACTGATCTGCTATATACTATCAGTGGTGCTGTTATTTTTGGGGTAAGAAAATAGTTTTGAGGTTTATTGTTAGGAATTTTTAATTTTTTTAGTTATATTTTTAAATAACGCTGTTTATTTTTATTAGTATAAGTGATAACCTTAGGTTGTTTTTTAGTCACTGATGCTCGAATCAAACTTGTTTTACATAGTTTTTACGAATTCTTGGTTACCAACTAACAAAACTTTGACCGACGGGCTATTCATAGTCCATTGTTTTCTACTTTACGTTTTGATACTAATTCTACCCGTGCAGTTTATGTTTCGATATAAAGCTATATCTTCTGGTGACTATTCTTTAAAAACAATTTTCATTCCGTTGTCAATTATTTTTACATATACAGCTATTCACTGTTCTTTCTTGCCTATAACTTTCATACGACAGAATGACTACTACGACAGTATATTAATGGAGAATGGTTTTAATAGTACTGGTTGGAAGTACTATGTAGCTGATGTTGTAAGTACAAAAAAGCACATAAAGTTACTCTTTCTATAAATTAACATATAGATTAATAGGTTTTTATGGTATTTTTTAAAGTTAATAACTATTATCAACAATTTTTTACAGAGTGCTCATGTGTGGCTTATTCCTCATTTTGGTAGCAGTATGCTTATGACTATTGTTAGCTATTGTTTGGTTTTAAAATACTACATGAAAACAAAAAATTATTTGAAAGAGTATGAAGACAAGTTAAGCCCGGCAACGTTAAGAATACAAAAGACGATGAAGAAAATTATGGTCTTACAGGTACGTATTTTTTGTTATTTATCAAAATCATTTCAAAAAACTTGTTAAAACTAAATTTTAGGCGTTCTATCCAATAGTATTGCTGTGTATACCAACCTCAGCACTAGCCGCTTTACCGGTTATAGGTGTAAGTGCAGGCAATTTGGGTGATTTATGTAATGCATCAATGCACATTCCTCCAATTTTAAACTCATTGGCGGTTATAACTTGTGTACCGTCGTATAGAAAAAGAACGGTCAATTTACTGTACAAAATCTTACGTTGTAGCAAACAGCATCGTATTTATCAGACATCACATTTCACATCAGAATATCACCATTCTTCAAAATAGAAATGCTACAAGCGTTGTGGCAGGTGAAAGTACTAAAACTTTAATTATAATGTTTACTTTAATTATTGTAAATTGTTTAATAAATGCATATTTTGTTTTGAAAGTTGCGTTTTAAATTGGTCAAATAAGTGGTTACGATAAAAACGAACAAAAACGTTTTAAAATTAGTTTTGTAAATCATTCGTCGTGTAACAAAGTACTAACCTTTTATACTTTTTATTATCGTACTGTTACAATGAAGGTTTCACGAAAAAAAACTATGTTAATGACAAAGACAATTCGTTTTGAATCTTAATTAAAGATTTTTAACAAATGGAATATATGCCCTAATTTACAAGTGCATAACCATAAAAGTGTAAGTTTAATACTTTTAACAACTGACCACTTACTACACTCTAAGTATGGAAGACTGGCTTTGGTACATTGAAATAGTCTTGTATAGTTTTGGAATTTTTCTGCCGTCGTATGTTATCTACACTGTGATTTTTTACACCAAAAATAAAGGTCTTGTCACTTATAAATGGTTGTTGTTAATGCATAGTACAACTGATACATTATATTCTATCAGTGGAGCTGTGATTTTTGGGGTAAGCTAAAAGAACAGCTCTGTCAACTATTATGGTTGTCAAAGAGGGAAAAAATCAAATTTTAATTTATTAAATTCCAGAACCTCATAGTCGAGCCGCAACTATATTTCATGGTATTTACAAACCCAATATTGCCAAACAACCAAGTAATTCTTAACCTATTATTAATCACACATTGTTTCTTCATCTACATTTTGATATTAATACTACCACTACAGTTTATGTTTAGATATAAAGCTGTATCTTCAAGTACATTTTTAACTACAAAAACAGTTTTATCTATGATTTTGCTCTTATTGTACGTAGCAATACATTGTGCTATAGCACCCATTACCTTTATCCATCAAAATGCCTATTATAATAATTTATTAGTACGGCACAGTATCTTTGATGAAAAATGGAAATATTTTGTTGGTGATTTAGTAAGTACATACAAATTTAGAAAATTCAAAAAAAAAATTCAAAAATTTTTTTAAAGGCATTTTGTTTTAGAATGCTCGTCCGTGGCTCATGGCTCACTTTGGGAGTAGTATGTTGATAAGTTAAGTGTCGTTAGCTATACTTTAATATGTGTGTACTATGTAAAAACTCAGAAGTATCTAAATCAGTACAAAAACACTGTTAGTCCAGCAACACTGAAAATACAGCGTACTATGAAAACAATTATGGTATTACAGGTTAGTACAATCTATACCTTGTCCTAGCTTGTTACTTTCCTACCTTAACCTATCCCTTGGCCTACTCTAGCCATACTCCAGTCTTAAATTAGGCCTAACATATTAAGTTCTTCCTCTACTCCTACTCTAACCTTGAGCCAGCCCTACACCATAAAAATATGAAAATTTTTTGTTTAATTGTTCAAACTTTAGGCCCTTTATCCACTCCTATTACTCTGTATACCAACATCAGTATTAGCTATTTTACCACTTATGGGTGTCAAAACGCATATATTGGGAAACTTATGCAATGCTTCTATGCACATTACGCCAATTTTAAATGCGTTTGCAGTATTGTTATGTATTCCATCGTACTGTAAAGCTACAGTGAACAATGCATACAAACTGCTACGGTGTAGAAAACAACATCGTATTTATCAGACATCAAATTTAACTTTTGAACAGCCACAGTCTTTAAAATGATCCAGTACTAATACCAATCGTATTTCAAATAGTACGACATGTGTCCATGATACGGAATTACATATCGGTTTTTTCAGCAGTACTAAAAAATGGTACGCAGAATTGTTATATGGTGTTTTAAATTCGTAGTTTAAAATCTTGAATTTCAATAAATCATGTGCATACCCATTTATAAACATCAAATGCTTAAAAACGTATCTGTTGGTTATCGTTGAGCAAGTTGTAACATTCTATTCGCCTACACGCAAGCTACAACATTTTGCAATCCGAAAAATTGTAAGATTACACTTTTACAAAATGTAAGAGACCCGTCTACAAATGTAACCTTATAAATAACTGATAGTTTGATCTTTTTGGTACCTGTTTACCTATATATAAATAAGTTACAGCATTTATACATACTACAAAATATATGTTTATTACACATAGGACCAAATAAAGAAATTAAATTTAAAAATTGAACCGGCTACAGTATTGTCTATAAAATAAAATAAAAATTGTTTACCGTTTTTATTACATAAACAACATTATTTTATTATTTTTAATTTAATATTCGATTATGACATTCCAGTGCCATTGTCGTTAAATCTCCTTTGACAAGTCCAAAATAAAATTAACTAAATTATAATAAATTATATTAAAGCGTTTCTATTATTATATTAATATGTCTGTTTTGAATAAACTCACCGCAGGTGAGATTTTAACTTTTTTATTTTAATAATTCGGCGGATGTTGATAATTCAATCAGTCGGGTACATAAAGCCGTTCCTTTACCATAGTATCATTCAAAACGTTTTTAAACTTTAGAAACTCGTTTTTATTTTAAAATTTTGCATAATTTGTGGTAAAATAAAGAAAATTGTGCACCAAGTATATAATTATAGTACTTCAGTTACACAGTTGTGACATTTTACACTGTTTCATTATATATAGTATAAAAAAATGCAATTCTAGTGTCTTTCTGGTGGGCAGATAATTTGTTCTACAGGGAAAAAACAATAGAAATTTCAATTTGTATTTGCAAAATACTTGTTTAGCGCATACAAATGTAAAACAATACACTAGTTTTCTGTTCATTTATCCATTTGAACTAACCAAAAAGTTGATCTTGGTTGTAATAGTTTTATGCAATTTCTAAAAAAATTTACTTGTTTTTTACAATTTTAACAAAATTTGTAACATTAAAGCTTTGCATTTCTAAATAAAGCGGCATAATTAACCAAGCATTGTAGTAATGTCACGTTAGGTCCAAAATCAACTTTAAAATATAGTTTAAAAACAGTGTTGAAACCTACAATTAACTAGAGCCACAGTATATATATATTACCCGTGACAGCTTTGTAAAATACTATATAGTGTTCCTAATTTCAAACTGTAATCCTAGTATCAGTTAGTTCATAAAGTTATAATTACAGTATACTGAACCATGGACTTACTGTTATGTTTTGAAATAATAAACTACACGTGTGGTATTTTAATGCCAGCGTATGTCATATTCTTGGCA